GAAGTCACGAAAGCTTCAAATCTAGAAGAATAAACTCACTTGAATTGTAAATGTTGTGGGTTTACTCTTCCACACATCAGTGGGCTGAACTCGCAAATAATGGCATTTTGTTTACGTGACAACCCTTAATAATTGGCTGTGTCGGGTGGTGGTAGCCTTAATGACACATTTATATTTACGTGATCTAACCCAAAAACATACACACGTACATTAACTTTAAAACATGGGCGTTTTATTATTATTTATTTCTAAGTTACACTCAAAGTGTGGATTTCTCAAATATTGCTTTATTTAATGACCAATGTCACGTGATAGCCATACATTGACACATCGATGCACAAAAACGCAGAGAGAGGTGCATTCTTAGATGTGTACAATGAGAAAGGCAGAGGGACACACGGATTCAGAAGGCATCCACAAGTTAGAGACATCATTGTGACTGCCATAAAGGTGGTGTACGTGGATTTGTGCAGGACATGTCTCCAGAAGGGATGATGGCCGGTGGTCGAGACTAACAACTGAGTGGCAGTGAAAGGAGAGAAAACTCCTCCAAGGGTCCGTCCAGCACAGAGATAAGCAGGTGGTCTGCAGGTGGTAGATGGATTTTTACGTTGTGAGACCATGAGAGATGCTGACTGCTTAAGTAGGCCTTCATCCAGCAGTGGATAAATCATGGCTGATAATGTTAAACTTGTAAAGAGCGTCTTAATATCATCCCACGTGTTGTAGCAATAAATAAAAACTACAGTCATTCAGTCGATAAATGTTCTGCATCGTAATCAGTGTGATAGGTGAACTCTATATTAAGACGCTTTAATTCAAGTGTGACGACATTCTCACTTGTGAAATTATTTTTTCTTGCTCTCGTTTCAGGATTTTCCCGCTTCTTGACTGTGAACTGGAACTGCTGCGTCTTTGGCTCTCGAGAAAATGGCAGAAAAACACAAGAAAATACAACGGTCAAAAATTTCGAGCAACCAGCTCTGGAAAGAAGCCGACAATGCGGCCACTCCTAAGGCTGGCGTTCGGAGAGGCAGTTTCGAATCCGGTAGAGGACCCAACAATGCAGCAGCATCATCGCATCAAGCCGTCACTCAAAGCCAACCTAAAAACCTGTGCAGCAATTCTGCAGTAGGTCATTCGCAAGACACGCCTGACTGCTTGGCCATACCCAGTGGATATTTAAAGCAGGGCGCAAGCGATGCAGCTCCTGCTGCTGCCCCTGTCCCAGATAGCACTAGGCTTGGACTCGATTGTGTTCCGGCTGCCGGCAGTCGGCGCGGAAGCGCTGTCGGTGGCCAGATCGATGGAACGGTCAGCAGCCTCCCACCCCGCGGTGGCGGCGAGGCGCAGCAGCGAAGGGCCTACCTGGCCAAGTTTGTGCTGGGCTCCTTTGACGATGCGTCTGATGCTGAAGACGGAGGAGGAGGTGGCCCCGGTATTAGTGCTGGCCTGGCGGCTGCGCTGCAGGGCAGGCGCGGCAGCTTGGAGGCGGAGGGTGGCAGGAGAGACAGGGCCGACGTCGATCCGCAGTGCTGTCCACGTGCCAACTGCCAGACGAACATCAGGTGAGTGAGGTCGCAAGTGATGGACGTTTCCAGTTGTTTATGAAATTTCCACCGATTTGTGGAAATGTTGCCATTGTAAGGCATGCTGCTGCAGTGTAATGGTTAGCAGATTGGACTGGCAATCCAGAGGTTGCTGGATCGATTCGATCTCCTGGCACGGAAGTTGAAACAATGGGAACGTTCTTAAATCCACCAGCTCTGTCCACCCATCAGTATACATGGATATGAATACACCACAGCCAATCGACAGGTCATGTGGTGGGGTAAAGTGTGGGTATTCCCACCTCTAAGATATGTGGCCAGTTTAGAAGAGTAAGCCAAATACCTACTAGAGGGGCTCTCCAGGTCTCGCTCCAGCAGAGGCCCGTCCACCAGCAGTGTCATAAGCAAGCAATTTCAGGCTGCACTTTTACCTTTGTATCATTGTCGTTGTCACGAACACTATTGGCGGGTGTGGTTGTGTACGCTCGTGATTCACCTGCTCTGAAGGCAAGGTTTAGTAGTCTTGAAATGTTCTTTCAAGTGTGAAAATTGGAAACATTAACAACAGCAGACTATATAGAGGGGATGCAACAGTGAGCATGGCATAAGCGTGCTATGACAGAGATTGTTTGAAAAATCAGTCAGAGGCAATGGACATGAAACTACCCGCATTGTAGATGCTGCTTGATGTACAGCATCCTGAAATTTAGTCACATTCGTCGATTGATAACTGTGCTGTGATTCAGTGCAGGATGGCGATCCTTCATGCCGTCTCTCTGTAGTGGTTTGTCACTGTGCCAGTCCTCCAACACTCGATAAGATGTTAACGTCAGATCTGCATTTGGTTCGTGAGATGCTTGCCGACGCCGTCCCGCGGTCGTTTTGGCCAGGAGGGTCCTGCTAGGTTTTGCCAGCAGGGGGCGGTGTTGTTACGTGTATGTATATTGAACGTCTTTCACTCCGTACATAGGTAGCACACCGTACCAACCGGAGTTGCAGTGGAAGGACACCAAAACACACCTAGATTGAAAAGTGCATAGCTCCAGTGGCTTCCTAGCATCGGATGGAAGAGCGTTCCAAACGGCCGCAGAAGTTGCGCGATGCGGTGACCGTCTTTGTTCGATGGTTAGCCAAAAGCGGCTTCTGCGAGGATGTCCGGAGTTTGCGTGATGGTTTATGCTCCTTAACGAGATCAGCAAGGTGTTGTGGTTCATTATTGGCAAGCAATTTGTGTGTCATGAGTTCGACCTTAGAATGTATTCGTTCGGCAACCCGAAATAATACCAATTGAGTAATTTGCAGCATTGGGATGTTTGGCCAATACCAGTGACATGTTTTTGTTTTATTTAGCTCTGGGTGGACATTTGGAGAATTCGGATAAAACCCATGCAGTACAGGAGGAAAACAGACAAATTTCATACAGAGAGGTGCCCGAGTCAGGAATCAGAAACCCAGGTCCACTCCTTCCTCTGAGGCACAAGTGTTCACCAAAGTATTAAAGCTTTCGTGACTGCATAAAATTACTCATTGTTTTTTTTTTCGGTAAAGTCAAGTATGTAGAAATACAATAACATTATATTAAAACAAAACACGACGTTTCGATCACACCTGATGAAGATCGCTTGCGTTGTGATCGAAACGTCATGATTGTTTTTTGTTTTAATGTAATTTTATTGTATTTCTACATACGTGACTTTACCGAAAAAACCAATGAGTAAGTTTCGATTTAAAGTCCAGCGCTGTCCTACCAGACAGTCTCGTCCCTTCACCTGATGAAGGCCGCTTGTGTTGTGGCCGAAATGTCGTGAGAATATTATTGTGTTATTTTATTTGATCAATTTATTATTTTATTCTCATTCTACGTGACTTTACCGAAAGAACCAAAGAAGATCAATGAGTAAGTGTTCACCACTGCGCCAACAAGGTTGAGCCCGGATAGTGTTTGTACCGGCGAACCACCATTCCTAAAACACACATTATTTAGGAATGCTTCGTGAGTAGTGGTACACAAGCACCAATAATACAATAAACATTTATATATAACAGGTGATGTTTGGAGTCCAAAACGTTGCCTATTATGCTCTAATAATATATGCATTGTCTCTGAAACTGATTGGCCTCCACCAGAGACATCCTTATCTGTGGCCTTGTCTCACCAGTGTCAAGAGCAGAGAACGCCAAAAGGCGAACAGCACAAAGACAATGCTCGTGTCAGGGCATTGACGGCTCGGCGGGCGTGAGGAGCTATATCATGTTTGTTTGCATGTTCACCACAAGTATGTGTGGTTAATGCAGACTTGATTCCTTGCACACGCTATCTATTCGGTGTTTGAACATCTTAACACCTGTTTTATTGCCAGAAAAGATATAAAAAAAACCTATCCGTATTTTTCATACTGTAATAAACATTTGCGTGTAAACCTAGTGAGACAAAAATATTTTTTTTCATCTACAGTAGATTATGAATGCCCCATATCTTGAGTTTAATTGATCTAACCACCCAGCCTGGAGTTTACTGCTGCTTAAATTCCTGTACTTGCGAGAGAGAGCTGGAGACGAGGTGGACAGACGCAACCGTGTCACGATGTCGTGATGTCATAACGCCTGCACGCATGACGCATGACATCACGTGGCCAGCCATCCGCATGCTAATTTTATCACATGATCCATGGGGGAAATAAGCTCGTGGAACCCTTTCGGAATGGAATGTACAGAACTAGAAGCGCCGTCCCTGTCGCTGGGCACATGTGAAATAATCATTGGCATTCTTCGTGCAAGTAAAAATGCAAGTGATGTCACAACCCTTCATCACTTGACACCCTCTGGCTCTCGTACTTGAGAGAGTGGGTGAGGGGCAGGGAGACCGAAGTTAAGTGCTTGTTGAATGAGCTGTGTATGTGTGTGTGAGTGAGAGACTCATCTGGAATATAAAAAAAACCGTTGTTCAGTCATTGTTCAACATCGTCACCGGTGGTGGTTGCCGTGAGCGGGAATTGAACTCGGGTCGCCGGGTTCGTAGTGCGGCGTGCTAACCGCTACGCTACGATGCGTTACGCTTCCACACACACACACAGACACACACAGACACACACAGACAGACACACAGACATAGACAGACACACACAGACAGCGCGCTAACCACTACACTACAATGCGTTACGCTTCCACATGCGCGGGTCACGTGACAGATTTGACGTCACAGCTCACTTGCCGTGCAATAAAAATATACATTGAGCTCCCCCCCCCCTAAAAAAACACAAAAGTGTATTTTTACAATTTTTGCATGGTGTACAGTCTGGAAAGTACCCACATGGCAAATTTCCAGTTTGTTGCATGTCGGGAAGTAGGCTAAACATTTTGAACAGACACACATTCACAACTTTGCTTTTTTATATATATGGAGATAATCGGCATTTTGCGACCCCCACTGCCACTGTGTAGCATACTTCCATAGCCATGCGCCATCGCCGCACACGCGTCGGATAAAAAGTAAGGGACAAGTCCTTACTTACTAACAACTCCTCTATCATTTCTCATTGCTGGAGGGGTTGCCCCAATTTTATGATGAGTGCTTTCGGCATGTCACGAGACGGAAAAAAAACATTTGGAACTCTCGGAAGGGGCAGAACAATAGCTCATTTTAGAGAACGGCCCACAGAAGCGGATATCACAGAACTACTTTTGAAATGCGTTCGAATTTCCTCTGATCCACACAAGGAGGAAGAACAACCCCCCACAACACCCTGCTTCAGTGTCATGTTAATCGTATTGCAGTCAAAGCAATGTAGTATTTTCTTTATTCTCAGAGCTGGAATTTACGCTAATTAAGTTCAGAATCAAATGGTATTTGTTGGCTTTTTTGTACAGTCGTTGGTGACTGGGCTGAGGCCGTAAACTCACTCCATGTAAGTGTTGGTGACGATGGGGCCTTATATAGAAGGTGGATGGAGGGATTTTGTTTTGGGGAATCTTCATCTTATGAAATGTCGATCAAGAAAAAAAAGTAAACTCACTTGGCTCAAGATATCATCCTATAATACATTCCATCATTGGCTTTTCGTGGTGATAGGACTGATATGCTTGTGGCTAATGTTGGGAAGAACATTCGGTTTGTAGAATACTGTACTTCACAACTGGTGCGAAGGACTTCAGATATAAAGTCTTCTCCGGCATTTCCGAACCCAAATGACATGTTTTTCTTCTTATATTGAGAATTGTATGACCACTATTCAATATAAGACAAGCAGCCTGCATTGATTTCATTAGCAAATGTAGCCTTTGTCCATTCTGCTGATTAAGAACCAGTTTTTTTTCCAGTTGTCTCTGCAATGAAGACAATGCGTTTGCTTCCCAGGTATTCATGGGCTTAAGGCGACAACAAAGTTCATTGCAGGCCCTTTCTGTTACCGCACTCGGTTGCATGCAACTGTATTCAGAATTGGCAATGTTAAAGCTTGTGCCTCATTAAAAAAATGTGTATTATTAGTGTGAGAAGCATCAACACAAAGTGTTAGACGTTTGTTAGCGTCCTTGTTTAATGCCTCATTACTCCTGGCACCCCTGCGGAAAATGGTACGACCCAAACTAATTACGCTACAGTGCATCCCATCGGCAAGGCTGCTGATTCAACCAAAGTGTGGGGGGTGTTTCGTGCGATTTGTACAACCCGAGCGATGTAAGCAGTGTGGATGGGCCATCCTCCCCTGCTGTGTTGTGTAGAGCCGGTCTAAGCGAGCTGGAAGCTCCAGGAACTGGTTGACTACAGCAAACAAAAAAAGTAAGGCGTCTAACTTTAATAATACACACATAAACAAACCTGTTAATCTGTCTCTCCACGTCAATACAACGTGTTATTAAAAATCAAACCGTTTTGTTGAAACATGCTGAATAGCCCACGTGGCCTGGTGGCTCAACATCCATCTATTTACACACGGAGAGAGGGGTGGATGTCTTATTTATTAATTCTGTTGCCCGGAATGCTTCACAAAAAAACGTGCATAGTAAGGTAATAGTGTGCTGGGTTGTTATAAATTGTGAAGAATCTTCATTTTGGTACGAGTTTCCTAAGATGACAGTGAGTGTGCTACCTGAGCATAGTGGCCTGCTAACCACGGTGCTGTGAACCTGGCAACCTGTCTTAAGTTCATGGCCACTGCTAACATCAGTGTTGGAGCGATATTTGAACCGGTCCTGGGCTGCCCCCTTTCACCAACCAGCACTTGACCAGCATGGTGAAGTATGGTCAAACCACCCCTATGGTGGCGGGGAGGGGGTGCAATCAGCAGCGGACTGACATGGCACCGAATTATTAATTTACACGACTGTTATTATACTATTAACAGTCGCCAGTGTTAAAGTTGTTAAGTTCAGTAACTGAATTTGTTCAGTATTTGCAAGCAAAAAGGGCCGGTCACTCAACGGTGTTTTGTTTTGTTGTTGTTCGCCCTGGTGTGGGATTGGAAAGCCAAGTAGAGGTATTGCCGAGCCAAGCTCTCATGCGAAACGTGAGACCCCTGCATCTCTTCTCACTCAACCCGAGGACTGACCCGGAGGGCCCTTTCCCATTGGTGAATTTCCCGTGTGGGTTGTGTCTGACAGCAACAGCGACGGGGGCACCACGCTGCCTCCGTCACCGCTGCTGCATTTGCCATTTAAGTGGTTGTCGCGGCTGCTGCCAATTGTACAATTGGCTTCACATTGGGGACTCCCCAAGTCTTGTCGTAGCTGTGTCACGTCCGTCTTGACGGCTTGCGATTTTGGTGTTTATGTTCAAGAGAGAGGTTTTTTTTTTTCCCCTGGCCTAGGAAATTAAACGAGTTGTTGTAAAAGCGTCGGGTTGTCTGCCGCTACTGCTGTGGCAAGTTAATACATTTAGTTTGGATACACTTCACCGCAGTGGTTGTGGCGTGACTGGCCGATCATCTTAGGGTTCCTGTCAACTTGTGAAAACGGCAATCTTGTGACTCGTGTAAGCTCATCCACATGGCTGCAATGAAGGCACCACGGATGGAGATGTCTGCAGGTTAGTCCAACAAACTAAAATTTATTTTCATGACGTGTGATGCAAGTCGTGTCATCGGTAACGTGGGTTCATTTGAAACGATATTGTATATACCTCGCTGTATATGTGCTATAATTCAGTATATTCACAGTGATCTGTTAACGGGAGCTCACACCAGTTGCTGACTTTCTTCGATTAGCACGGTTGGCTACGTACGGTGCGAAAGAAGTTTAACATACAACTTTAGCACCCAAAAGGAGTGTCAACTTGATGCTGTGATACACAAGCTGTATCACACCGTGACCGAACCTGTCCAGTTTACGTTGTCGAGAATGCCGTAAAAGCACGAGCGATAGACAGAAAAGCACCTAATAATGTGTGTTACCGTCGCGTTGTAATACATTAAAAACAACTTGATTTGAAGCTTTCGTGACTGCAGGAATGACGAGGGGTGGGGGGGAGGTCAGAAATTGGCCAAAATCGCGTGACGTCATTTATGAACGGCTCCTTCGGGGTTTTAAATGTATTCTTTGGTTCTTTCGGTAAAGTCACGTAGAAATGTTTTTTTTTTTAAATAATAAACTAATTAAATTTCAATTTTTTTTCGACGTGACTTTACCGAAAGAAGCAAAGAGTACATTTAAAAACCCTAAGGGGCCGTCCATAAATGACGTCACGCGATTTTGGCCGATTTCTGGCCCCCCCCTCCCCCCCTCGTCACGCGGCGTCACAAAAATCAGACCCCCCCCCACCCCCAAATATGACGTCACAAAGCTCTGCCCCCTCCCCCAAAAGCATATTTTCATTTTGAAAATAAATATGCTTCAAATCACTTTAAACTAAAACTATTGTCATTGTAGTGCGTATTTAATGTGGCGCTGCACTCCGATGTTGTAGGAGAAAACACGCATTAAAAAGGAGGCGTTGGAAAGCTGAGATTTAGCATAAAATTCACTTGAAAATATTCATCGTCTTAACTAAAACTGCAGATGTTCAGAATATTATATTGAAATTCGCTTATAATTATAAACTATTAAAAGTTATTATAACTATAAAAATACTTAACTTTGTAGTAGAACGAAGCAAAATGGAGAGTACAATTATAACAATCACATATTCATTTAACAGAATGAAAAGCCCTGGTAGAATCATTAGAATCAAAATGTTTAATAATAATCATTCAAAAAATGTACAAAATGTATGCTTCTCCATTCTCTCATGAAGAAGCAAAATGCTCCTTCATGCAATAAATCAAAGGTGACCTTAGTAAATTTAAATATTCAAATAGTTAATGACAATTAATAAAAATTAGTGTTATAACAATTCGATTTAATTCATATTTTTTTAAAGTTGCGCATTTTGATGTGACGTCACATTTCTCAAACCCCCCTCCCCCCCTCGTCACAAATGTTTGACCTCCCCCCCCCCCCTCGATGCGTGACATTATTTATGGATGGCCCCTAACTTTACAGCGCTGTCGTTAATCTTGGGATATACCTAAAATACAATCACAGTCGCACGTACTGACACGTCCTTACATGTGTGTGTAATGTAAACACCCCCCCCCCCCCCGGGGCCTCCGCCAGCTGGAGGGCCTCCAGAGATTAAGTGCCAAGTCATTTCATTTGTGAATGCTGAATTGTATTTGTTGTTAGCCTTGTAAAAATACATTTTATTTTTCTTTAACTTTGTTTTCTTTTTGAAAATATTACTGGGGGCCTCACGGTACCTGTAGCCCCAGGGGCCTACAGAATCTTAATCTGGCCCTGACTGACACCACCCCACTAAGCATACAGCCATGAATGTGTCTTTACAGCAGTGCGCAGCAGTCCAAACAAGATGCGGGCATCGTATTTGCACATCAGTTCAGCTCTTATTACTTACTATAACTGCCATGCTTTCGGAAGGGTCAATAATAAAAACTGTTCCATGTTAAAAAAAAATAAACACACGCATTAAACAAAAGTTACAACGGACGAGTAAGTGTCACCACTTTGTGTCCAGATCACAAGCGAGATAATAGTTGAAAGCCAGCAAGCAAGCAGCAGCAGCAGCAGGCAAGCAAGCAAAAAAAACAGCAGCAGGCAGAAAAAAAAGAGCAACGGGTGGAGTTGTAGATGTTGGTGTGGGAGGAGGGGGAGGGCATCAACCACGCGTAGCCGGGTTGGCTGGGCTCCTTGGGGCGGCACTTGAGGAAGTGGCTGTCGGTCCGCCCGTGCGTGCGCATTGCTTGCGTGCTCGAGTTTCTTAGGCTTTTTTGGCAAATCGCGCCCGCTTGACTTGCTGCCAGCTGCTGGCAGCAAGGCGTTTATGATGTCTGCTGTGGGTGATGACGGCGGTGACGGCGACGGTGGTGGTGGCCGGTGGTGGTGAGTTTTTGCCCGGACGCGTGGACTGTCACGGGTTGCACGTGATAGAGGTGCCCGCGTGCCCTTCACGTTGTTGTGGAAAGAGCAGCGGTCGCGGGGGCTGCCGTGACCGGATCAGAGAGGAATAGAGAGGAAACACAACATGTTTAAAACATCCTCTGCTAATTCGTTTTAACGCAAAGGCAGACGTTTGCCAAATGTGATTTTTTTTTTATTAATGCAATACATTATTGACAGGTTATGCTAAAACTTTCCGCCTCCCCCATATAGTGCTGTTTAATTCTTGTGTCACAATGTATCTTGCTCTCAAGAGTTGGGTTACAAAACGTTGCAGATCGTGTGCTGGCTGCATATGTGGAAGACTTTAGTTTCGCTACATTGCCGGGTCAATTCGGGTTCTGCGTGGTCTTTTTTTTCTGCAAGGTTGCAGAGTTTTATTAATGAACGGTCGGAAATGTACAACTCACTTGGGTGTATGTTGGGGTGGAGCAGTGGTTAGCGCAGACATGGGCAAAGTACGGCCCGTTGGGCTATTTAATCCGGCCTGCCAAACTTGTCCAAATATTATTAAATTAAATTTGACCTTTCTCCTGTAATGCCCCCATTTTCCCATTAGATGGCACACTTTGACCGGGAGTGTGGTAATTGGTTTTGGGTGCAGGTCTCAGATGTTTTCATGATGTGTGATCAGTCACGTTACGACATGTTTTTGTATTGTTCATGTTCGTTCAAATTTGTTAAATTGCCTTGCAAATAATTGCTTTGCTACCTGTTAAAGGCCAAATCTTTTCATGTAATGATTTTTACACGTCATTTATATTAGTTCACACAAACACTCCGTCCATCTGTTCCTGGCCCGGCCCCCTCTGTCAAATTTAGAACCCATTGTGGCCCGCGAGTCAAAAGATTTGCCCACCCCTGGGTTAGCGCACTTCAATTTGAAGCAGACAACCTGAGTTCGATTCTCAACCACAACTTTTGTCAGTGGCGAGTGAAATCTGGGCCACCACTCCCCCTCTACCCTCTACGAACCCACACTGACCAATGTTATGAAGTATGATACAAAAAATATGCCCACCCCTGATGGACACAGTGTGGTTATTTATTCAGCAGTATGTTGACAATGGATTGTCTATTATTAACAATCATAATACAATATTTAGCAAAACTGTTACCCGAAGTACGTCCGTTTCAATTGTTTATGTCTAAAGGTTTTTGTTTGTCAGGATAAATGCATTGGGGAACGCACGTGCAATGGAAACATAGCCACGAATATAGCTGATTAAAATGTTCAGAGCGGTGCTTGCTGTTCGTGCCAATTGAACAGGACACCCCAGATGTGAGTGCCCTTGCATGGCTGCTCTTTTAGTATTGTGTCTTGTCACACACGTGTGCTCAAAATTGAACTCTGCTTTCACAGTCGTGTGTCTGCTTTCACAGTCGTGTGTCCCACGTTATTTAGAATGCACAAGGTCTGCAAATGCTCGGGCAAATGGTTTTTACTTCTACTTTATCTGATTAGTTATTGCTATTGAAATCCATTTTGATCTATCCCAGAGCAGTAACAACAACCCTTCCTGTTGGAGAACAGGCCATGAAGTGAATATCGCAGAACTTACCTCCGAGTTATTTTCAAGTGCCCGCCACTACCCTAATAATGGCCTCTTTTTTTACCATTCATAGCGTATTAATCATTTTTCGATTACTATTTACGTGTAAAATTTACCTCAGATTTTTCCAAAACAACAAAGCTATTACCACTCGTCGATGCATTGAAATAAATTTCAACCACAAGGCTTTCAACGCCACATCCCGTACTCTTCGTCAAATCAGAAGTTGCATTGATCAGGATTTCGCAAATACCATGGCATCCAGACTGTCATCACACGCCTTGGCTGTTGCAACTCTCTCCTGTACAGAGTCAACGATTGCCTAAGCAAACGTCTCCAGCATCTCCGAAAAACCCTCCTCGCCATTCAATTGCTAGGCCCCACCTCTCGCGACCTCTTCAAACCCTTTGAAAGTAGCTGCGCTGGTTATCAGTGCGTGAGTCCAGTTCAAGGTTGCAGCACTCACTTCTATAGCAAAGCCAACTGGTCAACCAACTTACCTGAGCAATACTCTTTGGTTCTTTCGGTAAAGTCACGTAGGTGAAAAAAAAAGTATATAATTTTATTTGTTTCTTTATATTTTTTTATTTTTCACCTACGTGACTTTACCGAAAGAAGCAAAGAGTATGGATCCTTGCAGTCACGAAAACTGAACATCTACCTGAGCAATGCCATCCCACCCATATGTACCATCACGAAGCCGAAACTTATCCATTACGGAACTGCGGGGTGTAAAATCCACTTGGCGTAGGACAGCATGACGGAGATCTTCATCTGCAGCCCCAGGTAGTCTGGAACAGTCTCTGCCAACTGAAGTCCACTCAGTCGTGCCATCCGCTCTTCCGTCTCAGCCTTTTGCTGAATAAGGCATGCGCTAGATATCTTAGATTGATTAATTGGTTCACACTGTCACACTGCAGGGGACAGCACTTTCCCTACACAGAGTTATGTTTGTTGCATAGCAGTCAACCCGATATTCTTAACTCTCGTAGCTGGAATTCGGAACCAATTATAATTTGATGTGTTTTTTTTTGTCCTTGCTGAGACAATCCAACTTGAAAACTTGGTTTAATCACGGATGGCTGGCTGTTTTTTTGACCCCAGGATCTCTGCGATGCCAGCTCTGACCTCTGCACCAAATGGCCACCGAGTAATAGTTGTTTTATGTACAGTGCGACCTCAGGTAGTTAGTATTAAGAATAACACCACTAGTTATATTACGTTAATAGTGGTATAATTTAATGTTCACTACTACATCTCCTTTGGAGATAACACGTCCGAGAGGATTACTATCATGCAGATGGAGAGAACTGGTCCCTGCAGGGTGGGCTGGTAGGAACATTGGAATTTTTCACTTCGTTAAAGTATTGAAAGGGGACGGACGGACGGACACATTAATCTATTGCAGGCTGGTACACTCAGTTTACAACTTCGTTCCTACCAGTATAAGATCTGCTCGTCCACAGCACTGTGGCATCACAGTCCCGTGTCGGAGGGCATTAGCATTGGAAGCCTTTCATCCAGCAGTGGATTGATTATGGCCGATGATGCTTGCGTGCAGAAATGAGATTGTAACTAAAGGTTTTACAGATTTCCTTGTGTTGTTTCAGGCCAAGCATGTCGGGTTCCAATCTGGTGAGGATCGGACGCAGAGCCATGGATCAGCAACGTGACTTCACGGTGGCCTCCCCGGCTGAGTTCGTCACTCGGTTCGGGGGAAACCGCGTCGTCGAGAAGGCACGTGACCCGGCGGAGCCCACGCAGAATTTCTGGTGGACTCTGTTCATCCCCTGTCAACTACGTCATTCTATCCCGTCATCGTCAAGATCATCACATTCCCACATTCCCACAAACTAAACCGACTGCTGTACAGCCCAACAGAGCGCGAGGCCGCCGGTTTACGAGATCGTGAAATCGATTCCTTGCCAAGGCGTACTTGGCCAATCTTCCCTTTTTTTATAACTCAGAAGAGCACCGCTTATTGGGGAGTCAGTAGCTACCGTATTGTAAAAAAAAAACTAATTTGTGCCATAGGCACTTGGAATGTCCACCACTGTTGCAGATTCCCCAAGGCTTAGGTGAGCTCCGCCAAGTGCTCATTCCTTGACTCTTCGCTCACTGTCTGTCCACATCTTGCCGAATACATCTCTGTGCAGGTTCTCATCGCCAACAACGGCATCGCGGCGGTGAAGTGCATGCGCTCGATTCGCCGCTGGGCCTACGAGATGTTCCGCAATGAGCGCGCCATCCGCTTCGTCGTCATGGTTACGCCCGAGGACCTCAAGGCCAATGCAGGTGGGTGGAATTTGATGGGGCGGATAAACCGACCACAGATGTTGGCCGTTTGTGTGTGTTTTGAGCCGTTTGTAACGGGTTTCCAAATCAATTATTTTCTCTCGAATTCGTTGTTATTTAATTGAGCGAAGGTTCATTGTAAAATCTACGTACGTGTACAATTATTTTGTGGGCTTCCTAATGCCATGTGGGTTGTGTCGATTACTTGACCATACTGCATGGTGGTTCGTCTTGGTTGCTGCATAGGGGGACCGAGATTGGTTCAGATGTTATCCACCACTGATGTTAGCCATGGCCAGGAATGAAACCACTAGTTTACTGAATACTATGAATGTATTTTTTGTACGCTTTTTATGAACGTTTATTGTTGCAAGATTAGAGTCGAGAAGTCTAAAGTTTACAGTACCTGGAAAAGAATAAAAGTCGATGGCAAGCCCTCAGTTGTTTGATCTGGTATCAGATATCTTGGCCTTGGCACTCGCAACAGACCTCAGGACTTTGAGCTGGAGTAACCTCCGGTTAATTTTAGGCATCACTGTCACTTGAATAGGGCAGTGTATATTCCACAGCACTTCAGTTCTGCTTATAACACGATGTTCAATCTACAATGCCGGTAGAGTGTAAAATAAAATAGAGTTTTCTTGCTGTTTGATTACTGTTTTTAACAGACCCGGTTTCAATTCACTGTTTTTCCAGGCACATCAGCATTATGTTAAAATATGAATAATCCATCTAGGATATCTTGCAGAGCAGTGCATCACACCGTGTGTTTAAGAACGCCATGGAAGTGAAATTTATATGAAATGTTTTCTAATTTCCTTTTTCTTTTTGCCACACTAGTGGGTGCAACTTTCCCATACACAAACAATGTATTCGAATTCACAGAGCAGTAAATGAGCCGAATTAGGTGTGCACTCTTTGGTGACTGAGCTGAAACCATCACCTCACTACATGAGAGACAGGTGGCTGAAACCTGGATTCCACCCTTAGGATCTGCATAGCCCCGGCTCAGTGTTGTCATCCTGGGGCAAGCTTGTCTCTTTTTTAAAATCCTCAACATTTCCACGTTGGGCACAACGTGCGGATTTGTAAGCGCATATCAGTGTTTGTTTCTGTGTGTGTGTGTGTGCGTGCATATTTTATTGTAAATGTACACGAATGCTTGGGAGTCTGCATCACCTCATGAGCTGCTGCGGCCATTTAGCTTTTTTTTTTCCGCTTCACAGAATACATTAAGATGGCCGACCAGTACGTGCCCGTGCCGGGCGGTTCAAACAACAACAACTACGCCAACGTGGAGCTTATCCTGGACATCGCACGCCGTATCCCTGTGCAGGTGCCGCCGTCTTGTGACGATCGTCCGTGGCAGGGGCGTAGCTGTCGGGTAGTGTGTACAAGCCGTGCAAATGCACCCCCCGGGGCCTTACTGGCTGGAACCGCCTAGGCCAGAGTGATAAGCGGACAGGGGTACCGTTTAATCGCTTGCACCAGCCTTCCCAAACCTTTTGAGTCACGGGGGTTATTTGGCCATACCTCACTACGCTGGGTAGCGCGATGGTGAAGGCAGGGAACATAGATGTAGCAGTATAGGAGTACAGTACAATATTTGTTTTTACAGGACCTCCCCTCTGCTGACCAAATTTGCCACAGTATTAGCCCATGAGCAACCTGGCCACGTGTCTCTACCCAGCCACTTGTAGGTCATGTCCATCACTTGCCTGACCACATACGGAGCTTATTTTGTTTTGCGTACAACTTGACGAACAACCAAAGGGATACTTATATGCCACCATGGTTAAATATGTTCCCCCCCCCCCCCCTCGCTGAATGTTTAGGCAATCTGTCCTGCATGGTTGATTAGTGTGTTGATATAAGAATTGGTTTTAATCTTTCTGGCAATAAAACAGGTTAAATTTCGATTTAAAGCTTTCGTGACTGCAATGATTCATCTTCTTTGGTTCTTTCGGTAAAGTCACGTGACTTTACCGAAAGAACCAAAGAAGAAGAAAATAAAACAGGTGTTAAGATGTTAAAACACCAAACATAAACCTTTTGCAAGGAATCGTACATGGACGCCCACTGGGAGTTTCGCAACATTCCCATGTGTGATCCACCAATCCTCGCCTCCACAGTGCTGCATTCCAGGCGTGCGCCGCCACCACCGCCCAGCTAAATGTAGTCGTGAAATGTAGGCAAGGTTATGGAAGTGCATTTGGCAGAAAAAAAAAGCACAAGCAATGTTTTTTGTGTATTTATGGAAAAAAAAACATTTCCATATGTAAACAACATGTGAAAGTACAGTATTTATTTGTTTCCTCTGTTATGAGGCTTTATATATATATCCTGCTATTCGCATCATGAAACAATTTCGGCGAGCATTGCATCGCTGTGTTGTCGAAACGGCCCTGGGAGGGCACTTAGAACTACTTATGAAATCTCTTAAACAGGCCTCTTCATCCACACCACGGGGCGCATAATTAGTTTGCTGTGAAATGAGTGTTGGTCACGTGTCAAGTGAACCGATATGTTTCATTCTCAAGAGTTGACGTTTAGCCAAGTCAAGTGAAAAACTGAACGTAGCACGGTGGGGGGGGGGGGGGGTTATTTGTTGTTGATTTGTCTTCGGTGGCCGGGCTGAGACGGTCGACTCTTGTTTCTGAGAACTCAGTTTAATCACGGGAGGTTAAAAGCATGGTTATAAGCCGGCTCAATGTATTCTGACCTCTGAGCCACCCCGGACACGTTCCAGTAGAATTGTTCCTCAAGGTATACAGCACGGATTACAAGACGCACTCATCTCCCCTGGAAATTAAAGCAGAGAGGTTAGAGGTGCGTCTTATAATCTGGTGGGTGTGTTTCTAAACAGATTTATACAAATTTTGATTTAAAGCTTTCGTGACTGCAGTGATCATATTCTTGGTTCCCTTCAACGAGATTTATACAACTCGAGTTTTGGGGTGTGTCTTACATCCCCGGAGCATCTTATAATACAGAGAAAACGGTGCAACTGTAGTTGTTTATTTAAGCGATGACGTTTTTTTTTCCAGGCGGTGTGGGCTGGATGGGGCCACGCTTCAGAGAACTGTAAACTTCCAGAGCTCTTGAACAAGCATGGCATTGCATTTTTGGGTAAGTGGGAGACCCTCCTTCAACATACCTGCATTTAAACCTTAGTTGTGGCAAGTTTATTTTTTATATTTATTTTTCGTGCTTCAAAAAATAAACTAAGGATGTAACAAATCGAAACATCAATATATTTATTCTTATGCTGATGATAATTAATCAAATCATGCTGGAAAGGACTTATTATTTTCGATTTGTCTCTGCATTGCATTTACGTGATCCCTGCAATGACGAGAGGCTGCTATATCGACCACAATGTTAAAATATCGATTCTTGAATTGATATTCAATCATGAACCATGACAATTCATGGTATTTCTGGGGATGATTAATTGTTACAAACAATCCTGTAAGAAATGCTGCCATATGAAATAGAGAAACAATACAAATTTGTTGACAAAGAGAATAAAAAAGAGTTGTCCTGTTTTAGAATTACGCGTAAAGTTTGTAGTCATTTAACAAGGGATCTGATTTATCTCTGGCTTGTTATTTGAGTCCCCTACTTTAGCTCGTAATTAATGCTCGTGGTGATAATAAATTATGCCCGTTAGAAACAGCGCTCTTGAGTTGACTGACCGTGGAAATTGGTTCACGTGAAGTGAAGCTGTGGCCGATCGTGCCACTCCCCCCCCCCCCCCCCCCCCCCCCCCCCCCCCGTTTTAGGTAAATTTTTGGTTTACCAGGTGAGACCTCAAGACCAGCATATTCTCATTATCAAGAGTAACCTAAGCATAAAATGGCATATGTCAACAGCATTAGGGGGGGGGACAAAGGTCACCTTGGTGTGTATTCCTGGCTCAGTGAACCAGTCATTATCTATTGTGTGCAGGCTGTAATGGGTGCTTGCTTAGTGCGCTTGTCCCAACAATGTATCCTTGTTTTAAGGGGGCTGTGTGTTTATTCTCTCTAGAGAGTGTGTGTCACTAAATATATAATAGCTTCGCATGGAATTTGGCGTTGGCATGTAATGACTGGTATGTAAAGACGGCTCAGTTAATTGATTACAATTTTCGGGTTTGTGAGCAAAATCATTAATATCGAACTGTGGGTGTAAGCCTTGATTGTTTTTGCATTTCATTGGTATTCTATGCAAATGTTGTATATAGGCTGAGTGAAGTAATGAGATGGAACAAACATGACTGCATATACTAGACCGTATCCGAGAAGACAAAAGTAGTCGATTCTAGAATTACATTTTGACACCGAATTGTGAAATTGCATCAAACTGTGAACAGCGTGAAACATTACACACTTAAGAGGGAATGGTAAAATGTACTGTGCCTACCTGTCCATGTAAATGTGCGTGTGTGACCTCGTGTACCGTGCCAGCCTTAATTGGTGCTCATAAACGGCAATTTCCCCAACAGGTCTGTTCAAGGGTATATGGGTTTTGTCTTTGTCGTCGTGTACATATGCTTGTGCGATCGGGAGTGTGTGTGTAAACCCTTTGTCTGTATACAGCCGTACGTGTGTGTGCTCATTTGTGTATCTGTGTGTGTGCAGGGCCGCCCAGCTCAGCCATGTGGGCTCTGGGAGACAAGGTGGCATCGTCTATCGTGGCCCAGACTGCCGGCATTCCGACCTTGCCTTGGACTGGCAGTGGTTAGTGACCAGAGAAAACACCCCACCATTCTCTCATTGTCTGCACTACTATATGCAGTAATATGCACATAGAAAACTGCAGTTAATTTGAGGCCTTTTTCCCCATAATCGGAGCATGAGACCAAATCAGCCGGAATGTGCTCGGTCTCATCAGAGTGGACAGTCTTGGATGGTGTTTGGATGGTGCATGGGTGGCCTTGTATATAACAGGTGGTGTAGACTGCTGTTTGGCTATGTTGTTTTTGAACTTATACATGGTATAACATAGCCAGTTAAAAAAAATTGAAAATAATGAAGGCAAAAAACCCACGACGTTTCGATCGCAATGCAAGCGGTCTTCATCATGCACAGAGAAAAGTGGGGTCGCTTTTTTGCGATCGTCGTGGGCTTTTTGCTTTTATTACTTTTAATTATTTGATATTTGATTTGATTATTTTTATTGTTTGTTTTCTATTTACGTGACTTTACCGAAAGAACCAAAGAACCAAGAATATGAGATTCCTGCAGTCGCGAAAGTTTTAAGTCTAAATGTAGCCAGTTAATTAAACATAACAAGGTTTATTATACTGTCATAGGGAAGAAAATTAAGTATTGATGTTTCAGCTGTCTGGCCTTATTCAGGAAATATCTGGCCATGGATTGACACAGAGCTGCACATGATTTGTTTTGCACAATATCGCCGTCACTTGTTGGTTCCGGTGACCCTTGCGAAGGAGAGCGGCTGTCTCATTGGCTCCTCATCTGGTGAAGTAAAGTCAATCAAATAAGCACCCGCAAGTATTCAGGGGGGCCGGGGTGGTGGTGTGCTAAACACTTGTAGAAAGAACGTCGTGTTTATCTCGGCTCTCCCCCGCTTTCCGATCGTTTATTTGCTTGACCCTGTTCCAATGGGATCACCACGCAGGACTCACCGTGGACTCGCCCGTGGTGGAGGAGGGGCAGGGGCCCAGGGTGCTGAGCGTCCCGCGGGAGGTGTTTGAGAAGGGCTGCGTGCGGGACCTCGAGGAAGCCCTGCAGGTGAGTTAAACTAAACTCGTTTAACACGTAGGCTTTCGCGACCAGTCTTATTCATAATAAAGGTTTTTGGGTTAGATCGCGTTATTTAAAAATGTGTTGCAACCCTCCACCACCCGACACGGCCAGTCAGTAAAAAATGTATCACGTTGACAAAAGACAAATAGTTCACTACTTTAGCCCACCGGTGTGTTGAAGAGTGAATCCACAACATGTACAGTTTGAGTAGTACGACGTTTCGCTGGAAATTACATCCAGCATCATCGGGCGATTTGTCAGAATTGTGAAGCCATCCACCTACTTCCAGTCTTAAATAGTGCAGGATGACGTCATCATTGTTAAGCCCCATCAGGATTCGAGATCAGAGGCGGAGGTGGGGGTGTATGCAATTATGTAATAGATCAATAATCAGCCACTTAGCATGTGACTCACCTGTAAGGAATTGCAATGTGTTGTGTATTACTTAATAATACGTTTCCAGGCTGCGCTGAGTCTATAGCTTTCACAGCGATTGAAATTATTTGAATTCTTCTCAATTTCAATTGATTCTCTAATTCATCTTGGCTCGTAATAATTAGTTCTGCATAACACTTCAACGTTATCAAAATCAATTGAATGTCGATTTAAAGCTTTCGTGACTGCAGTAATTCATATTCTTAGCTCTTTCGGTAAAGTCACGTTGAAGGGAAACAATAAAATAATAAAATATAAAACAATAAAAATTCTCACGACGTTTCGACCATAACACAAACGGTCGTCATCAGGTGTGTCGGTTTGCATTAATTTATTTATTTTTAAAACGGTGTATTTATTTATAAAAAACGTCAGCGCCACGTGCAGCGATTTGGCAGTTTCTTTAGAAGGACGAGTCCATCTATGTTCTGAAAATAGGAGGGGGGAGACGAAAAATTAATGTATGCTGTCTGAAAGCCACTGTAAGCGTGAACAATCAATTAAGACCTGAAATGGTTTATCAAATCTTTCCAATGATTGCTAAGCCAGAATCCATCTTCTCGTTTGAAATTGTCTCTGTGCTTGTATATGTGGATAGCCTCATGAACGAATCTCTCATGGTAGCCAGATGGCTTACAAAGAACCTCTGTCTTGGAAAAGTCAATGTCATGTGAGCCTACTGAATTATAACAATGATCTGCCACGGCCGAGGTGTTGGTCCTACCGTGTTTAAGGTCTGCTTTGGAGAAACCAAACGCCATGTCTCGGACCGCATTCGTGAACACAAAGCAGACCTTAAACACGGTAGGACCAACACCTCGGCCGTGGCAGATCATTGTTATAATTCAGTAGGCTCACATGACATTGACTTTTCCAAGACAGAGGTTCTTTGTAAGCCATCTGGCTACCATGAGAGATTCGTTCATGAGGCTATCCACATATACAAACAGAGAGACAATTTCAACCGAGAAGATGAATTCTGGCTTAGCAATCATTGGAAAGATTTGATAAACCATTTCAGGTCTTAATTGATTGTTCACGCTTACAGTGGCTTTCAGACAGCATACATTAATTTTTCGTCTCCCCCCTCCTCTTTTCAGAACATAGATGGACTCGTCCTTCTAAAGAAATTGCCAAATTGCTGCGCGTGGCGCAGACGTTTTTTTATTATAAATAAATAAACAAGCACGTCGTTTAAAAATAAATAAATTAATGCAGACCGACACACCTGATGACGACCGTTTGTGTTATGGTCGAAACGTCGTGAGAATTTTTATTGTTTTATATATATTTCATTATTGTATTGTTTCTCTTCAACGTGACTTTACCGAAAGAGCTAAGAATAACAATTGAATGTCCTTGTTGGCAAGCATGCTCTGCCACTGCTGACAGCTGTGTTTGGGAGAATTGAATGTTCCTTTGGTGTTCTGGACAGACGGGACTGAACATTAGAACAAATAAATGATTTAGATGGAAGGGTCATGCAAGGAATGAGGAATGGCTGACCTTGGTAGAGGGTGGTAAGTAGGGGTTAGGAAAGGGTAGGTGAGTGAAGATTTGGGGGCGCGGGGGAAGAGAATGGGCAATGAAGAAGAGGTCAGCTTGGGTTTGTGCACATCAGTGCATCCTTGTTGATTCATTCTCTTTGATAAGCTTGTACCAGGGGTTGGGGAACCATCTCCTTGCTCGGGGTTTAATTTAATCGGACTCGAATACCTTTGGCCGGACGCACATCAACGCACACCTGAGTCGCTTCTCTCACTGCCTGCTCCTCCCGCGGTGACAGCAGTCGCTGAGTACGATAATTTTCAAAACCGAAGTGGTTAAATTCAAATATTTCACCTGGATAATCCCCGAAAATCAAACAGCTACAGTAAGGGAAAAAAGTATTTGATCCCCTGCTGATTTTGTACGTTTGCCCACTGACAAAGAAATGATCAGTCTATAATTTTAATGGTAGGATTTTTGAACAGTGAGAGACAGAATAACGACAAAAAAAATCCAGAAAAACACATCAAAAATGTTATAAATTGATTTGCATTTTAATGAGGGAAATAAGTATTTGACCCCTCTGCAAAACATGACTTAGTACTTGGTGGCAAAACCCTTGTTGGCACTCGCAGAGGTCAGACGTTTCTTGTAGTTGGCCACCAGGTTTGCACACATCTCAGGAGGGATTTTGTCCCACTCCTCTTTGTAGATCTTCTCCAAGTCATTAAGGTTTCGAGGCTGACGTTTGGCAACTCGAACCTTCAGCTCCCTCCACAGATTTTCTATGGGATTAAGGTCTGGAGACTGGCTAGGCCACTCCAGGACCTTAATGTGCTTCTTCTTGAGCCACTCCTTTGTTGCCTTGGCCATGTGTTTTGGGTTATTGTCATGCTGGAATACCCATCCACGACCCATTTTCAATGCCCTGGCTGAGGGAAGGAGGTTCTCACTCAAGATTTGACGGTACATGGCCCCGTCCATCGTCCCTTTGATGCGGTGAAGTTGTCCTGTCCCCTTAGCAGAAAAACACCCCCAAAGCATAATGTTTCCACCTCCATGTTTGATGGTGGGGATGGTGTTCTTGGGGTCATAGGCAGCATTCCTCCTCCTCCAAACACGGCGAGTTGAGTTGATGCCAAAAAGCTCCATGTTGGTCTCATCTGACCACAACACTTTCACCCAGTTGTCCTCTGAATCATTCAGATGTTCATTGGCAAACTTCAGACGGGCATGTATATGTGCTTTCTTGAGCAGGGGGACCTTGCGGGCGCTGCAGGATTTCAGTCCTTCACGGCATAGTGTGTTACCAATTGTTTTCTTGGTGACTATGGTCCCAGCTGCCTTGAGATCATTGACAAGATCCTCCCGTGTAGTTCTGGGCTGATTTCTCACCGTTCTCATGATCATTGCAACTCCACGAGGTGATATCTTGCATGGAGCCCCAGGCCGAGGGCGATTGACAGTTCTTTTGTGTTTCTTCCATTTGGGAATAATCGCACCAACTGTTGTCACCTTAAATTTTGATTTAAAGCTTTCGTGACTGCAGTAATTCATATTCTTAGTTTTTTCGGTAAAGTCACGTTGAAGAGAAACAACAAAATAACAAAATATATATAAAACAATAAAAATTCTCACGACGTTTCGACCATTGGCAAACTTCAGACCAAGCTGCTTGACAATGGTCTTGTAGCCCATTCCAGCCTTGTGTAGGTCTACAATCTTGTTCCTGACATCCTTGGAGAGCTCTTTGGTCTTGGCCATGGTGGAGAGTTTGGAATCTGATTGATTGATTGCTTCTGTGGACAGGTGCCTTTTATACAGGTAACAAGCTGAGATTAGGAGCACTCCCTTTAAGAGTGTGCTCCTAATCTCAGCTCCTTGTATAAAAGACACCTGGGAGCCAGAAATCTTTCTGATTGAGAGGGGGTCAAATACTTATTTCCCTCATTAAAATGCAAATAAATTTATAACATTTTTGACATGCGTTTTTTTCTGGATTTTCTTGTTGTTATTCTGTCTCTCACTGTTCAAATAAACCTACCATTAAAATTATAGACTGATCATTTCTTTGTCAGTGGGCAAACATACAAAATCAGCAGGGGATCAAATACTGTTTTCCCTCACTGTATACTCTTTGATTCTTTAGGTAAAGTCACGTAGATAGAAAATTAATAGATCACGACGTTTCGATGGCAACACAAGAGCAGCTCTTTCTCCTGCGTCAGCAGTTCTCCTGCTGTGTTTGTCTCGCCTGATGACGGTTGCTTGTGTTGCGATCGAAACGTCGTGATTTATGAATTTTCTATCTGCGTGACTTTACCGAAAGAACCAAAGAGTATGGATTCCTGCAGTCACGGAAGCTTCAAATCAAGATCAAGCGGATAGTTTGTAAAGGTGTCCAGGGTGCAGTTGACGGACACATCGTACCCAATTAGTATGGCAAAGATGCTTGAAGTGACAGGTAAATATCCATTGCAAAGTGGTAGGTGTCATGCGGCTGCAGGCCATTGGAAATGAAGTTGGGGGTTTGATATGGCCCCGTGAGGGTGCTTGCATTTGTTGTGGATTCGAATTAGGTGCACACAACTCCTTGGGAGGCAACACTTATTTATTAATGAACACAACAGTTAACTCTCACATTACGCATAGGGTGGTGACCATCGACTTACTCTAGCTAACACACACTTCTCTCTCAGATACTCTAGGGAGGTACAGCCTCCTGTCTTGGCGGGACTTACACGTCTACCGCTATCCTAGAGTCCTCTGGCTAGGACCTACACACGGATCTCTTCTTGGCGTCTTCACGATGCACCTTCGTTCTTGATACGGGCAGCCTGGAACCTGGTGAGGAGGCTGCTTATATGGGCCTCGGCGTGTCCGGGCCTCGCCCCGGCCACGCCTCCCTTCGAGAACCCTCTCGAAGCCCCCCTGCTGTCCACGTGCCCCCTAGGCCCCCGGCCCCCACTGGGGTCCAGTCACGTGTCCAGCCGGGGTCACAGAGAGTGCCACGACCTCACACCACCCTCGTGGCCTCCCGAGTCCAGAACCGGCCCTGACGTCATTCCCGCCTCCAGCCGGGATGACGTCATGTGTGTGTGTAGACCCGCGTGGTCGTGACGCTCCCCCCGCATAGTGACGTCACACGTGTGCGTGTGTACACAGTAGTGATGCTACCATCACTACACACATGTGCTCATCAGTTTGTCCTAATTTATGTAAGTGTTCGCTCATAGTACACACTTTAACAATTTTGCCACGATCTAATACGCAGAGATGACTAATGTAAATATTAGTGGCGTTCGAAAATGGCTAGTTTGGCACAAATATAGTCGAGTCTTATGCTAGTGATTAGACACCACAGTTAACCAAATATTTAGAATTTGGGCCTCTGTACATTACGGCCAGGAGGTTGTCTGGTTCTGTTTCTAGAGTAGGGTGAGTGCATGGTTCTACATTTTTCTAAATATTGGACTAATCACTTAACAAAACAGTCCTCATCTGTGAACAGAGTAGTTTGGCTCCCTTGGAGTGTGGCACTGAAGTGAAAAAGTGGGCAAAACTCGATATCTGTTTACCAGTCATATCAAATTCATTGTCAACATGTTTTTGTTTTTACTGGATGATATACTTCACTCAACAACATGCTCGGACACTTTATCATGTGACAAATACTTCCTTAGCTGTCATGTTTTTAGTTTCTCTCGCAGGGATTTACCATGCTTACTTGTTACTGGATTATATTTGATATCTGCTTACCTATTTTTTCATCCACACATTATCTACAATTATGAGGTTGATAGCAAACAGATGCCCCTGAGCCCTAGTTGTGATAAGAAAATTCTAATCTCTAGCACTTGTGGTTTTGCAAATAATTTGGATTTAAAATGTCTTGCATTACACAACATAAGATTATGAATTGCCAGTTACATAATAAGCCACTACCACCCTTCTACGAGCATGAATGCCATAGCCACATCACAACCTCCCCATGCCAACCTAGCACCTAACAATCCTAACAGACCCATAAAATAAATAGTCTGGTGGCTGGATGGTAGCATACATGATTTTCCATGCTAGATATGTTTTAATAATAATTTATGGTTCAGGGTTGAATTAAAAAAACATAAGTGCTGTGTATCTGCTTGAGGCAAGGAGTTGCTCTCCTAATTATGTGTTATGTAAGTAATGGGTAATGATAACGTTGTGTTGTTACTAGAGACTTGCTGTATAGACGACTGGGCAAAGGGTTGGCCAAAACCCGGCACAAAGATCCTTGTCATTAATTATATGGGGCTCTTAGACCACTGCGATGATGCCATAAGTGATGATAATGAGTAATTTGGGCTTCCCTCGCCTAGTTTCCCTTTGCTGGGGCGCTCCGGAGGCTCAGGTAGGGAAACCAGGTGAGGAAGGTCTGGCCCCAGGGTGTACTAGGCCTTAACTGTGTTTACATTTCATGAATTATTTATAAATAAGATGCTGTTATCTCACGTGGCCTCATCTCATTACTTGTGACGTGATCGCATTTAGAATATATAGGGCCGAGCACATTAACTCGTGATACTTGGCATTGAAATTAGCCTTAGAAATAGATGTAATTTATTCCTCTTCGGTATTGACCTCGTGACATCACTAAACATCGCGCGGTTGGCCCAGGTAATAGCCACGGCAGCTCCCTTAGGAAAAGCAGCCACGTCGCCCAGTTAATGCGAGCCGTGCGGCCCAGGTCGGTGTTGACTTTGGCCCGGTTAGGACACTGTGGAAAGCCGGACCAAGCCAACTTGTGTCGTTCGTGATCCAGGCTGGCTTGCTTCCCAGTGGCTTTGGGAACACGCCATACGTTTTCCTTGAACGCGAGTTACCTTTTGTGTTGTGGTGGCATTGCGTACCACTACGGTGGCACTAGCTGTGCCGTGCTTTGTTGTGCAGCTGCCACCCGTGAAGTGATGAGCCTGAGCAATAACGTTTTCTTGTTTGCTCACATCTGCACAAGTTAACATGCATGGTGATTAAGTAGTACAGGGACTTCTCTACTTGCGAACGAGTTAGGATCCAGAGGTCTGTTCGAAAGTCGATTTTTTTGTAAGTTCAACTTTACTCCTGTTGATTCCAAACATGTTGTATGGCGTGTACACTAAACAAGGGGAATGGCTTTAAAAGATATATGATCTCCTATAGATGCCACTGGTTCTAAATGTTCTGCAGATGTAGATGCCACCACCACCATCTAAGTAGAAGAGTCCCTATACATATATGCATACAAGCACATCTAACCGACTAATGTAAATGCAAATGAATTCCCAGAAAGTGTAAATGTGACACAGTTTGAAATTTGGTCTGCCAAAATTAATGGGCAAAAATTGTTAACTTTTTAAATTATTTGAACATAGACCTATAGAAGTTGGCATCTGGAGGTTTCCAAGTTTGCTGAAACCGAATGTTAAATATATTGGACCCTCAATTTCCCAGGAAATTTTGAAAAAGTTTTTCTTTCATTTAGGCCTGCAAAAAATGTCATCTGTAAGTTTTGAAGGGTACCAATTCTGAATATGAAATAACATTTTGATAACTACAAATTTAAGTTAGTATTTTTCGGAGCCTGGCACCAAAGCTGATTAAAAATAGTGGACAAAGTTTTACATGTAGATAATTGTATTCCATACAGCTCTCTGATGTGTTGTGGGGTTCTAACAAGGTACAATGTCAAAAACCGACACAATAGTATCACATGATTATACAGCAGAGGTAGATAACAGGCTTTGATAATTACATGTTAAAAAAACTGGTTCTCAGATGTAAAATTATGTACACACCGATACAGCGTTATTGTGTAATGCTCACGGAATGTGCGTCTGAAAAAGTCTTCGTTGGCGAGTTAAAATGTTCCGCAGTGTTGATCACTGGTTTGTGAATGAGTGTTAGCTTTGCCGCGCTTGTTGTGACCCAGCTTAAGTTTCCACTTGTGCTTTCCTTTTTCCAGTGACACCAAGGGGACACCGCCTCTGTAAATAGTGTTGTTTATGGCATCATCGTGCGCTGTCTTTGTTAGTTGTGGGTAATAAAATAATGAACAGATGAACGGACAAGGGTCTATTGCCGCCACCAGAAATATTCGGAACAATTTTTTTGATGGTCTGTTGGTAAGAAATTATTAGTTCTCGAAGCTATATCGAAGCTATTGTTGGCATTACCAAACACTGAGCCGGCACTGCTGAGAATACTGGGTTTCAAAAGTCAATTTCAGCCGACTGGGATTCATTATTTTGGGCTCTGAAGTCCAGTGAGTTGATGGCCTCAGCCCCAGCCACCAATGCCTGTACAACAAAAATCCCATATTACATTTTAGTTTGCATTTAATTTCTGAGATTTAAAAATATCAGATTGATTGGCACTTAAAATCACTCTTGGCAGAATACATTTATAAGGTGTGCCACGATTGTGGATGAAGAGGCATATTGACGGTTGAATTTCAGATCTAAAGCATTTCTATTTGAATGTCATGCACTAACGGTACTCAAGTAGCAGGGTGGTGGGTGGGAGAGTGTCGCCCCCTAGTGACGATAAGGGGTCTGATCAAGCGATCTCAGAAGCGGTTCTCCGATATGAACTTGCGCGGACCGTCCCCGAACACGGGCTCGCGCACTGCCCTGTGAGAGTCGTGAACAGCATGATGCCCATAGCCCAGTCTGGATGGAACTGAGGAAAAAGACAGAAAATGTCTTGGCATAGGCTGCCGATTGAGCCCTGTGTTGTGCTGTTGGATGCTACTCTTCTGGGATAGTCAGCTGAGAAGATTGGCTACCCGGTCATGATAAAGGCATCCGAGGGCGGCGGAGGAAAGGGCATTCGCAAGGCCGGCAGCCAGGAGGACTTCCCTCTCCTCTACCGTCAGGTGCGTTTCGACCTCCTGCAACCTGCGCTCATTCATTGATCATCATCTTCAGCCATGACCTACTTCCTGTTGGACGAAGGCCTCCCCAAGCCGTGGCCAACTGTCACGGATTTCCGACGTAACAATTCACCTTATTCACCTAATCCACCTAACCTTAACCTGTGCACAAGCTGATTTCATTGCTCCGTCTCCCCCGGCAGTTGTCCTCTCGGGTTTGTTCTCTCCATTGGCTGCCAATCTCTCGTTTGTCGCGACCACCGGCCATCAACCCTGCCAGCGACGTGTTCTGCCCAGGCCCTCCTGTTTTTCTTCACCGTCATTCTCGCACGTTTCCACACTGCGACAGTCCACCGAGCTCCCCGCACATGAGCAGAACTCGTCGCTCCGTCGCAGCAAACCGCTGCACCACGAACGCGCGCACAGCTCGCTGATGTGATGGGCACATGTTGTAAGCAAGCCGTTTCCGCGCTCAGGTGCAAGCGGAGGTGCCGGGCTCGCCGATCTTCGTGATGGCGCTGGCAGACCACACGCGCCACCTCGAGGTGCAGATCCTCGCCGACGCCTACGGCAACGCCATTTCGCTGTTCGGCCGCGACTGCTCGATTCAGCGGCGCCACCAGAAGATTGTGGAGGAGGCGCCTGTCACCGTGGCTCCGCCATACATCCTGGAGGTCATGGAGCAGGTCAGCTCGGCTCTTTCTCACGCTTTCCAAATGAGCTTGAAAGCTTTTTAAAGCTTTCGTGACTGCAAGGATTCATCTTCTTTGGTTCTTTCGGTAAAGTGACGTAGAATGAGAAATAAATAATAAATTAATGAAATAAAATAACACAATAAAATTCTCACGACGTTTCGGCCACAACACAAGTGGCCTCGTCCCTTCACCTGATGAAGGCCACTTGTGTTGTGGCCGAAACGTCGTGAGAATTTTATTGTGTTATTTTATAAATTTATTATTTAATTCTCATTTTACGTGACTTTACCGAAAGAACCAAAGAAGAGCTTGAAAGCGTTCGTGCATCAGCTCTGCCCGCCTGGGTGCCTGTCCTTCTGTACGTGACACCCAATGATGACTCTTGTAAACGTAGACCAACATGACCGAAACTTAAGATTGACGTTACGTTTCTCTTTGGGACTTACCCGATAGGACACTGGTCAAATTGATTGCATGGTTGCTCTAAAATAGGAGACACAAACCAGAACAAAAACGACTTAAAAAATTCCTCAATTTTATTTCACCCAGACTGCTACCAATTAGCTTTCATAGTGCTGATTAAAAACGTTTGAAGATAAACGCATCGTGCTGAGTGTTGCATAATTCAAGCATATACATGATTTGATTGAATTCCTTGATGGTTGAGGTGCGTTATGGGATGAGGAGCGAGGGCCAAGGGGCAGGGATTAGATAACTCGTGCATTTCCCTGTGACGTTATGGCTAATGAACATCGTCTGCGTAGAGGCATTTGCCTCTTGGTAGAGGCTCCAAATCCCCCATATGTCGATGCCTTCGCGGCGTTTAATTAACGCTCGTCAATGTCGAACGGGTTTTGAGCGGTGGCACAGCCGTTGCGCAGGAGCTAGGTGGATGATCCAGACCGTTGAGCGACGGCTTCGGGGGGAGGCCTTCACGCAGCAGTGGATAGGTCGTGGCCGCTGGTGCAGTCCCCGGCGCTGAGTGGGGGTTGCGTGTGGTGCCCGTGTCGGCGAGCAGTGCGCAGTGAAGCTGGCCAAGATGGTGGGCTACGTGAGCGCCGGCACGGTGGAGTACCTTTACGGCCAGGACGGCAGCTTCCACTTCCTGGAGTTAAACCCTCGCCTCCAGGTGGAGCACCCGTGCACCGAGATGGTGGCCGACGTCAACTTGCCGGCCGCTCAGCTGCAGGTGAGCCTGCCCTCTGACCTTTGACCGGAGGCGGCCGAATGGCTGCGACCGTTAACTGAGGGGCGGGTGTCCTAGCTCTGCAGACCACGTGACTCAGTAGTCTGCGCGCTGATGTCGCTGCAGACCACGTGACTCAGTAGTCTACGCGCTGGTGTCGCTGCAGACCACGTGACTCAGTAGTCTGCGCGCTGGTGTCGCTGCAGACCACGTGACTCAGTAGTCTACACGCTGGTGTCGCTGCAGACCACGTGACTCAGTAGTCTACACGCTGGTGTCGCTGCAGACCACGTGACTCAGTAGTCTGCGCGCTGGTGTCGCTGCAGACCATGTGACTCAGTAGTCTACACGCTGGTGTCGCTGCAGACCACGTGACTCAGTAGTCTACACGCTGGTGTCGCTGCAGACCATGTGACTCAGTAGTCTACACGCTGGTGTTGCTGCAGACCACGTGACTCAGTAGTCTACACGCTGGTGTCGCTGTAGACCACGTGACTCAGTAGTCTACACGCTGGTGTCACTGCAGACCACGTGACTCAGTAGTCTACACGCTGGTGTCGCTGCAGACCACGTGACTCAGTAGTCTACACGCTAGTGTCGCTGCAGACCACGTGACTCAGTAGTCTACACGCTGGTGTCGCTGTAGACCACGTGACTCAGTAGTCTACACGCTGGTGTCGCTGCAGACCACGTGACTCAGTAGTCTACGCGCTGGTGTCGCTGCAGACCACGTGACTCAGCAGTCTCATTTCTTTAGAACTGCATTGTTTTTAGTCGGTTGTCCTTCACGAGCAACTCCGATTTGCACGGTTGGTTACCTACGGTGTGAGAGAAGTTCAACATACATAGAGTTTTAGCAAGTCTGCTTTAAGTCCTAGCGGTCGTTTTGGCAAGGTGCAGGTTGTACTGCATAGCCTGCTGCGTTTGTCCCACCACTCGCAGATCGCCATGGGCATTCCGCTTCACCGCATCAAGGACATCCGCCTGCTGTATGGGGAGGCCCCGTGGGGGGTCTCCCCCCTCGACTTCAACAACCCCAACAGCGGGCCCAGCCCCCGCGGGCACGTCATCGCTGCCCGCATCACCTGCGAGAACCCGGAAGAGGTTGGCCCCGCCCCCCGCCATTCCCCCCCGCCACTCCCCCCCGCCCCCCGCCACTCCCCCCCTCCACTCCCCTCCGCCACTCCCCCTGCCCCCCGCCACTCCCCCTCGCCCCCCGCCACTCCCTCCCGCCACTCCCCCTCGCCCCCCGCCACTCCCTCCCGCCACTCCTCCCCTCCACTCCCCCCCGCCCCCCCCCCACTCCCCCCCGACCCTGCTGCTCCCCCCCGCCACTCCCCCCCTCTCCACTCCCCCCCTCCACTCCCCCCCTACACTCCCCTCCGCCACTCCCCCTCGCCCCCCCTCCCCCCGCCCCCCTCCACTCCCCCCCTCCACTCCCCTCCGCCACTGCCCCTCGCCCCCCGCCCTGCCCCTGCCACTCCCCCCCGCCCCTCCCCCCGCCCCTCCCCCCGCCACTCCCTCCACTCCCCTCCACCACTCCCCCTCGCCCCCCTCCCCCCGCCTCTCTCCCCCCCGCCCCCCCCACTCCCCCCCGCCCCCCCCCACTCCCCCCCGCCCCCCGCCACTCCCCCCCGCCCCCCGCCACTCCCCCCCGCCCCCCCGCCACTCTCCGCCCCCCGCCACTCCCCCCCGTCCCCTGCCACGCCCCCCCCCCCCCCAACTGTCTGTCGCTGGCGAGGGGGGAGGGGGGGTGTTGGGGGGGTTGCCAGGGTCACTGAAACTCTCGGCAAGATGATCTAAACCTTACACTTTGAAGTTTTGTGGCTCTCCGGCACGAATCCTCTGCTGCGGATGGCGTGCGACACGTGGGCACGTAAGTGCACCGACCCATCGATTTAAATGGATTATTTTGCTAATGACACGAGGCCTGCAGCACCGAGCTCGGGGCACAAACTTGACCCAGCATGGTTCCCGCTGTCCTGCCAGTGGAAATGTTGCACGGGTGCGCGGGAGTTATTATTGTTCGCCTTCTGTTCGTGCTGCTGCTGCTGCTGGTTTTAGGGCTTCAAGCCAAGCGCCGGGACGGTGCAGGAGCTGAACTTCCGCAGCAGCAAGAACGTGTGGGGCTACTTCAGCGTGGCGGCGTCGGGCGGCCTCCACGAGTTTGCCGACTCGCAGTTTGGCCACTGCTTCTCGTGGGGCGAGAACCGCGAGGAGGCCGTCTCGTGAGTCTGTTGCCGCGCGCCAGTGCCCACGGACGGGGCCCTTGGTGGCGCGACCATCCGGCGGCCACCGGGAATTTTATCGCGTCCGCCTCGGAGGGGGGGGGGGGGGGGGGGGGGGGGGGCCGCATCGGGAGAACGAGCAGACGCGCATCGTTAAGTGCTCGCGCGCCCACGTCAGTTTCCGTCAGTTAGCAAAATTGGTAGCTGGAAGGGAGCCTGCCCGCTGCCCGTGCGGGTGCCGGGGGTTCCGTTGGTCAGTGCGAGTAGTTGGCGATCGTGGGGGGGGGAGCGTTGACGTTGGAGCATGGAGCGCAGTACGCCATTGGATTTGGCTGCAATGCCCCTGCACTGTACAGAACGTAGCCCCCGCAGGTGGCCGTGAGAAACTATTTTTTGGGTAGTGGGCGCTGATCCATGCACTGGTCAGGCTCAGTCGTGCGTGTTAAATGCCTGCACGAATGTAATTTTATTGAAAACGTTTCAGTAACAGCTTGTGGAGGGGATTGTAGATTTAAGCTGGCTAGAGTGGGGATGCATGCCCATGGGTTTATGGATGACGTAGAGATTTGTGAAACCTCACTATCCACTAGGATGGCCAGCTTATGGCAAATTCAAGTGTCAAGTTTATTTTGTTTAACCAGATGAGAACTCAAAAGCATAGTCTAATTTGAAAGAATGACCTTAGTCACGTGTTGCATCTACGGTCCTGCTCAAACTGAGCTGAAGCTGATACGTGACCACTCCTCACCCACCCACCCATTCATTCGCTCACGTTTCAACAAACATAGGCTTAAATCCTTCTATGCAAAGCTATAAGTGTTAGCCCCTCATATGCGGTTATAATCTCCTGGTGCGCCAGTTTCCTTCCACATACCATCATCATCATCCACCATTATTTATCCACTGCTGGATGAAGGCCTCTAAACACATTACAAAATATTCCTCCTGAAAAAAAAAAGTCTTCAAACCTGGGTGAGGCTTTCCTGGACTAATAGAGGGCATTCCTGTATAAGTAAAAGAGTTCAACCGTGAACCGTGGAGGGAAGGGTTAAAGCCTGCGGAACACGAGGTCATCCAGCCCACTCTCTTGAGTCGTTTGCCTGTCGAATTGTGCTGACCACAGGCGTCACTAAGCAAGTAGGTAGGGAGGGAGGTATGTGGAGGTCGTCTCTATCGCTTCACGGCGATCGAGCTTTGTTAATTATTGTTGACGCAAAGTCACGTTTGCGTTGGCAGGGCTTGTGCAGAGTGGAAGGCTGCAGTGTTGGTGGGGTGTGCAGATCTCGATTAGAATCTCTCTCTTGTGACTTTATTTTATTGCAACTCAACGAGCGCCCAATGCAAAGCACCGGTCACAGTGCGGGGGGTGGGGGAGGGGACAGTGGTGGGGGGGGGAACAGAAATTCCGCGAGCAAAAATCCGAGACCGGCATGCGAGGGACTTAACGAAGGGGCAGGAGGGGAAATTCGGGCTCTCTACCCCACCCAAGTGGGGACCGCGAGCGAGAAGATGAAAGCTTATATGGTGGAAGGAAGGATGAAGGGAACGATAACGAACATGATGGGGGGTAAAGAGGGGCAGGGGAAGGTTGGGGAGGGTGGGGGAAATGGGGGGGGGGGGGAGTCTCTCTTGTGACAATTGTCTCGATGAGGCTGCTGATTCCACTAATGCTGTTCATTTAAATGTTTTTGATAAATCAGCCCTTGATGAAGTTGGCCACCCACTGTTCAAGCTGTCACTGTGTACATTCTATTAATTGACGGATTTTCTTTTTATAACCTTGACTTTTTGCTGAAACCTGGATTCAAACGTAGCGTCTCAGCGGTGCCAGCTCACCAGAGTGAGGCAGTGAGCCACCCCATTGTGCATCTTTAAGACGTTGGCGTCTCCCTCACTGCCCGGTCGCCCCCCGCGTAGGAACATGGTGATGGCTCTTAAGGAGCTCTCGATTCGTGGAGACTTCCGCACAACGGTGGAGTACCTCATCCGTGTGCTGGAGACGGAGAGCTTCCAGCAGAACTCCATCGACACGGGATGGCTCGACAAGCTCATATCGGAGAAAGTGCAGGTAAGGCCTCTCTCTCGTGGCACGCACACCTCTCCATTCGTGGCCAACTACAGGGCTTCATCAAGGCACTGCCCAATGAAGTAGGGCATCGTCTGCTGGCTTCAGGGTCCAAATTTACCAAATTTGAAAGATTACCCACAAATTACTCAATTGGAATTGCACATAGGAATCATCGCTCCCTCATGCGGAAACTTGGCAAAACCCTCCTGAAAATAGTCATGAGGTTCAGTGAAGCTTACGTGAGAAACGAGCGTAATAATAAAATTGTGACAATGACGTGGCTCTCATTATTTGGTTCCGCAGGTCCTTAAATACATTTCTGTATCAGTAACATTGCATGTACTTTTTGAATGGTCATCTCTTGTTCACAATTCCCCACTTGATTTCCTTCCTGTGACAGCAAAGACAACGCAGATCATTATCTGCAAATGTTTTTTTATGGAACATATGCAAATGTTATTCCAATCGTAACAAATGACAGCGATCATCTATGGTGGCAATTATTCAGCTGTGGGTTTGAGCCAATGACGCAGTGTTATTGGCATGGGCTCTGATGCAAGGAATGACATGGGGCCCCCTGGCCCGCCTTCCACTCTGTTGATAGCTGAGTGGCTGGGCCCCTGTGGTCTGTGACCTGTGGGTTCAGGTTAAGTTGCACCTCCTGCACACTCGATCTCGCCCCACAGCATGCCCCGCTGTGGTCTTTCCCTCCCCCTGCCGCCGCAGGGTGGATTTACACACAGCTCTCTCATTGACATGCTAATTTCTCTGCTCTCTGCCCCCCCCCCCCTCTCTCTCTATTCAAGGCCACGACACAGAGGCATTGGGTCTCTGTGTGTCTATGTTGTGTGTCTCTGTGTTGTCTCTCTCTGCTTGTGTGTCTGTGTGTCTCCGTGTCTGCGTTTTGTCTCTCTCTCAAGTTTAGTTCTACCTGATGACGACTGCTTGTGTTGCAATCGAAACGTCGTATTCTATTATTTAATTTATATTTTTTCTACGTGACTTTACCGAAAGAACCAAAGAGTGATGTCCCATATTTCAAGCCATCCGCTCAGCAGTGTGTGCGGCCTGCGCGTCTCGCAGTGTGTGCCTCGCATGCCGTGGATCTCGCGTGTGATGCGTGTGTCACGCGTGACGTGTGTGGTGATGCGTGCGGCGTGGAGAGCTGTAGTGTAGCGGTTAGAGCGCTGCACAACAAACCCGGTGACCCGAGTTCGATTCCTGCTCATGGCGAACACAAGTGACGATTATATCCGAACTGGTCCTGGGCCTCCCCTTGGTCGACGAAGCCTGAAATATGAGCACCTGGTGCGGTGTGTAAACATCGCCACTAGGGAGACAAAGGCACGTGGGCATGGTGCTGGCCACCTACCCCCTCTTGTGCCATGCTTACCTTCATAGGTGCTCACTTACAGCACTTGCCCCAAAAGTCTGTTCAGGCGTTACGGGGGATCTTTGTCTTTGGCATGAAGGCCGAGCGCCCAGACACCATGCTGGGCGTTGCGTGCGGAGCTCTGCACGTAGCTGAGGCGGCGTTCATGACGTCCACGTCCGACTTCCTGCACGCGCTCGAGAGGTGAGGCTACCGCATTTCTAGAAGGCGCAACCAGGGCACATGGTGAGCCGACAGCCTCTCTCTCATATAGCCCCGCCTACTTTTTCATAGTCACGCCCAGTCAAACACTAGCCCCTCCCACAGTGAGAGGCCCTCTCTTTCTTAAAGATTGCTTCTGCTGATCATTGGCCCCACTCATTGAACTGCCAACCCCACCCACTGCTCAGGTTGTCCCACCCACTGCTCAGGTAGCCCCACCCAATGCTCAAGTAGCCACCACCCACTACTCAGGTAGCCCCATCCACTGCTCAAGTAGCCCCACCCACTGCTCAGATAGCCCCACCCACTGCTCAAGTAGCCACCACCCACTACTCAGGTAGCCCCACCCACTGCTCAAGTAGCCCCACCCACTGCTCAGATAGCCCCACCCACTACTCAGGTTGCCCCACCCACTGCTCAAGTAGCCACCACCCACTACTCAGGTAGCCTCCCGCAAATGGTTTTGTATTTACACACGAACAGCGGGCCCTGTGTGGAAGGTAACGAGAAATTTCAGCTCTCATTTGTGGGACCTCTTCTCTGCGTTGACCCTCTTTCTACTTCGATCTTTGCTTTGTTTTTGTGGAAAACAAAAACAAAGATCCCCATCTCTTGAAGATTCTGTTTAACATTCCCAAGTTTACCGGATGCACATCTGTAATTCATTGCCTACGAGGCAAGGGTTTGTAGATCACGCAAGACTTTAAATACACATATGCTCTAGGTTGAGAGGTAACCAGTTGATGGCAGGACAGCAAATATATTTAATCCATCTATGCTGGCCTTTGAATGTAATTCCCTTGCGTGTGCGATTTTTCGCTGGATTCTCCGGTTTCTCTCCACATGCCAAACTATCACGAATGAAATTGACATGTAGGATCTGAAAAAAAATATCTTCATGCCACTGTCTAAGACCACGTGTCGGTGTACTCTGAAGGATGTGTAAGTCCTGCTGATTAGTGGAATCTGCCAATACATGAGATTGTGTCGGTGTACTGTGAGCGTATGGTAATTCCTGCTGACGAGCGATGGGTTTATTACATCGCAGGAGCGACAGCGGTGGTGGTTGTGGCGGCGGCTTGGGGAGGCCTCCACGTAGCAGTGGACTGAGCATGCTTGATGATAACGAGCGATGGGGGTGGCTTACCGTGAGACGTAGTGTCCCAGGTACTGTGAGCCTGACGAGTGATGAGCGCCGCGTGCCATGCAGGGGACAGGTGCTGCCGGCGCACACCTTCTCCAACACGATCCCCGTGGAGCTCATTTACGATGGGGTCAAGTACGCGCTGCAGGTGAGGAGCAAGGCCACACCCTCTACCCCCCTCTACCCACCCCCCCCCCACCCACCCATACTCCTCCCACCCTTTGATTCGTTGTTTTTTTTCTGAAACAAGTGTTACACAGATCCCGGTTGTTTTCAATGGCGGCATTTACCAAAAATAGAAACGGAACGGTTGGCGGATTCGCCGATTTAAATTATTGCGGGTCTGATATTGCGGCTGCAGGTCTCCCGGCAGTCCCCCACGACGTACGTGATCATCATGAACGGCTCATCCGTCGAGGTGGACGCCCACCGGCTGAGCGACGGCGGCCTCCTCCTGTCCTACGCGGGCAGCAGCCACACCACCTACATGAAGGAGGAGATCGGCAGGTCCGTCTCAAGCGAGCGATCGATCGATCGATGTTTGTTCTTTGCGCGGGAAAGTCCCGTGTCGCCGCTTACCCCTGCTCGGTTGCAAGGGAGATCCGCGGTGCCATTTTCCACGGAGCCACAGCATCAAAGTGATTCGTGCGGAAGAGCAGGCAGCAAAAGAGCAGACCGCGTCAGGGGTGCAGGCAGTTTGGGGCTACCATTGCGAATAATTTGTTTGGTCTAAGCGTTTTGATAAATCAGCACTTCGCTAAGTCGGCGGCCGCCACTTAAGCTCTATCCCTTACTTTGAAAGCTTTACGGACCAATTGACGTACCGATGCATTTGTTTAATTATAAATGCGTTTTTATTTAATTTAAAATAAAAATAAACGTAAATAAATGTCTACTAAAAAAAAATCCTTCCAATTGTGCTGTTGGCAAGATGTAGTGAGACAATTAGTCCATCGGAACTTCTGTTGACGAGCAACAAAATGAGTCTGGTGATGCACGCATGTGTTTGCGTAGGTGCTCACTAACAGCACTTTCCCCAACAGTCTGTTAAGGCTGTACGTGGGTTCTATGTCTTTCGACCTCCTTTGCCAGTACCAAAATGTAATAATAGGGTTTTTCCCCTTTTTTTTCTGGCAACAAAACTGAAACCTTTTTTTACGAGGATTCATGTCTGCATTAACCACAATACCTGCAGTCAAAATGCAAAAAAAAAAACACACTGATAATATATGCATTGTCCTTGAAACTGATTGGTCCACACCAGAGACCGCTTCCTTTTGAGCCTCGTCTCAATTGGTGCTAGACAAGAGGACGCCAAAAGGCGTACAGCTCAAAGACAATGCACTATCAAAGTAATGAGGGCTCGGTGGTGAGCACCTACATCATTAGATCTCCTTTTCCAGTACCAAAATGTAATAATAGGGTTTTCCCATGTTTTCTGGCAGCAAAACTGAAACCTTTTTACAAGGATTCATGTCTGCATTAACCACAATACCTGCAGTCAAAATGCAAACAAAAACATACTATGATAATATATACATTGTCCAGGGACGTCTTTCTTTTGAGCCTCGACTCGTACTCGTACGCCTTTTGGCGTCATCTGGTTGAGCACCAATTGGGTCGTGGCTCAAAAGAAAGCCGTCCCTTGGTGTGGACCAATCAGTTTCAAGGACAATGCATCATATATTATCATAGATATGTTTTTGTTTGCATTTTGACTGCAGGTATTGTGGTTAATGCAGACATGAATCCTTGCAAAAAGGTTTCAGTTTTGTTGCCAGAAACAAGGGGAAAACCCCTATTATTATTCTATGTTTGTGTTTGTGTAGCAAGGAGCGGTGGCACAACGGTTAGCGCTCTCTGCTATATACCGGCGACCCGACTTCGATGCTTGCTCACAGCAAACACCAGTGGCGATAATCTGCACTGGTCCTGGGCCTCCCCGTGTCTGACTCGGCCTCAAATAATTAACTGGTGTCGTGCGTAAACATCGCCACGAGGGAGACCAAGGCGGCAGGACTTGGTGGTGGCCACGCCACCGCTTCTTGTGCCGTGCCGTCCTTCATAAATGCTCGCGAACGGCACTTGCCCCGGCGGTCTGTTACAGTTTCATGGGGGGGGGGGGGGGTGATCTTTGTGTGCGTGTGAAATTTTTCCTGATCTGGAACACGGGGACGCGACGACAGATTCCGCGTGACCATCGGGAACAAGACGTGCGTGTTTGAGAAGGAGAACGACCCGTCCGTGCTAAGGGCGCCCTCCGCTGGAAAGCTCATGCACTACTTGCTGGAGGACGGGGGCCATGCCATCGCTGGGCAATGCTACGCCGAGATGGAGGTGTGTGTGTTAGTGGGGAGCAGCGGTATAGTGGTTAGCACACTGCGCGTACGTATGAACCTGGCCCATCCGAGTCCGATTCCCACTCATGGCCACTAATACCAGTGAGGATAATTATCTGTTCTGGTCCTGAGCGTCACCGAGGTCTATTCGGTCTCGCTTGAGTGCCTGGTGCGGTGTGTATTTATCGCCACTGAAGATACTGAGGCGGTCGGGCGTGGTGCTGGCCACCCACCCCCTTGTGTGCCATGCCGGCCTTCATAGGTGCTTGCTTACAGCACTTGCCCAAAATTTTTGTTGAGGCTATTGAAGGGGGATCTTTGTCTTTGTTAATGGGGAGTGGTAGTGTCATGGTTAGCACGCTACGCTACGAACCCGGCGACCAGAGTTGGATGGCGAATATGTGAACCGGTCCTGGGCCTCGGCTAGGTCGACTCAACCTTAAGTATGTGCCTGGTGCGCTGTGTAAACATTGGCTTTGGGGAGACAAAAGCGACCAGGCGTGGTGTTGGCCACCCACCCCCTCATGAGCCTTGCCGGCTTTCCATGGAGCTCGCTAACAGCACTTGCCCCAACATTCTGCTAACGGCTCTACGGGGGGGGGGGTGCTTTGGGGGAATCTTTGTCTCTTTGTGTGCCGTGGGCAGGTGATGAAGATGGTAATGACGCTGACGGTGCCCCAGGGCGGCTGCGTGCACCATGTGAAGCGCCCGGGCACAGTGCTCGAGGTCGGCTGTGTGGTGGCCCGGCTGCAGCTCGACAATCCCTCCAGCGTCCCCCAGGTGTCCCGACATCGCACAACAACACCGACAACAGCGACAATGCCCGTTTGCAGGCCGGTGCAGCGAGAGCACTTTGTGCCAGACGGTGACAGCTGCCACTGGGGGGGGGGAGGGGGGGGTCTCGGCTTTGGCCATAGACGGCCGTGGGTCAATAGAACAGTTGAGATGACATGCGATGTAAAGCGTTTTGAGTTGTTGAGGCATTTAAGCGCCCTGTCAGTGCCAGTACAATATTCGTAATCGGTAGCAGTTTGGAGGCATCCTGGGTGGTTTACGCGTCAGAGCACCGAGCTGCCGCTGCTGAGATCCTGGGTGTGGATCTGGGGTTCACCAACCCGAGGCCACATTCAGGGGTCCGTCATAGTTATGGAACGATGGATTGATTTGTTGATTCGAATGGTGTGTGTAATAACTTATTAGTATTATGTTCTTATCATATGCTACGGTTACATTTTGACTCGTGAAGCAAACATCTGTACACTGACCAAGGCCAAATGAATCGGGAAGTGAACAAGAAAAAGCATGTCCCCAAATGGTGGGAATTAATTGCGTTTGCTGGGAGGTCCTCGTGTGACCTCTGCGATGGGAACCACGGCTGCCGAGGCAGCAAGGACCGACAAGGCCTGGACGGACGACATGAGCAGCTGGGCATTGTGCTGAAACTGGTTACCTCGGTTTGATTACCGGTGACGGTTAATTTCAGTGGCGAGTGATGTTTGAAGCAGTCCTGGACAACCCTGCCAAGGTCAACTCGACCTTACATAAGCAATGTGGTGTATGAATCTTTGCAGTGGGGAGACAAAAGTGGGTTGGATATGGTGCTGGTCACACCGCCACTTCGTGTGCCATGCCAGCCGTAATGGACGCTTGCTTGCAAGCCCTTGCTCCCGGGGACAGTCTGTCTCAGACATGGGGTCAGTTATAACTCCAATTACAGAAGCATTGTTAGCTGAAATTACCACGGTACAATTTTTGCCATTTGAAATGACACAATTATAATTGTATCTGACCGTGGATCTGGGGTGGTGTGTGCCTCTTTGGTGACAAGTTTTGTTTCTGTGCGTGTGGGCCCCTCTCAGGCCGAGCTGTGCGTGAGCCTGCTCCCGCAACAGCAGTCGCTGCCCCTGAGAGGAGGCAAGCAGCACCAGGTTTACCACACCATCCTGGAGAACCTCCTCAACGTCATGCACGGCTACTGCCTACCTGAGCCGTTCTTCAGCTCCAAGGTTTGTTCGCCTGTCGGGTGGCATGAGTTCCACCTCGCCTGGCATACGGGAGGTCGTGGGTTCCATTCCGACCCTGGCACCTGCGTGCTTGGAGTTTGCACGTTCTCCCTGTGGTCGCGTGGAATTTTTTTCCGGGTCCTCTGGTTTCTCCCTCCACAATGGCTGCTATAAATTTGCACGCGATAAGCCGCTTCGTTGAGCTATCATTTGTGGCCCCATCGCTTCTGAAAAAAAGCTAATAGCTCGGTGGACCTGGTAAAATAAAAAAATATTTTGTTTGTTCATCAACTTATACCATGATTCAATGTTTTTGTGAGATTGGCTGTTTTTTCTTTGCCAATCCGCGGTTGGATCGGAGAGCAAAATTGCAAGCTCGAGAAATCGTTTTGACTGTTAGGAACGGTTTGTGGGCTCGGGCAGGACACGTCGCTCAGGGCGGGAGGGGGCGATGGCCGGTGGACGAGACTATTGATGGGTTGGCAGCCATTTTTATACCGTACGATACAATATACACATTTCCACAATGTGGGTATTCATAACAGAGGTTTTTTTTGGGTTAGATCGCGTAAATATATAAATGTGTCGTTAAACCCGCCACCACCCGACACGGCCAGTTAGTAAGATTTGTCACGTAAACAAAACGTGCCAATTTGTTACTAGTACAGCACACCGGTGTGATGGAGAGTAAACCCACAATATTTACAATTCGAGCACGACCTTTCGCCAGTAAATCCATTGTAATTTATATGCATACTTTCACCCCCCCCCCTCCCCGGCACTTCGTACCTGATTTACTCACAAGTGACGACACCACTGCAATTTACTCTCCAACACACCGGTGTGCCGTACTGGTGTTGACGCTCGTGTGCTCGCGTGCGCGAGCAGGTGAAGGGCTGGGTGGAGGTGCTGATGATGACCCTGAGGGACCCTTCCCTGCCACTGCTGGAGCTCCAGGAGCTCATGACGAGCATCGCCGGGCGCATCCCCTCGCCGGTGGAGAATGCCATCCGCCGGGAGATGGCGCAGTACGCCAGCAACATCACCTCGGTGCTCTGCCAGTTCCCCAGCCAGCAGGTGCCACATCGCCGCTCACTTTGTTCAGTTTGCCGGGGCGGATGGGGAGGGGGTGGATGGGAGGGGTGGGCGGAGGGTGGGGGTGAACGGAGCGGGGGGGAGGGGCGGGGGGTGTATTGGGGTGGATGGGGTTGGGGTGGAGCAATCGTCGGTGCCGTTGCTCAATTTCTTCTCGAACGTAGTTTCTTTTGCTCAAACCATTCTTCAGTTGCTTTTGCTCTGATTTCTATTTGCTTAATTGGTGTACTCCACTTAGTTTTTACCTTTAGGCTTTTGCAAATCTGATGACGCAGGTCGCCCTTTGCAAACGAGACTACATCCTTGTCTTACGAGTCCTCGCCCGGTTTAAATAAAACAAACTTGACGCCTTTTCTTGTTGCGTGCGCCTCTATTCTGCCGACGGCGGCAGATCGCCAACACCCTGGACAGCCACGCGGCGACGCTGCAGCGCAAAGCCGACCGGGAGGTCTTCTTCATGAACGTGCAGGGCATCCTGGTCCTGGTCCAGCGGTAGGCACACCTGGGCACAAGCGCCACTCTTACTTCCCCCCGCAGCTCCCATTTAGTGCGGTCGGCTACGTACGGTGCGATAGAAGTTCAACATACATACACGCGTACGAAGGTAGCCAGGCGTGGCAAGAGACACACCACCACCCCCTCCGAGCACTGTGCCCGACTTCATCGGCGCTCGCTGGCAGTACTATTGTACAGCTGAATGGGGGGGTCGGGGGAATCTCTTCCGCTCTAACAGGTATCGCAGTGGCACCCGGGGCCACATGAAGACAGTGCTGCTGGACCTGCTGCGCGAGTATCTCAAGGTGGAGACCCAGTTTCAGCAAGGTGCCCTCTCGCATGATCACAAGTCCGCGAGGACTCTCTCTCTCTGCTGCCCCCGTAGTCTGGGACCCTCTTGTCCCAGCCATCCGTGCCGTCGATTCCCTGCTCCTTTTCAAGGCCTAGGGCGTTTTTTATTTTTCCCCACTGCCTATGACTGCCTCAACTTGGTGGTGGTGGCACAGCAATTTGGCACAGTAGGGGAAACAGGTGGTGCATCAGCCCGTCATGGCACCTGGGTCTGTCTCGTGACATGCTGGCAGTGGGCGTTCGACACTTCACTTGGCCTTAAAGTGCACATAGCCTGGCACAAGCGCCGTGGTGATGTCACCGCCAGTTAGTGGCGAATGGCGGTTGTTGTTGTTGTTGGCACAGTGGTTAGCCTACTGTGCTATGGAACTGGAAACCCGGGTTTAATTTTGAGCCGCGTCTGATATCGGTTGAGAGTGATATCTGAACCAGTCCTGGGCCCCAGCTTCTCCAACCCACGCTCGCCAGCATTGTGAAATGTGGTTAAACAAACTCTTGTGGCTAATCGGAGGGCTAATGTCGCTCCTCTTTCCTCCCTGCCCTGCTTCTGCCCACCCCCCCCCCTTATATGACACCACACATGTTTAGGAAAGGTCCCAGAAATCTCAACACAATTTTACGGCAAACACAATGTAACCATATTCTTGGTTCTTTCGGTAAAGTCACGTAGAAGGGAAACAATAAAATAATAAAAATATAAAACAATAAAATTATCACGACGTTTCGACTGCAACACAAGCAATCATCATCAGGTGTGAAAACCACAACAAGAAAATTTGATGATGATCGCTTGTGTTGCAGTCGAAACGTCGCCAGACTTTTATTGTTTTATATATTTGTATTATTTTATTGTTTCCCCTTCCACGCGACTTTACCGAAAGAACCAAGAACACGAATCCCTGCAGTCACGAAAGCTTTAAATCAAAATGCAATGTAACCAATTTCCCTTTTGCTACAATTTCATCTGCGCGGCCTTGTTACTGTTGCGTGGGGTTTAAATAGCTCGTCGTTTGTCATCGAGTGGCGAGCAAAAATCTCGGAGTGCGTCTATTGACCATTAACTTGTCTGTCACAGGGCACTATGACAAGTGCGTGATTGCTCTGCGGGAGACGCACAAGGGAGACATGACGTCGGTGCTCAAGCTCATCTTTTCGCATGCTCAAGTGGCCAAGAAGAACATCCTGGTCACAATGCTCATTGTGAGTTGCCCTTGCGACTGGTCCCTTGTTTGTGGCGGCGCCAAGTTCGGCGCCAACGGTGTTACGGGCGCGCCCGTGGCTGTAGACCTGAACAACGCTGAGGCATAAGCCGTCACGTGAACTCCGGTCATCCTCGCAGCGGTTGTCCTTCTCCCGCAACTCCGATTAGCACGGTTGGCTACGTACGGCGCAAAAGAAGTTCATCATACATAAGCGGTGACCTGGTGCGTGGATGACAATGGAAATTCGTAAAAATATGGCCTCGGTGCCAACGCGAATTGATATTGTTGCCAAGGCGACTTGCTCACAGTGTGCAAGCAATTGTTTTTGCAGACTTTATCGTAAGAATGACAAAGAACATATTTTTTTAAGGATAAAATGTTGTTTGTTCTGTTTCAGAAAAAAATGCTTAAGTTAATAGAACGAATTGATAAAATCCCGTTTAGTGCTTACCTTTTGGATTTTCCATGACCAAATTTCCCGAGCGGGAATGAGAAACCACAAGTGGAGAATTTTTATTTCGTAGTTTTTTCACGCTTACTGTACATACAGCATAGTGTAATGGGATGTAGTCTTTACCAGCCTGCGCTAAGCAGCATGGTGAAGTATGGTCAAACAACCTCCATTCGTGACAAGGGGTAGTGAGGCCTTTATTCACTCGTGTATTTTAATAGGATTGTGAATTATATTCTTGGGTCTTTCAGTAAAGCCACGTAGATAGATCAGCTAATAAAAAATAATAAAAATAATAATGACAACAATTTTGATTTAAAGCTTTCGTGACTGCAGGGATTCATATTCTTGGTTCTTTCGGTAAAGTCACGTAGAAGGGAAACAATAAAATAATTCAAATATAAAACAATAAAATTATCACGACGTTTCGACTGCAACACAAGCAATCATCATCAGGTGTGAAAGCCACAGCAAGATGATGTTTGCTTGTGTTGCAGTCGAAACGTCGTGAGAATTTTATTGTTCTATATTTTTATTATTTAATTGTTTCCCTTCTACGTGACTTTACCGAAAGAACCAAGAATATCAATAACAATATCACAATTTTTAATTATTTGATCTATCTAATTTGCAGTTTGACAAATCGCCTGAAATGTGCCCGATCTCGTCCGCTCCCCGGAGCGAAGCAGAGTTGAGCCTGGACAGTGCCTGGATGGGTGACCACCAAGCACGTGGGGCTGTGCTACACGGCAGTCAGAAGAGGTGCAGGGCAGTGAAATCCATCGTTGCGCTGTACTTGCATTCTCTCACGATGCTAGTGTGCACCGACATGCACTGACCAGTGTGGTGAAGTCTGGTCAAGTGACCCCCGCGACTCGCGTGGCTGTGGGGGTGGCCCTCGTCCACGAGTGTGGACGGACGTGCGCATTCACAGCTTGAGAACTGTGTCTTCGTGCGTCTTAAAATGTCAAGTGAACCCGCGAAACGTCTCGCTTGAAGGAATGTGTTCACGCTTGCCCCTGTTCGCCACAGTGTGGTATCAGGAGGCATGAGATGAAGGGTCAAATGAGTTTGACCTCTGGGTCTCGCAGCCACTGTTGCGAGGTTTCACGAGCCGGCGGAATGAGCCGTGTCGCTTTTTTGTCGTTTGTCCTCTCCGCCTCAATGCGCCCGCCTTTGTTTAGGACCAGCTGTGTGGCCGAGACCCGACGCTGACGGAGGAGCTCACCAACATCCTCAACGAGCTCACGCAGCTCAACAAGACCACCAATGCTCGCGTTGCGCTACGCGCCCGACAGGTGCCGCTCGGCCGACTGCCTCGTTCTCTCTCCAAAATGCACGTGCCCCGCCGCTGCTTCTCCCCGCGGCGGCTTGATGAGCCGATGCGCACACACTCGCAACTTTTTATTGATTGCTTTCACCGCGAGCCGTTGCCCAGGTGCGGTGACGTGAGATGGTGGGGTGGGGAGTTTAACTGCAAAGAGCGGGGCGACTTTGATGCGATTTGTATCGGCGCTTCCCCTGGACCAACCGCCCCCTAGGTGCTCATTGCCTGCCACCTGCCATCCTATGAGCTGCGGCACAACCAAGTGGAGTCCATCTTCCTGTCGGCCATCGACATGTACGGCCACCAGTTCTGTCCTGAAAACCTGAAGGTGCGTGTGTGTGTGTACCTGTGTGTTCGAGCAGTTCCGGAGAGAGTGGAGAGTTTCCCATACCTGGGCAGTGTGCTTATGACTAGCTCCGGTTTGACAGCAGAGGTCTTACTCAGTCAGGCAGCATTATATTTTAATCGGCTGCATAATGCTGTGTGGAAGCTACCTGGTCTGTCATTCCGCACGAAGTTTCGAGTCTTCTCGGCCAAAGTCATGCCCTGCCTTCTCTATGCTTGTGAAACTTGGACCCCTCTGGTGGAACATCTGCGCTAGAAACATTCAGGCTGGCTTGCCTATGATCCATCCTGGGTTTAACCAGGCTGGTTTGTGTGAGGAGCTCACAAATCCTTGAAAGATCTGGACGCATCCCCATCGGTGAGCCCCTCCGGCAGGCAAGGCTGTGTTGGCTGGGTCATGTAGCCCGTATGCCCAGCCACCGCATGCCCAAGCAACTTCTATTTGGCCGCATAGAGGGGGATAAACAGGCAGGACATGGACTGGAGAGGAGGTGGACTGATGCGGTACGGGAGGATGTGGAGCTGAGTGGACGTGTCGAAGACTGGTACCAGCGGTGTCAAGATCGGCCTCTGTGGAAGAGGCTCGTGAAGGACGCTGCTGCTACTGGGGAGTTGGAGGAAGTCGCCTTCCGACAACAACTGAGGGCAGAGGAGCGACGCTCACAACAATGAGCGGAGCACTGGGCGGCTAAGATGCAGCAAGTTGGCACAGTAGTGGGTACAGCTGGTGCATCTGTCAGTCATCTTAGTCAGCCAACCCATGGCACCTGGGTCTGTCCCATTACCTCCTATCAGCGAGCCTTGGACGCTTCACGTGGCCTCAAAAGTGCACCTGGCCTGGCACAGGCGCCATGGAGACGTTACTGTCCCTTAGCGACGGATGGCGGTTGTGTTGGTAGTGGTGCCTGTGTGTCGTGGCAGTGCAGCCATTATCGTGCAGCGCTATGAGCCCGACGGCCCGAGTTAGATTCCCGCTCACGACCAACACCAGTGACGGGTTATTTTAACCGGTCCTGGGCCTCCCGTAGGTCGACTCGGCCTCACATGAGTACCTGGTGTGGTGCGAGCACCCTATGAAGGTTGTTCCAGCCTTCATAGGTGCTACTCGCTAACAGCACTTGTCCCAACAGTCTGTTAATGCTTTACGGGGGGGGGGGGGGAATCCTTTGTCATTGTGGGTAGCAGTAAACTTTGTTTAGGCTATATGGGTGATTTTTTTTTGTCTATGTGGGGAGCAATAGTGTCGTGCTTGGCACACTTGCACCCGGAACTGGTGACCACTCCCAAGTTCGAGTCCCGGCCGTGACTAACATGAGTGGTGATGATGTGATCCAGTACAAGCCCTTGCCTAGGTTTATCTGAGCCTGAAATGGGTACCTGTTGTGGTATGTAAACATCGGCACTGGGAAGACAAAGGCGTCCAGGCGTGGTGTTGGCCACACCACCCCCAACGTGCGCCGTGCCTGCCTTAATAGGTGTTTGCTAACGGCACTTGCGGGGGGGGGGGGGGGGGGCGGGGATCTTTTGTGAGTGAGGATTTTCTTAAGGCACTGCCCAACTGAATTTCCAAATGTATTTATCCTCTCACGACATGATGCCTATGGCACAATGGGAATCCGCTTGAGAAAAAAGACAAAGGAGACAAAGGAACCCCGAAGAAGCTAATTTATTTAACTTTGCATCTCCCTTTCAGAAACTCATCATGTCTGAGACGTCTATCTTTGACGTGCTTCCAAACTTCTTTTATCACAGCAACCAGGTCGTCCGCATGGCTGCCCTGGAGGTGAGCTTTAAAGTGTATATATCATCATCATCATCGTCATCATCGTAATCATCTTCAACCACGGGCTATCCACTACTGGATGGTCTCCCCGTGATTTAATCTCTCACAAATCCCATGTGCCACCACACTGCATCTCTGGTGCACAAAGTTGAGTTTATGTATCTGTTATATCAGAATCAACATAAGCATCATCAGCCATGGTCTCTCCACTGTTGTATGAAGGCTTACCCGTTGCCTTCGCATCCCTCACCGTTGCTGTGTGCCCCCACAATCCACCTCTGGCACATGAGCTGATCTCATTACTCTCCATCCCTGTGGTCATCACCCTCTCGGATGCATTGCCTCATTTAACGGTCGTTCCCATCGCAAATATAGTCCATCAGCCATCATCTCTTCGAACGATTGTGTCCTGTCCCCTGTTGCTGTGTGCCCCCACAATCCATCTCTGGCACATGAGCTGATCTCAATACTCTCCATCTCTGTGGTCATCACCCTCTCGGATGCATTCCCTCATTTAGCGGTCGTTCCCATCGCAAATATAGTCCATCAGCCATCATCTCTTCCAGCGATTGTGTCCTGTCCCCTGTTGCTGTGTGCCCCCACAATCCATCTCTGGCACATGAGCTGATCTCATTACTCTCCATCTCTGTGGTCATCACCCTCTCGGATGCATTCCCTCATTTAACGGTCGTTCCCATCGCAAATATAGTCCATCAGCCATCATCTCTTCGAGCGATTGTGTCCTGTCCCCACCCATGAATGTGATGTGTACAATGTGTTTGTTCTCTGATCCACATTCCTCTTTCTGTCTTTTAGTGTATTTTTACGACTGTTGTTATTACGTTAGTTTATCTTTGGAAACCTCACCGAGTCTCATTACCTTTTTCCATGAGGGTCCTGCCAAATTTACGCATTTTGGGGGTGGGGTGGGGCGATGATTTCAATGTTTTAATCCCAATTGAATCATTGTAATGTATCGTTATAACAAATTTGGACGATTACATCAGAACGCAGTAGCGTAATCTGGTGAAGGACAACGCAAAATCTTTAACGTCCACTCTGAAGCAGATGTCACGTAGTATTCCACGGTTCATGCACAGACGGTAGTAACCTGGGCGGCCACTGGATTTTGAACCGTCAGCCGTCTGCGACAAGTGGCGAAACTTGCTGCCGCTGGGCCACGTCAGCGTAATGGACCTACTCAGGGGGCCCTATTTAATAATTACCACGTTACAATATAAATCCACATTCTATTGCGTTGTAAGTATGGCGGTGGGCGAGCGAGTGATTGGTGTTTGCTGTTTGGCATAGGTGTACGTGCGGCGGGCGTACATCGCCTACGAGCTCAACAGCCTTCAGCACCACCAGCTGAAGGACAGCTCCTGCATTGTGGAGTTTCAGTTTATGCTGCCCTCCTCTCACCCCAACAGGTCCTCAGCACTGAATAATTGTCCTGTGTTTACTCAAGGGTGCCACGCAGTCGAGATGTTAGCTACTACCTCGCCTGGTATGCAGCAGGCCGTGGGTTCGATCCCGACCCCGACGCCTGCATATTTGGAGTTTTCATGTTCTCCCTGTGATCACGTGGATTTTCTACGGGTCCTCTGATTTTCCCCTCCACATTTAGAAATGTGTTTAGAGTGTTTGATTGCTATACATTTCCACGTGATGATAAGGCACTTTGTTGAGCTATCATTTGTAGCCAGGTCGCTTCTGAAAAAGAGACAGCTCAGTGGGCCTTACCTGGTAAAATAATAAACTAAAAATGTACACTATTTTATTTATTTATCAACTAAAAATAGTTTAAATTTTGATTTAAAGCTTTCGTGACTGCAGGGATTCATATTCTTGGTTCTTTCGGTAAAGTCACGTAGAAGGGAAACAATAAATTATAAAAATATAAAACAATAAAATTCTCACGACGTTTCGACTGCAACACAAGCAAGCATCATCAGGTGTGAAAACCACTGCGGTGGCTTATCATTACGTGGAAATGTATAGCAATCAAACACTCTAAACACATTTCTAAATGTGGAGGGGAAAAACAGAGGACCCGTGGAAAATCCACGCGATCACAGGGAGAACATGAAAAATATACAGGCTGTGGTTTTCACACCTGATGATGATTGCTTGTGTTGCAGTCGAAACGTTGTGAGAATTTTATTGTTTTATATTTTTATTATTGTTTCCCTTCTACGTGACTTTACCGAAAGAACCAAAAATTGTTTAGTTTAAATTTCTAGTTGATAAAATAAAAATTGTTTATAGTTTACTCTCTTTTACTGCAAGAGGCCCAGCCCTGCAGTTGCTCGCTCACACCACTGCTGGTGGTAGGGCATCCACATGAGACGCCACTAAAGGGCCCCTCTTTAAGGTATTTGGTCTACTCTTTCACACTGGTCAGATGTCTTGGAAGAGGTGGGGGTACCCGCATTTTACCCCACCACAAGAGCAACTAATTGTGGGGGTAGTCGATGTGTCAACTCCTAGTTATGCCTGGTAAAGTAGTAATTTGTGTTCTAGTAATCTGAGGATGCGGTTGATGTGCTTGGCAATACAGCTTTAAAACGGTTTTTATCCTCAATTTACCCGCGAAACATGCATCACCATGAATTTCCATCCCATTGAGTATAAAGTGGTGTGCAGACCGTCACTGCTGAGTTGTTACTAAATGCATTCTTTTAAATGTACTGTAATTCCCTTCTATCTCTCCTGCTCTGTAATGACACCCTGTGGGTTTTGTTGTTAGGGTTGTGCATGTTCATCTTCACAAATCTAAGGGCAACTATTTCTTGCAGCGAGTACTGGGGGTGGGGGGGGGGGATACAGGTGCGGCAATAGCGGAGCAGCTGGATGGGGACAAAAGCTTTCAGCTTGATGGGGGTGAAAAAAAAATCCCCGGGTAAACACGGTCGTTCTGCACAATTGGTACCCTGCGCCAGACACAGGGGAAATGCGCGAGCGCGTAAGCCCTTTGACGTCGGGAACAAATAGGAGCACGCCGGTCGTACTCTCATTAAACGTTTTTAAATTTAAAGACATACTTGCATAGCCGTAAGCTACCGCTCGTAGCAATTGACTGTTAAGGTAATTGGACTCATCGGCGTAACAAATCGTGGACCTGCTGCGCGTACGCAAAGGTTTATTTTATTGTAGAAGACATTGTGCCCTTTCAGGGGTTGTCTCTGCTATCTGAAGCTCTGACACGAACACTTTCCCCGCACCCGTTGACTCTTGCTGCTGGAAATATCCTGTCTCTGTGTTTTACCCTTTTTTGCTCGTCCCATCTTCCCGTCTGCCTGTCTCTTGCTTCCAGAGGGAGCAGTGCCTGCAAGCATGGCAGGTATTGGTCTCATCCCTCAATGTGCACGTCTGGAGCAACGCAGACCGATTGAACTCAAACGCACCTCGACCTAATGCCCAAAAACACCCAAGCCCCTCGCATGCGTTTTCCTGGTTGTACCGCGTAATGTTTGGCATGATGTCCAATGTTTCACTCCCACGTGCTCGTGAAGAAGCTCACAGCACGTGGAGAGATACGTCGGACATTGTGCTGAACAGTACACGGTACTACCCAAAAACACTTTGTGGAGTGATCCAGCACAACCGCGAAAAAACTCCACACTTGGCCAAGCCTCTATTGTGAATGACTGCTGGCCGGCTACTTCTTCTTTAGAAGCTCATTTCACTTGGTGGTGTTGCACACGGGTTATGCCAGTGATTGGATGGTGTATGCCTTTGAGTTCAGATCAAGGCGTCGTTCGTTGAAAAAGAAGCCTAAAGCTTTTGCCTATATAGAACGAGTACACTGCTTTCATTGCTCCATTGAAATAACGGACTAAGGCATTTGGCAGTTGTATTGACGGAGATAATTCCCCTGTTTTTGCAAATACGAATCGCTTAATAAGCTGTAAAGCGCTGTCTCCGCTGTGCCGGACATCACCGCAAGTTGGTCGATTGCGTTGACGCACACGGCTCGGGTCCACGCGCGCTGCATTTTTCCCGAGCCGCAGTGCGCCGTGCATCGTGAGCGCGTGGAGCGACCCTCTCGCCTTATCCGCAGGATGTCGGCCATCGCCGCCAACCAGTCGCACTACACGGACGTGATCCGCACTGTGGGCTCTCAGGAGGTCATCACCGACGCGTCCTACACGCCGCCCTGCCAACGCATGGGCGCCATGCTGGCCTTTGACAACTTGGATCAACTCGTGCAGTGAGCGCTGAGCGCAGTCGAAGGGGGCGGCCTTTAGTTGTGACCATCTGTGACAGCGGAGAGGCATGGGGCCCTGGGGCAAGCAATGGAATGGGGTCACCTGTCCACCCCCCCCCCCCACCACCACCCCCCTAAGTAGCTCAGCACCTGGGCCCATCTGAACCGTGGGCTCTCATGTAGTTCAACCGCCTGCATGCTTGATAGCTACACCGCTGATCTTTGATGAGCCTTTTTAGATTATAAGGGTCTGGTGTACAGCAGGACTAAGCAGAAACTGCCTTCGATTAGAAAGAGCCAAAAGGTATAATCGTTTTGGGGCGAGTTATTTTTTTACATCCAATTATCATCAAGATGTGTTATCCACTTACATGTGAACTAGATTCTAAGGATCCTTTTTGTTTTACAATGGTCGTCTGGTGCAGTGTGCATGCCAAATTAGAGGGGCACATCCGTTGCAAATATGTTGCAGCGTGAAAATAATTATTGTCTTGAGATGGCATATTTAACATGTTGATAAAAAACTATATAAATATAATTGGTACGAACAAATCAATGTCTTGCTTTATGCAGAGGACACAAATGCATCTTTTGTATGTCGGCTGTAAATTCCCTTTCACGTGGATTTTAAACAAAATATTCCGCGATCCTTAACTTGACGAGCTGCGTTTTCACACGTTGGGTGTTCATCTTGCATTCCAGGAACTTCGACGAAGTGCTGCAGTGCTTTTCCAACTGGCCGTCCGAAGGATCTTCGTTGACAGATGCTGGCTGCAGCACACTCTACCACGACGACAGCAAAGTGAGGTTTTGATTGTAATAATAATGATCATGATGCCCTTAATTTAATAGGAATGTTTATTTTTTTATAATCTAGAATTTCTAACGTGCACAGTTTTTCGATCTCTCTCGGAGAGAGACTGAATCAGAGGTGTGGGAAGCTACAGCTGGGCCGGAAGGTAACCAGGACTGTTGCCGAGAATTGCCCAAGCTTTGTTGTTGCCCTGCATTTGGGTGTTTCACCAACTCCATTTACGAGCGTTAATATAAACGTAGGATAAAACTTGCAGGATCTAGAGAAAAACCATGGATGCGAGGAGGCGTAACACTCATCCCTCAGTTTCTGTACTGCCGTATCTTGTGAAGCCAGGAGATGGAGACCTCGGCACCCATCATTTGGGATTTTCACGAATTTATGTGAGCCACCAATCCCCGCCTCCACAGTACCGGCCTACAAGGCTGTGCGCCACCGGTGCCTGGCTTACCCAGGAAAGCCTCGATGAGCCTCACTGCACTTTTTCAGGAGGGCCCTGCTTTGGGACGTTTGTCCAGTTCCATTGAGCTGTGCTCGGATTCACGTGGAAGGAATGCCGGACATCCAGAGAAAATCGGAACACAAGCGGCCATCGCCCACAGCACCACACAGACGGAGAGTCAATCCACAGATGGACCAAATTCGTGGAATCTATTTGTAGACTGAGCCCATTTCTGTTGCTGCCATCTACTGGACAAGTTTGCACCCTCATGCCCCAAACACCTCGTGGTCACTGGTGGTCAGCCATTCCAACACTAACCAGGCCCATCTAGGCTTTTGCCATACGAGGTCGGGCGCATTCAGAGTGATTCCATTGGATCAGTATGAAAAGAGCTCAGTTGTATGTACTCGGAGATTCCAATGAGCTGCTTGTGCAGTGACTGGCAGTGTGCTTGGTGCAATGTTGGTTGTTGCTCAATTCAGGTCGAGGAGGCCTGCATGCATTCCAAATTACCGATATATTTTTCAAGGCTGGCTTGCATCTGTGTAGAAGGGTAAAGATTCTGCCCTGCAATATTTTCCTTATGCCACTGCTGGTAGAAGAGTTGCCAGTCGAGGGAGCCCTAGAGAGCCCCCTCAAGGGGTATTTGGCCTACTCTTCCACACTGGTCAGAAATCTTGGAAGAGATGGGAGTACCTGCAATTTACCCCAACACATGCAGACTCACCGATCGACTAACTGTGGCATTTCGTGTAAATTATACACGGGAATAAATACACGTTTTTCAACAGAATCCTCTCCTCCCCAACTAAGTAAAGAATTACAGAGCATAAAAGTTTTTTCTTTTGTTATGGTAGGGTACTTTATTTGATACTTAGTTTAAAAAGCATTTATTGAGGGCGTGTGGGTGGTGGGGGAGGGCGTACGTGCAAGGCATCTAATTTGCGATGGAAATCAGTTGGAGCACAGTGGGGTTATTTAAAGTGAGGCGGTAATTGCCCCTTTGTGTGTCACCGCGTGTCAGGGCGTTCCAGAGGACCCCATCAACATCATCAACGTGGCCCTGTGGATGGAGGACAACGGGGTGGATGAGAGCCTGGCTGATCGCTTTCACAGACTCATCCAATCCAAGGTGAGGCCCTTTCTTCCCCCCCCCCCCCCCCCCCGCTTCAACACATTGTGCGGGAATATATTTCCGCGGACACATTATACGCGTCGTTGGGTTTCCCGGTAAGTGCCCCGCGCTAAGTCTGCTTAAAGTGGGGTAATTTATTTAAACGCGGGGACCTGTAGTTTCAAAATGAGGCCCCCTAATGGTCATTAAAATCCCACATGAAGGTCTTAATCCTCCTCTCGTATTTCCTGTTTCAGAGATCCATGCTGCGTGACCACGGGATCAGGCGTCTTACCTTCCTCGTGTCACAAAAGGTAAAATAAGGGGAAATTATCGCATGGAGGATGTTGGGCGGTCCGACAGTGACTCCACTCAAAACGAATTGGCTCCTTCATGGCAACGCACACGCAGGCGCCCGGACGTCGGCGTTCGTCTTAACAGGCGCCGTCCAAATGTGGAAGAAAGTGAACGGAATTGAAATGTTGCCCACGACAAGATAGCCCGGGTATGCGCCCGATTTCGTCGCATCTCGAAAGCCAAGCAGGCTTGAACCTGGAGGCTCTCATCCAGCAGTGAAGTATGGCTATAACCCCCACGTTGCGCACGGCATTGGGAGGCCCTCATCCAGCAGCGGATTGACAATAGGGGTGTACATGTACTTGGAAAATGTTAATTTGGGGATTTTTAAACTTCGTTTTTGTCTTTCCAGAGGGAATTTCCAAAGTTCTTCACCTTCAGAGCAAGAGACAAGGTGAATTTACAGACGAGTTGTGAAATGTAATTCATGAATTCTGTCGTTATAACTGTTATTATTTTTGTTCTACCCAAGCCGTGTACATATCTGAGGAATATAAGTGCAGTCCAGAGTCACTTCAGATCATTACATGTTTCACCATGTTGCAGTCTTTTTACGAGGGCATTTTTATTATGCATTGAAGAATATTTGCAGCCATAACGGTGGTGATATCGAGAAATAATGATGATGATGATGAGACGTATGATAGCTGGTGATGATAATGAGCGGCAATGATGAGACCAGCGGCGATGATGCGCAATGTTGACCACCCATGAATGACAGTGAGCGACGATGATAGCGAGATGAGCGGTCGTGACAACGTTGATTATGACGAGCCATTCAATAGCGAGTGGTGACGATCATGAGCGATGACGAGACTAAGATGAGCAATGAGATCAAGATGAGCGATGACGAGAACGAGTGAGACGGACAGTGAGCTATGATGACCATGAGATAGACGGCAACGAGCAGCGATGATGACGATAAGAGTGAGAATGATAAAGGACAATAAATGCGTGAGCGCCACCTCACCGCATCCTCTCCCTGCTCCCACCACCGCTCTCCCTCACCCCCCCCTTACCCTCAGTTCGAGGAGGACCGTATTTACCGGCACCTGGAGCCGGCGCTCGCCTTCCAGCTGGAGCTGAACCGCATGCGAAATTTTGACCTGCGAGCCATGCACTGCGCCAACCACCGCATGCAGCTCTACCTGGGCTCCGCGCGTGTCGAGGAGGGGGCAGAGGTCACGGACCACCGCTTCTTCGTGCGCGCCATCATGCGCCACTCCGACCTCGTCACCAAGGTGAGCGGCCCGGTGCGGGTAGTGCCGGGCCCGGCGCAGGTAGTGCCGTGCCTGGCGCGTGCAGTGCCGTGCCCGGCGTGTGCCGGTGTGTACTGTGCCGTGCCCGGCGCGTGCCGTGCGAGCGTGTGCAGTGTGCTGTGTGTGCAGTGCCGTACCGGTCGCGGGTCGGATCGGCCCCTGTTTTTTCCCCCCCCCTTGACTTCATCCGATTACAAATTAGATTTGTAAAGTACCTCAATATAATGAAAAGCAAAATGGCATCATGTCCAAAGAAGAAAGGTCTTAAGGGGTGTGTTATTACCTGCTAAGACGTACGGATCGCAAGCACAGACATGGATAAAGAATGGTATACACATCTGTAAAGTGTGCAAAGGGAGTGCTCGCTTAGAATTCAACTGAGAGATAGAGGAACATATGGACGATAGAACATATGCAAGTTCGCAACATCATATTCACTCTTGATTTGAAGCTTTTTCGTGACTGCAGGAATCCATACTCTTTGGTTCTTTCGGTAAAGTCACGTAGGTAGAAAAAAATAATAGATCGCGACGTTTCGATCGCAACACAAGCAAAATCGTCATCGGGTGGGACGACCACAGCAAGAAAAAACTTCAGCAGTTTTTTTTTTTCTTGCTGTGGCTGTCCCACCTGATGACGATTTTGCTTGTGTTGCGATCGAAACGTCGCGATCTAGTATCTTTGTACCTACGTGACCTTACCGAAAGAACCAAAGAGTATCGTATTCACTGTTAAGAAAGTACGTGGGTTTGAGTCGGACGGTTTGCTCGACGGGGACGATGGCCGGCGGTCGGTGTGGCAGTGAGTGCAGGGGACACGACGAAAGGATGTCCAACGTATGGATGGTGCAATGAAGGTCAGCTTACGTTTAGGAGCTAGATGGATGGTTACATTGGCAAGGGTTTAGGGAGGCCTTCATCCAGTAGTGGATATATCATGGTGGGTGATGATGATGATTATGAAATAGTCTAAAAGTAGACGTGATAAATGTTAGGGATGCAGATTTAGAATGTTCTATGTGAATTATTATTTATCTAGGGTGGAATGAAAGGGAGCGCAAGGCTAGCCGCAGGAAAGTAAAGAAGGCACTTGGCTAGGGATGCGGATGAAAGGAATTCTGAGTGAAAGAGAGGAAATGCAGAGAGAGAGACTGAAAGCCATCGGTTATTGCACTGGGCCAGGCTGTTGAAATGCACGGCTTACGAGTCAAGGAGTTCATGAAATGACCCTGTGTCGAGGCGTACAATAGGGGGGTTACGTTTGTAGCGAGTCCAACTGAGTCGCAGACGTTCTTTAGAGGCAACACTTTTATCGTAACATCAACCCGCTAACACAAAGGGGTAACTGCCCCTTCACCAGATACAGCCTAGGGTGGTGACCACCCAGCTAACTACTCTATACGTAGGCATTACAGCCACGAAGGGTCAGACCCTCACTCGGGTTCCCGACCACATTTTGATGCCTCGTAGAGCTTCCAGCTTGTAGACGTGGAGCTTCCAGCTTGTAGACGTGGAACTTCCAGCTTGTAGATGTAGAGCTTCCAGCTTGTAGGACGTGGAACTTCCAGCTTGTAGACGTAGAGCTTCCAGCTTGTAGGTGTTGAGCTTCCAGCTTGTAGACGTGGAGCTTCCAGCTTGTAGGACGTGGAGCTTCCAGCTTGTAGACGTGGAGCTTCCAGCTTGTAGACGTGGAGCTTCCAGCTTGTAGACGTGGAACTTCCAGCTTGTAGACGTAGAGCTTCCAGCTTGTAGACGTGGAACTTCCAGCTTGTAGGACGTGGAGCTTCCAGCTTGTAGGACGTGGAGCTTCCAGCTTGTAGACGTGGAGCTTCCAGCTTGTAGACGTGGAGCTTCCAGCTTGTAGACGTGGAGCTTCCAGCTTGTAGGACATGGAGCTTCCAGCTTGTAGGACGTGGAGCTTCCAGCTTGTAGGACGTGGAGCTTCCAGCTTGTAGACGTGGAGCTTCCAGCTTGTAGGACGTGGAACTTCCAGCTTGTAGGACGTGGAGCTTCCAGCTTGTAGACGTGGAGATTCCAGCTTGTAGACGTGGAGCTTCCAGCTTGTAGGACGTGGAGCTTCCAGCTTGTAGGACGTGGAGCTTCCAGCTTGTAGACGTAGAGCTTACAGCTTGTAGACGTGGAGCTTCCAGCTTGAGACGTAGAGCTTCCAGCTTGTAGACGTAGAGCTTCCAGCTTGTAGGACGTGGAGCTTCCAGCTTGTAGGACGTGGAGCTTCCCGCTTGTAGGACATGGAGCTTCCAGCTTGTAGACGTGGAGCTTCCAGCTTGTAGACGTGGAGCTTCCAGCTTGTAGACGTGGAGCTTCCAGCTTGTAGACGTGGAGCTTCCAGCTTGTAGACGTAGAGCTTCCAGCTTGTAGGACGTGGGGCTTCCAGCTTGTAGGACGTGGGGCTTCCAGCTTGTAGGACGTGGAACTTCCAGCTTGTAGGACGTGGGGCTTCCAGCTTGTAGGACGTGGAGCTTCCAGCCTGTAGACGTGGAGCTTCCAGCTTGTAGGACGTGGAGCTTCCAGCTTGTAGAACGAAGAACCCCGGTCCCTCCCAGGGACCCACCTTATATCCCCCCGGGTCGGGGGCCTCTCCGCCGTCGGCCCCGCCCACCTTCTCGAGTGTTCCAGCTCTCTCTCGATCCCTCTCGAGAGCTCTCCCCGGACAAGTGATCACCCCTTAGCCCCCCCCCCACACTCCGGATCACGTGTCTACGGGGTCAACCAGAGTGCCATGGCCCGGGGCAACCTTGCCCCTGGGCTGACTCTCTCCCGCTCCCCCTATGGGAGTTCGCACTACGCGCCGTGCGCGGCGCCCGCGCTATCCCAGCGCTCACCAAGCCCCGCTAGGGCTGGTACTACACCCACCTACGGGGCGTACGCGATGACGGTGCATCGCGCGCCGTGCTGTGCCAGAGCCGGCCTCACACAGCAACCCTCTCGGGCCAGCACCGTACAGTGACATCCTCGATGTCACTACACGTTGATGGAGAATCCGGCCCCTAAGCTGAGTCGGACTCTTTTTTTTTTAACAAGTGGGAAATTTGTCTCCCACTTATTTTGTTCAAATTTGCTGCTGGTGCCCTGATTCATAAAGTACTATCTAATAATGTTACGGGCAAGGTCAGGTACACCATCGGCAAAAAACAGACAAAATGTCGCAGCGTATTCGTTATTACAACTTGTTTGCCGTGGTTGTTGGTCTGCCCTTGTTTTTATGTTCCTGAGATTGTGGTCTAGTTTTCAGATTTAGTAACGCATGCGCTGTGCGTCCTGTACTCGTTCACCCCATCCGGTATTTCAATTAATTGTCATGATTCGAGGTTCGCAATTCGATTTGAGAATCCATTCTTTTAACGTCTCATTTATGCCGCCTCGTTTAGTTTGGTTTTTGTTTTTCTACCACATTTTGTGTACAGTTGTGCTCGCTCCATCAGCGCAAACGTAACACGAGAATATTATTTGCATGTCATTTTGCATAAATCGTAAATTTTCGATTATCGTGCACACAATTCGACATGTGTATCGCTGGTGTAATGATCGGTTTTAATCAATGCATCTTTGCATGCCTGATCTATTTGTGCATGCTACCAGTGCAACATCACCGTGAATTGCATCTTCAAAATGGGGCTCGAAAATTAATTATAATGTTCATGATGTTGCTACATCTATGGACAGTGGTTTGCGGGTTTAATTAGCTATTGCAGCAAATGGAATGTTAATTTGCATAGCAATTAGTTGGGGTGGTTGCATAGCAGCAGAAACTACAGCTAATTCAATCTATGCCATCGTTTTTGTTCGTAAAATAAATTGTAAATACGTGACTTAATTGGTCCGTGGAATACCGTGGCCTCTCGATATGAAAACATGTCAAGCTTTTGATTATCATTTCTGTTTTAATTTGACCGTCTTAATGGCTTTTTATTTTTTTCACAAGCCCTTTGTGACCCGGTCTTTCCCATTGCTCAGCTGTGAAGGGGCAATAAAGGGCAAATTTGTCGAGTTAATGGGCCACTTCATCATCAGCATGACTGTAGTCAATCTACTGCTGGATCAAAGGCCTCCCCACACCACCACCATCTCTCATGATCCTGCAATGTAATAACCATGGCCTCCTGCTGGTTTGTAAATCAAGAAGTATTGGTGGAATTGATAACACGAGGGTGACCACCTCCTCAATGCGAATGTATGTAATAATAACACAGGAATAGCTTGCTCCTTGTCTGCTTTACAAAGACGGCAGTAAAATTATAATGTTATGCCACGGTGTTGAGATGTTAACTACCTTGCCTGATATACAGGAGGTCCTGGGTTTGATCCCGACCCTGCCGCCTGTATATTTGGAGTTTGCATGTCTCTCTCCCTGTGGCCGTTTGGATTTTTGTCCGGGTCCTCCGGTTTTTCCCTCCACGTTTAGAATAAACATCACGCGTTTAGAGTATTTGGCTGCGATAAATTTCCACGTGGTAAGCCACTTTGTTCAACTATCATTTTGTGGCAAGGTCACTTATGAAAAAGAACTGTGCAGCTATTCGTCACGTCCCCCCCCTCCCCCCGCAGGAGGCGTCGTTCGAGTACCTCCAGAACGAGGGAGAGCGGCTTCTCCTGGAGGCCATGGACGAGCTGGAGGTGGCCTTCGACAACACGGCCGTGCGCACCGATGCAAACCACATCTTCCTCAACTTCGTGCCCACCGTCATCATGGACCCGTGCAAGGTGACAATGTGCCCTGCCAGCCAGACTATGAGAAGAGCGGTATCGGAGGCAGTTGGGGGGGCGTGGCTGGCGTGAGGGCCCTCGTGCAAGGAATGAGATGGGACCGTGGCCCCAATTTAACCAAATTTTGTTCTAATTTGCATAGAGGATTTGCTGTGATCGAACAATTTCAGGGCCGCACCTTCACCTTTGACGATTTGCATGACCTATGTCGTACCAATCGACGCGCCATTTGCATGCTTACTGAGGCGGCAGATCCTTCCTTGGGGGTCACCGTCCTAGAGCTATGAAATCGGCGGTGTGTAGTAAAACATCGCTACTAGGGCGACAAAGGCGGCCGGGTGTGGTTGCTGGTCACTCACCCCCTCGTGTGCCGTGCCGGCCTTCATAGGGTGCTACACGCTAACGGCACTTGCTCCAACAGTCCGTCACAGGTTATACGGGGGATCATTGTCTTTGTGCGCATGTGCTCAAATTGCCGATACGCGTGCGTGCGTGCGTACGTGCGTACGCAGATCGAGGAGTCTGTGCGCAGCATGGTGATGCGCTACGGGAGCCGCCTGTGGAAGCTGCGCGTGCTCCAGGCCGAGCTGAAGATCAACATCCGCCTGACGCCCACGGGCCACGCCATCCCCATCCGCCTCTTCCTCACCAACGAGTCCGGCTATTACCTGGACATCAGCCTGTACAAAGAGGTCACTGAGCCCCACACGAGCCAGGTCAGAGAGGAGGTGCCACCGCTGCCACCTTGCTGAAATGCGTGGGGGGCGGGGCAGGGGGGGTGGGGCCGGGGCAGGGGGCGGAGCGGAGGGCGGGGCAGGGGGTGGGGGGGGGCGGGGCAGGGGGAAGTTTGGAGGCTGGGAGCTGGAAGTGAAAGAAATGGTTGTGTTAATCCGGTGTGTTAATCGGTTGTGTTAATCGGGGGAAGGGGAAGGCATTTTGTGGCGAGCAGGCGGAGGTGGGATGGAACGCGTTGTATGGTGGGGGGGGGGGGGGGTGTAGGTTACGTGAGGCTTTGGAGGCAAAAAACGTATGGGGCCCGATTTTGAGTGGTGGCGAATTTATCTCCTTGTCCAGCGTAGGTTTTTTTTACTTTTTCCACAATTTCCCAATTGTGCTTTTGGCATCACATCGCGATTGTCCATTCAGAACTTTTGCAATGCAGTGCGTCAGCTCAATGTGTTGGAGAGCAGCCCGCAGAAGGAGAAGTCATGGAACGCCGTTTGAGATCCCTAGAAATAAGTGGTTATCATTTGGCGGGCAAATCTGGAAAAAAAACTAAACTATGAATGACTAGGCTGAGAACATAAATGCATTATTCTTGACAACTTGGTTTAATCTCAGGTGGCTGAAACACGGATTGTAACCCGCGATCACAGTCGTGACAGCTCAGTGTTGACCTTTCAACCTCTGACCCATCCGGGCATGCCTTTCATCCAAATATTTGGACGAAAGTATCGGTGTGTCTAACGACAACAATAGGGAATATCGGCAAGACACCGTGCATTTCATTGAAGCTCACATTTCCGTGGTAGTGCCAAGACAGCTTGGTGCAGCTCAGGAGGTGCAAACTTGTTTCCCTCACTGCAGAACCAAAGCCACACTGCTCATATCACATGCGGTGAACTGGTCGAGACGCATGTAGGTGGCGCGAGGACGCTGCATCCTCACAGTGTACTGACTGATATCACATACAGTGCGCGTGTGATTAAACCTGCCCCTGCTTGGGTGCCCTGAGCCAATTTCAGCTGTCACGGTTTGGTTCCAGCTTGGCACAGCAAACGGCCAGTGGAAAACCGCTCTTCCCCCCGTGGGTGGGAAAACCACTGGCTCGGCTTGGACGTGAAAAAAGTGTGATCGAGAGCCAGATGCATGCAGAGCAATTGCATCGCTATATCATATTGCATTGCTGAGGCCTCCCGCTTCCCTGTGCACCCCCCTCTGCCCCCCCACAGATCATGTTCCATTCATATGGAGACAAACACGGCCCCCTGCATGGCATGCTCGTCAGCACGCCCTACGTCACCAAGGACCTCCTCCAGTCCAAGCGCTTCCAGGCCCAGAGCCTGGGCACCACATACGTCTACGACTTTCCCGAGATGTTCCGGCAGGTTCGCCATCGGTGGAAGTCCAAAAAGCCGTCATGTTAGTGGGGAGATATTTTTCTGGCAATCGTCGTCCGCGGTTTTACGAACAAATGGCTATGGCAGTAGAATAGGGTGGTGATAGCGTCATGTCTCACGAATTGTGTTTGATAAACAATTATTGGTTGACAGAGAACGCAACTACAGGTAGCCGTGTGACCTTAGATCTATAATATGACTGGAAGTTGCCATCCCAGTTGCCCACGAGTTGCAACAGTTTTTAACATTTCCCAAATTAGGCAGATACAAACTTTCAAATGAGATAACAGTTCAGCAACTATTGCCATGAAATTGTCTTCGTGATTCATGGCCTCAGCTCGTTCCATCATTAGCATTTCTTATGCTGCCTGCACTTGCCTCAGAGAGTGTCTGTGGTGTAATGTTTAGCAGCACTGGACTTGCAATCCAGAGGTGGCCGGTTCGATTTCACCTTCTGGCATGCACGGCAATTGAAACAATCCTTTGTCTCATAAATCCTCTCCCCCCCCCCCCCACCCCCTCTGCCACCCAGCAGCATAAATGAGTTCACTACGGCTAGGCTATCGGCAGCTCGTATGTGGTGGCACAAAGTGTGGGTATGCCTCCCTCTTCCAGCATGTTGGGTTAACGTGGAAGAGTAGACGGGACGGATTGAGAGAACATCTATCGAGAGAGTGGTCTACCAATCAACATGGAGCCGATGAAATCAGATCCTGTTCAGGTGCTAGATGGATTTTTATATCGGAGGACCGTGAGAGATGGGGAGATGGCTTTGGGGATGCCTTCGAGCAGTGGATTGAGCGTCGCTGACGATGGAGATGATGGAAGCAGGCCCACTTGGTTGTAATTTGGTGCACGGCAGCGACTGAACACACATGTCAGGAGTTTCGAGGTCTCCAGCAGTTACGGTCGCCAATCAAAACGCAGCGATAATGAGGCTGCCCTTCTGAGCTTCGCCCTGTGGCTTTCAAAATAAAAGGTGTGAAATTTCACTCCTGACGCCCCACTCCCCCCCCCCCCCATTCTGTGATCTCCCCGGTTTCTCGACCAGCATGGCACAGGCAGAGTGTGACATTTTTGAAAGTCACAGATTATATAAATGATAAATTGGTTTGGCATCCCTGTTTTGAATTCTGCATTTGTTCAACTTAGACTCATGCAGGTTTTTCCACATTATATTCAAGTAATATGGAAAGTCGCTTTTTCAGTTGCTTATCAGTGTTTATTTTTTTTATTTACTACGACTGCTGCAGTGGGCACCAGTGTCCGCAACGAAGTGCATTGATATTTGGACAGGAACCGAGTTGTTAGCGTTTGAGAAGCTTCAGCACGTGCGGCGTGTTTACTAAAGCGCAGGATGCCTCTCGTCTCACCGGCGCGCAGGCCTTGCTGAAGATGTGGAAGACTGAGTGGAAGGAGACCTGCCCCAACGACCTGATGACGTGCACGGAGCTGGTGCTCGACAGCCAGGGACAGCTGGTGCACATGAACAGGCTTCCCGGCGGAAATCAGGTCCGCTGCAGCGAGTGTTTATTTATAAATGAATAAATCCACGAGCCAAGTTTGCTGGGATGGATGCGGGGTGACTCAGCTCAGGCAGTTTTCATCTGACGTGCTCAATTGCTGTGTAGGTGCCCGCAGTCTGTGCTACATAGCCCCCATCCGTTGTTATGCTCGCGTTACGCCGTGTCTAGTTCAGGTCGACGTCTCTTGACGGATCCGTTCCACGCGTTGGAAGCTTCGTCAGGAGTTGAATCGAGCGGGCAGCTCTCTTGCTCGACAATACTGCGTTTGCCGGCTTTAGTGAGCGAGCGCGAGAGCTGCCACCCTCTCGCACGCCCCTCTCACCTCCATGTCCCCTCCACCCATGCGCGTTGCGCCGCAGATCGGGATGGTGGCGTGGAAGATGACGCTGAAGACGCTAGAGTACCCGGCGGGCCGCGACGTCGTGCTCATCGCCAACGACGTGACGCACCTCATCGGCTCATTCGGCCCGGAGGAGGACCGCCTGCTGCTGTGCGCGTCGGAGCTGGCGCGGTCGCTCGGCGTGCCGCGCCTCTACATCGCCGCCAACAGCGGAGCGCGCCTGGGCCTCGCCGAGGAAATCCGCCACATGTTCAACGTGGCCTGGGTCGACCCCAAAGATCCCTACAAGGCATAGCCGCCTCCCCCCCCCCCCGCGCACTCCCCGGTGCTATCGATTATCGATTGGTTTTTCTCATGGACAAATCGCGCGAGCGCCTTACGTGTGGCCCTTTTGTCGATCCGCTGCTGCATTAGGGAGCCTCTCCGTGCCGTGCGGGTTGCATTTGTACGTGTGTATGTTTAACTTTTTCCCACTGTATGTAGTCAACCGCGCTAATCAGAGGTGCGGGAGAAGGACAACAAACTAAACACAAAAAGCAATTCTAAAGAAATTAGTTTTTCAATCCAGATTTAAAAGTGCATAGCTCCAATGGCTTCCTGATATCGGAAATAAGAGCGTTCCAGATGGCCGCAGAAGGGCATCTGAAAGCGCGCGATGCGGTGACCGTCTTTGTTCGATGGGTAGCCAAAAGCCGCTGCGAGGATGACTGTAAAATATGAACGATATCGTGAGTGTAAGAATCCGCACGGATGGATGAATCGTTTCACCCCCCCCCGGTGTAGGTTCGGTGAAAGGGACGTAGCGTAGAAAGTACAGAGCACTAATGGCTGCTGCCCTGCCCTGCAGCAGCCTGTAAACACCTGGTGTGGTGCGAATGGTGGTCCACCCGTCCCTTAGGGTTAGTTAGTTCACCCTCCACTTGGAAAGATCAAGTGCCCAGGAAAGGTAAAGAGCTGCATTGGTTCAGACAAAATTATTACTGAACGGACGATATCACCATTACGTCACACATACAGCTTAATTGACGTTTAAATTTGTTAATGAATTCGATCCTCGTCCCCGAAACATTTCACACTTCCATTTACGTGCTACCGTGGAAAGGTGTGATCTCAGTCGCGTTGTTCGTCTTTGATGTATGGGTGGAATAGGGATCAGAAAATTAAAATCGACAAAGGGAAGGGGAACGAAAGCTGAACAGTGCACAAAGAAGCGTGGCGTACCTCAGACACCGTGGGGGCACAATGAGAAACCACGTGGATTAGAGAACACCGCATTGCCCCCCCTTCTTCCTCTCCCCCATAAATACACTGCTCCCAATCGTTACCCTAACTGTGGTGAGGCAGTGAGTTCAGATGCCCCCGGCCAGTCCCTAATTTTGAGGGTGTATCGCCCCGGGTTTGTTCCACGTTGCTTCCTGTTTTCCCCCCTCTTCGGAATCTACGTTGAATTCTGGCTTCTTGAAAGAAACAAAAAAAGACACCGTATTGACTGTAAAAGTTAATGGGCTCGAGCAGAACATGTTGCTAGGAGGGATGGCCGAGAGTAACAATGGAGTGGCAGCCGAAGGAGAGAACACAGTGGAGATGGAGCGATGAAATTGGCTCGATTGCAGGCAGTCACATTGCAACAATGTAGACATGGCAGCTTCTTGTGGAAGGCTTCAATTCAGTCGTGGATAGATCGTGGCTCATGATGCTAATGCTAGTCCTAAAGGACTTCTGCATTGACACTTGGGCAACGGTGCATCCGGAGTTGTCAAAGCGCCCCCTGACCTTTGTTTGTGTGCGTGTGCTCTGTTTTGTCGTGCAGGGCTTTAAGTATCTGTATCTGACGCCACAGGACTACAAGCGCGTGAGCGCGCTCAACTCTGTGCACTGCGAGCACATTGAGGATGAAGGGCAGTCGAGGTTCGACCTGTGCACCCGCACACTCGTCTGCGTCGTCACCCCTGCCGTGTTCACAACAACAACACAAGCATTTCGGCCTCAATCGACAAAAAATGGCAAATGAATTTTTACGACTCGGGTTCACGATCCGATTCACGTTATCGTTCGTCCCGTTTTGTAGTCCCTCGCTTGCATCGTCTGTCTCGTTGACACAATCTCCTTCGCTGCGTTTGGCATGGGCCCTGGTACTCGGAGTGCAACGGGTTTACCTTCGTCCATTTACCCCCCCCCCCCCTCTCTTTATAGCCCCAAACCTGGGGCGGGGGGGGGGGGAGGGCCTGACCCGCTATTGGACCACAGTGCAATTGCACCGCCTGCACACCAGATAGCTTCACCCATTACTCAACGTCTCACTGGTCACTGGTAGGCTGGAGTAGGTGGCACGTGACTGGTAGCCACCACCTTAGTGAGAGGTATGCGTAATGTGGTGTTATGGGTACGGAAGTATCTTTCGTGTCGACATCCCCGTCTGAAACTAAGACCTCGATGCCCCGTTATGCTAAACTTTTTATTTTACCAGGTAAGGCCCAGTGAGCTCTCTGGCTCTTTTTCAGAAGCGACCTGGCCACAAATGATGGCTTTGGCTTATCAAGTGGCTTATCATGTGGAAATGTAGAGCAACCAAACACTCTAAACGCATGTTTCTTAATGTGGAGGGAAACTGGAGAACCGGAGAAAAATTAACGCAACCACGGGGAGAAAATGCAAACTCAAAATATACAGGCGTCAGGGTTGGTTTCGAACCCATGACCATCTGTATACCAAGCGAGGTAGTTAACATCTTTCCACCGTGGCGTCTTAAATGAAATAGGGCACGGTGGGGGGGGGGGGGGGGGGGGGGGGGTTAGGAGGCATTGGCGCGGATGCGCGGACACGCGCGTGTCCCGATGCTTGAGGCTGTCCCTCCGCAGGTACAAGATCACGGACATCATCGGCAAGGAGGAGGGGCTCGGGGTGGAGAGCCTGCGCGGGTCAGGGACCATCGCCGGAGAGACGTCGCTCGCCTACGAGCAGATCGTCACCATCAGCCTGGTCGGTGGAGCCGCGTCGCGGGTCTGGTCGATCATGAGTTTAACAATTTGAGATTATGTCATTTAAAATATGTATTTAACACGTACATTTTTTTCCACGCAAACTGACATGCCGGTTGTGCTGTCGCCGTCATGTCACGAGGCGGAGACATTCACTTTCAGAGCTTTCGCAGTGAGCAGTGAGTATTGCCCCAGTAGGTGTTGTCACAGAAACTCCTTCTGAAGTCACTTCACCAGGTCTCTTTATCAACACATTCGACGCACACTTTTTTGTTAAATATATATATACCCTGACGATAATGTTTATTGGATATCAAAATGAAGTTTTAAAGTCTCAGATGTGGATTAAGACAAAATAAGTGAAATACTAAATTTATCGTGATGGATTTTTTTTTCGTGTGCAGTTTTAGTTGAGTGGGCTGAGACAATTAACTTGCTGAGAACCTGGGTTCATTACGTGCCTTGACTTGCCCTGCACCAAACTCACGATCTCGGTGGTGCTGGCTCAGGGCTCTAACTCCTGAGCAACCTCGGCCACCTCCAAATACAGGGTGCTTCAAAAAAGTATTAATGGAATACTAGGCATACTTCAGCGATTGTTTTTTCGCTGTGGTTGTCCCCACCTGATGACGGACGCTTGTGTTGCACCCGAAACGTGATTTAATTTAGTTGTTTTCATTTTTGTTTTATTTTATTTTATTTCGTTTTTACCTAAGTGACTTTACCGAAAGAACCAAGGAGTATGGATCCTTGCAGTCACGAAAACTTCAAATCTAGAAAAAAAACCTGCTTTGATAATATATGCATTGTCTTTGAAACTGATTGGTCCACACCAGAGACAGCTTTCTTTTGAGCCTCGTCTCAAATGGTGTTAGACCAGAGGACGTCCTCTATTTTGGTACTGGCAAAGGAGGTCCCATTTATAACTAGTTGTTTTTGTTTGTCACCGAAATGTGCGGTGATAAATTATACACACAGAGAATTGCACATTTAGTTTAAAAATTTGCTTTTGTAAATTATTACATTTTCACCGCCGTACCGCATTGTGGATTTCCAGTGCCAAGGTAAGGCTGCTAAATAGGCTGCTCTGTGGCCTATCGCTGGACTCTGCTCCAACACTCACTGCAAAGCCCTTACGAAGTATTGTCATCATCCTGCAATAAACAATCGTTGAGTAACAGTGGACTCGATCAATTAAAATCCATTCTTACGATAAAGATACACGCACCGATGTCTGTGGCCAGCAATTGATGATAATCAATTATAATTATATTTGATGATTTAAACAAATTATAATGTTGTGGTAATTTAATTCATGTTTATTGCCAAATTCTTTTTTTTTAATGAATCGTATTATTTTGCTCATGTCCCTTTAGGGTATTGCAGAAATTTTGAATAAGAAGCAAGATAAAACATGACACAAGCAATACGAACTTAAAGTGAAAAACATTGATGCTCGAATCGAATAGTTATCCTGAATAGTGGCAATTCGTTGAATTGCCCAGGAATGAGGGGGTGGGGATGGTGAATACCTGCTTAATGTTGTATAAATCCCATAAATATAATATATTTTATTCTATTGGCCCTTTGTCCTTACATCCTCATGTTAGCCTGACTATGAAATATATGCGAGATTGCATTCCTGTAGTTTTATTTTTAATATTGATGTTGAATGCAATATGACCTTAACGTTGGGTACGGTGTGATGTGTTGAACGTTGCTGCGATTTACTATGATAAATATATGATTTTACACCACTTTGTCAATCCACTGCTTGGTGAACTCCTCCCCATGATTTTCAGTCATGGGGATATGTTGACCATACTTCACCACTCTGGTCAGTACTTGTTGGTGAAGGGGCACAGCCCAGGTCTTCTCCAGATCACTGGCCGCTGCTGTTTGCCATGATCAGGAATCAAACTCTGGTTAGGGGGCTCATGGGGTAGTGAGCCAACCACTGAGCCACTGTTACCCCCTTATGAACACTATAAAAATCATCATGTGATGAGAGGGTGATGAAATGTATTGCTAACTGGAAGCCATATCGAGATTATGGTAATTTGCTACTTAAATTGAGACCTTTGTCGTATGCAGTATAAACACTTTAATTCGAATATTAAGAACACTTGAAATCCTTTAAACACGTTTTTACTTTTTATATGCTGGTTCTGGCTAAACCCTTGCACTACCCAAATGGATCGTAACCTATTACCCATTGTAATTTGTGAATTAATCACCGTTGCGATGAATCACCGATCCACCGCCATGGCGTGTTTGTCGCTCTCATTGCACCGGGACTTGGTTTTCCCTGCTCGGCGTTGGTAACGGACGGCCACGTACGTCGCGCGCGGCGGCGCTGGCGAGGAGAACTCTCCGTGCTGCCAGGCGGGTAGCGATTTTCCCGTTGGCATCGTGCTGCGCCCCCCCCCCTCCCTCACCTCCCCCCTCACCTCCCCCCTCAGGTGACGTGCAGGGCCATAGGCATCGGTGCCTACTTGGTGCGGTTGGGCCAAAGGGTGATTCAGGTGGAGAATTCGCACATCATCCTCACGGGAGCCAGTGCCCTCAACAAGGTACGGCCCTACGTCCAAAGACGCCCGGGTGTTGGTTGTGAACCCTTCCTTTGACGGTTAACCATTGAATAATCCTTCTGGAGGGAAGTGTACTGCAACACCAAAGGTTTAACCCAGGCTGTATTCGTGTTATTCCTCATTCCAGCTATTTCTTTTTATCACCTTTTTTTCCTTCCCAATTTGTTTTAATAATAATAATATTAACGCCAACTATTTACTCAGGATGGCCTCGCTAAGTTTTCAAGACTTTTTCTTCCGGGAATACACCACGTGTTTTTTTTGCACATCGTTCGAACATCGAAGTGCACAACTTGTACATACTATCTTCTTTGGTTCTTTCGGTAAAGTCACGTAGAATGAGAATAAAATAATAAATTGATAAAATAAAATAACACAATAATATTTTCACGACGTTTCGGCCACAACACAAGCGGCCTTCACAGCTTAAAGGTCGTGATCTGAACGTGGTTTTTTTCACTCCAGCGCTGTCCTACCAGACAGTCTCGTCCCTTCACCTGATGAAGGCCGCTTGTGTTGTGGCCGAAACGTCGTGAGAATATTATTGTGTTATTTTATTTTATCAATTTATTATTTTATTCTCATTCTACGCGACTTTACCGAAAGAACGAAAGAAGCTGAATCCTTGCAGTCACGAAAGCTTTAAATCGAAATTGTACATACTAATTTGCGAATACATTAATGACGCTTCAGACTGCATGTAGGCAGATGAGTGTGCGAGTGCACACGTGCGTAGCTGCCAGCGTGTGTTTCTCATTGTGATGGACTCTGTCGCTTCACTCTCCCTCCTGTTCACCGTTAATGCTAGTCGTGGCTGCTAGTGGCCAAAAAAAATCCACCTTGTCCTAAGTCTTTTCAATCTTGCTTTTGTTTTGCGGGTCAAAAAACTGTAATGATTCCTTCTGCTTTTGTGATCTTTTTATTTTTTGCGACAAGGTGTTTTTTTTTGTTTGCGGCAGGTCGCTATTACGTTCAGCGTTCTTGTTCGCTGCCCATGTGGCTCGTACGCAAGTCTCCATGTGCGCGCGTGCCCGCGTGCCTTCATCCTTGTTGTCCGATTTTCTCTTTTACCCCCCTTTCTCCTCTGTTGTTGTTGCTTTTACTTTCGTCCTCGCCCTAGGTGCTGGGGAGAGAGGTGTACAGTTCAAACAACCAGCTCGGTGGCATCCAGATCATGCACAACAATGGAGTGACACACGCCATTGTGCCCGATGACTTTGAAGGGGTCTACACCATCCTGCAGTGGCTCTCCTACATCCCCAAGGTAAAGCAGTGCCCCGGGGAGGCATGAGGCTCGTACAGCTAATTTCGCATTCCTTTAGAACTACTTTGTGTTTAGTTCGTTGTCCTTCCCCCGCGCCTCCGATTAGCGCAGCTGGCTACGTACGGCGCGAAAGAAGTTCGACATACCTACAGTGCGCGTGCGCACGGCACTGCCCCTTTTGTCGCTCCACTGCTGGATTGTGAGGCCCCTCTGCGTGGGTCCGGCACAGCAAGATGTCCCGGGCCATTCCTGAATTTCTCGGAATTCCTGGAATGGCCTGGCATGAATCGAGTTTGCTCTCCAATGGTCGTGGGAATGCGGCCCGAGTCCTCTAAGGAAACGCACTGCCGGTACCTTCAGGGTGGCTCGCAAGCATAACGGCTGATATTTCACCAAACGCTTGCGTGCGCGGGCACGGCGCGTTATCCAGAGGCTAATGACTTGCTAATTATGGCCGTTACTGCGCCGTCTACGAGGGGGTGAACTAAATTTATCGGTTCCAGCGCTTAATCTCGAATCTTAAGGTTCGGGATACCTGCCTAGAAGTGCATGCACGGGAATCGACGGCGTGTTTTTTTCACATGCGCACAGCACATGCAACGTAATACGCTAACCCTTACATTTAGGGGTAATGCAGCGAATATATAGCGATAGCGAGAGGCGATGCAAACGAGGCCGTAACAGTAGTGAGGCAAAAAAAATCCACCAATTGTTGAATCGAATCGCTGCCCTTTGTCAAATCGTCAGTGAAGAGTGAAGTGGCGGAGTGTGGGGGGGGGGGGGCGGTTGCGTAATGAATGGCGCGGAGTGAATCCCCTACACCTCACCCCAACCGTGTTTCCCCGTACCGGACTCCACAGGACAACCAGAGCATGGTCCCCATCACGACGCCAGTGGACCCCGTGGAGCGGGACGTGGAGTTTGTCCCAAGCAAGGCGCCCTATGACCCCCGCTGGATGCTGGCCGGGAGGCCTCACCCAAGTGAGTGCGCGACGCCGCACACGATGGGAAACGAAATTCACAGGGAGAAGCCCCTGCTCCAGTTTTCACTTTGCGAGTGAAGTGTATTTTTAGGGGTTAAGAAGCAAAGTTTTTGTTGCTAAAATGCTTGTTTTGTCTGTTTTTTTAATTTTTAAACAAAAGTTGGGGGCGGCTGGGGCGGGGCGGGGCGGCGGGGGGGCGCATCCTATAATCCGGTATGTGTGCCTGACAAGAGATACGTATGACTTCATTGACGCCGGGCGTACGTTTGGGATGACAGTTGTTGACGAATGATCTCTATAACGATCCGTGAACATCTGATGGTGTCCATGGAGGTCACGGTGATGATTCTTTGCCCTACCTCCCCAGCGTGCTGCGTTTTCTGCATGAGCCAAGCCTCTGTGGATCCAACACTTGATCCCGTCTCGATTCGTTTCTTCACAGGCAACTCGGAGGAATGGCAGAGCGGGTTCTTTGATCACGGCTCGTTCATGGAGATCTTGCAGCCGTGGGCTCAGACGGTGGTGGTGGGGCGGGCAAGGTACGGCGTGACGAATATGCGTTCGCAGGGTCCGCGAAAGGTTGCGGTGACTCGGGGGAGGTCTTCATCCAGCAGTGGACTCGCTGTGGCTGATCATGGCCATGATGATACGTGTCCAGCCCCTTTGGCGATCCACTGCTGGATGATGGGCGACTCACGCCGTGCAAGTCGCGGGGGTTATTTGACCGCACTTCATCGCACTGGTCAATGGCCTCCCCAGAACCGGGGCAGGTATCACTCGCCACTGATGGCTAAAATCGACCTCAGGTCAAGAGGTTTATAGTACAGAGTGCGAACCTCAGCACCACCGCTTCACGCTTGTGCGTGCGTGCGGGTAAATGTTTTGTGTAGATAGAGAACAGTAGAACTCCTCTTAACGACGGAACTTGGTTCCACGAAAACAGTCGTTAAGTGATTTGGTCATTAAGCGAGTAGCCTCGAAAGTTACCCTTTTTCACCAAAAAAGTACATTATAATATTTAAACAATAGATAGTAATACATAAAGATACTAACAACATCATAAACACGTAATATTAAAGGAAACGTGGTTAATCAATGCGTTAAATCATACTTATTGCACCTACAGCAGCGAACACATTGGGCTTTATGGAGGCCTATCGTTAACAGGGGTGGTCATTAAGAGGGGATCTGTATTTGTACGTGCGTCCGGCGTGTTTACGTATTCGCAGTGATGGATGCTATGCCACACTTGCACTTGTCAGAACGATCAACGTGTACCACCACCTTTCAGAACATTTTAACCTCAAGTAACGCTCGTTTTTTTGAGGCAGAAGGACATTTAACATGGGCTGCAGGATGAATATAGGTATCATATCAGAACTTATACTTTATTTTACTTTTCAACTACTGTATATGTCTGGAGTATATGTAGTTGGTCAACCCATAACACCTGGGTCTCTCCTTTGACCTCCTGCCAGCGGGCATTGGACACTTGGCATGGCCTCAGAGTGCACCTAGCTCGGCATAAGAGCTGTGGTAACATCACCACCACTTAGTGGTGAATGGCGGCTGCTGATGTTGTGGCAGTGTTTTGTATTATATGTGCATTTGTCAAGGATCTTTATATACCCCACACCTCTGAAATGCCTTTTGAATTTGTGCGCTTTACAAAATTAAAGAATGGTATAAATGTCATTCGTGTGTGTGCGCGTACAGATATGTACAGTGGTGACCCAGACTTGGTTCAGATATAACTCACCACTGATGATAGCCGTGGTGGGAAATCCAACTTGGGTCACCAAATTTGTCATACAGTTTGCCAACCACTGCACCACCGGTCCCTTGAGCGGTGTGGTAGTCCTGTTCCAATTATTTATTTTAGGACACACGCATGTTTTTGTACATTTTTTTGCTGCTATTTTTTATCGGCCGGCAAGATAAAAAAAAATTCACATGAAATGGTTTGTCGATCGATGTTCATCATCGAACTCGCCTGCAGAGCATTTTCTCGGACGTCCCTTTGGTTTACAACGACTGCGCTTTGTTCTCCGGGATGAAATGTAACTGCACATGGTGCCCACCGCCCGCTTCCAAGGACATCGCCTTTATTTGGCGAGATTTTAACTACCTCGCCTGGCATACGGGAGGTCGTGGGTTCGATCCAGACCCCTTGACGCCTGTATACTTGAATTTTTACAAATATTCTCCCTCCATGTGGTTGCGTGGATTTCTCTTCGGGGTCCTCCGGTTTTTCCCTCCACATTTAGAATCAACATTCGTTTTGAGTATTTACCTGCTATAGATTTCCACATGTTAAGCCGCCTCGTTGAGCTATCATTTGCAGCCCATGTTGCCTCTTAAAAAGAGCTATGTAGCTCCGATGGGCCTGACCTGGTTAAAAAAAAAAAAAAAAAAAATTCGGGCAGAGGACGGAATCCGCCACCGCCAGTTCCTTGCAAGAGCCTCTCGTGACACTCCTCCGATTTGGGGGTCACCTCGGGGCAAGGCACCCTGCGCTCGCTTCTCCGTCTTCGCTTACGCGCTCCACGCGCGCTACCGGTCGCTTTGCGGGGGGGGGGGGGGGAGCCCGTTCCGTTATTTAGCGCCAAGACGTAAAGTCGATAAGAGCTCCCGAGATTGCCACTTCACGGCGCAGGCCTAGAGAGTGGGACGGAATGTCATTGCAGCGATGCGTGCGCGCGCGTGCGTGTTTGGTTGTCGGAGCGATGACGCAGTGGTTATTGCGCTGCGCTGCCAACCCAGAGACCCGAGTTCCATTGCCGCTCACGGCTATCAACACCAGTGACTCCTATCTGAACCGGTCCTGGGCCTCCCTTAGGTCCACTCGGCCTCAAATGAGTACTAAGTGAGATGTGTAAACACTGCCTCCCGGAAGACAGGCCGTCGGGCGTGTTGCTGGCCACCCTTGTTGTGCCGTGCTGGCCTTCATTGGTGCTCGCAAATAGCACTTTGCCCCAACAGTCTGTTGAAGGCTACGCAGCGAATCTTTGTTTTATGTTTGTTGACGTGTGGCTATACATGTGTAAGTATGTGGCTAGTGGTGCGGCAGTGGTGAGCGTGCCGTGCTGCAAACTTAGCAGCCCGAAATAGATTATTGGCCCACGGCTAACATCAGCGGCTAGTTACGTGGAGTGTGATTACCTGGTATGGTGTGTAAACATCGACACTGGGGGAGGCAAAGGCGGGTGGGCGTGGTGCTAGCCACACTCGCGCGGCGTGCTGGTCTTATCAGGTGTTCGCCAACGGTGCTTGCCCCAACAGTCTGTAAGGCTATACAGGGATCCTTAGCTTTATTTTTATACATATATTTAAGTGGTGTAAAGATGCATCAATTAATCAATTAAAGTCTATGCTTAAACTGACGATACGTGCATCGAAGCGTGCGTGTGAGAATCGGATAATTTTCAGCTCATGCGTGTTAAGTTCAGGTTCCTGGCCACAGCTAACATCAGTGGCGATTTATATCTCGTTTGTCGACCACGCACTGGCCGGCGTGGCGAAGTACGATCACACAACACCCACGACCGCCACCGCCGCGGCGGCGCGTGGTGGATTACTCAAGCGTCCGGTATCCCTGGAAAACGTCCTCACTCTGCCGCCCGTTAACCTCCCTTCTCTCCCCTCGCCTTGCTTCACCTTCATGACCTCACCCGCCGTTTCGGGTTTTGTCTCCTACTCTCACTCCACTCACACCGCCCCCCCCCCCCGCCGCGACCAGGCTGGGTGGGATACCGCTCGGAGTCGTTGCCGTGGAGACGAGGAGTGTTGAGCTCGGAATTCCAGCCGACCCTGCAAACCCAGAATCCGAGGCACAGGTGAGCTTCACAATCTAAAATATTTTACCTGGATAATGTCTCGAGTTGGAACGTCTCGTCTGCATCCAGTGAGTGGTCTGGTGGTGGCTTCTGGTTTACAGGGCACAGAGCCGGCACTGTCCGAGATGCTGACATCAAATCCTGGGTTCGGTCGCCTGCGTTTGAACGAGGTTCTCAGGTTTAGTGAGTCGATGGTCTCAGTCTGGTTACCAATGACTGCACACAAAAAAAATTATGTTAAATTTAGTTGTTTAGTCAGTTTGGAAGAAATTCTAGCTGCGAGGGGAATTCCAGTTGTGAGGATTAGAAATTTAGGTCAGTGGTGAGATGGTTAACCACCTCACCTGGTAATACAGGAGGTCGTGGGTTTGATCCTGATCCTGACGCCTGCTGTATATTTGGAGTTTCCTTGTTCTCCCTCCGGGTCCTCCGGTTTTTACCTCCACAATTAGAAACGTACGTTTAAAGTATTTGGCTGCAACAAATGTCCACGTGATCACATAAGCCACTTCGTTGAGCTGTCATTCATGGGCGAGTCGCTTCTGAAAAAGGGCTGTATAGCTCAGTGGGCCTTATCTGGTCAAATGAAAAATAGTTTAGTTTTACTTTAGGGGTGACCGACATTTGACGAACATTACTCCTGGTGGCAGAAACAATGGGGGAAGGTGCTGCCCGTTCGTGCGTGCAGCAGTCGTCGCTTGAAGGGAGCTCATTTGCTTCCACGGACTGTTCTCTAACACGAGGTGTTTCCCTGGTTCTGCGAGAGGTCAGAATGAATACTTTTGTCCCGTGACGTGAGGCCTGGTAGCGAGTCGGTATAAATATTGGGGGGGGGGGGGAAAGATTCAGATTTTATTTTTTATTATTATAAAAAAAATCCGGCATCGTTGAGTTGGCCGGGTGTCTTTGGTTTCAGAGCACTGAACTATCACCACGGAATTGTAGGGATTAAATCCGGATGTTCTCCGCTTGCAATTGAACAAGATTCTCAAGTATAGTGAATTGATGGTCTCAGCCGTGTCACCAGTGACTACATGACAATATATTTAGTTAAGTGGATTAAATGAATACTGGCTAAATTCCAACTCTGCCAAGTTGTGTAACCTACGGATTTGGAGCACCGTCGCACCTTGCTGACTCGACTGTTTTATCACGAGCCATAATCAGTCCGCTGCTGGATGAAAGCCTACCCAAAAGCTATTACCGTCTTGCGCCGCCATCGCTACTACGCAACTATCCACCCAGCCTCACGCACGCGGGCCGTTCTCATCTCTCCACAGCGAAACGGCCTCTCTGGCGCGTCGCCTCTTTTGCCCGCCACCCCACAGCTTCTCACTGACCGCGAGCGACTTGAAGCGTTTTTACCCTGAGCTCGGAAATGCCCCGTCGCACGCCTACCTGTCCAACGTCGCGTTTTTTTTTTATTTTCCCGGCAGATCATTCAACAAGCCGGGCAGGTGTGGTTCCCAGACTCCGCCTTCAAGACGGCCCAAGCGATTCGTGACTTCAGTCGTGAGGGGCTGCCCCTCATGGTGTTCGCAAACTGGCGCGGCTTCTCCGGGGGAATGAAAGGTGAGGGGAGGGGGGGGGTGGATGGGCCAAGTGTGGGGCAACGCCTGGGTCTCACGCTTGCCGCTAAGCAACTTCACATTTTGCTCTCCTGCTACATCCGTCCCGCTTCAGTGCTTCTCCTTATGCTGCCGCCGCTGCAAAAGCAAGTCAACCAAGAGAGAGAGCATTCACTGGGTGGGCGCGGGGGTTAACCAAATGGGAGATGGAGTGCTGAATTCTAGTGCTTGCTTTTTGAGTCGTATCGATCACCAGGGATGTGTGCCCGACATTGTAAGCTCTCGGAGGCTCATCGGGGTTAAACCCGGGTAGTGCTTTGACGGGTGATCACTTTGCACACCAGGTTGTCACAGGTGCTTGTGGGGCTAAGAGTTGGGCAGTAGAGGGCAGTGCATAAAAATCAATTACACTTCACCAACCCAGACTGACCAGCATGGCGAAGTACGGTTAAACAACCCCCACGATCCGCACGGCAAGGGAAGGCCCTCGCCCAGCACCGGATTGACAAACAGGGGGCGGTACATTTTCACAGTGTGCACGAACGTAGGGAAATGTGGGGATGGGCACAAAATCTGACACCACTTATTTCGTATGGCGTTTGAAAACAGCAGCACCACCAGGATGCAATTGTCACTGTAATGCTGTGAGCCATTCCGTGGCATCTGAGGTGGCAGCTAGGTGGAGTAGTCCGCTCGTTCCACCAGGATACGTGTGTTGTTTTGGGGCAGCCATCGGCGATATAGGCCCAATGGTTTTCACCTCGCCGCATTCACAGGTTGGCGAGTCCCCCGATCATTACGTTTACGGAGGGCATATCCACACCGCCTTCCACGTGTTGTTGTTGTTGAGAGTGGTCCCCACTGTCGTCGGGGCAGCGGAGAGAAACCGGGGCTGTTCCTTAGTTGGGTCTTCAAACAAGAATCTCACACCGGTGACGGGCGATCTGCAGGTTCGCTCCAATAACGACCACCCCCCGCAAGTGACACGCACTTGACACGCGCGCACGCGCAGACATGTACGACCAGGTGCTGAAGTTTGGCGCGTACATCGTGGACGGCCTGCGCGAGTACCGGCAGCCCGTGCTCGTCTACATCCCCCCGCACGCCGAGCTGCGCGGCGGCTCCTGGGTCGTCATCGACCCCACCATCAACTCGCGCCACATGGAGATGTACGCCGACCCCGAGAGCCGGTACGGAGGAGCCGCGCCGTGGATGCCGGCGCACGTTGCACCCTAGCGGCACGCCGCCGTGCCGGCACGGTCTCGCGGCACATTACGGTATACAGCACACTGTTATAGCACGCCACAACATTACACCGCAACAGCCTGCTATCATAACAGCACGCCGTAATGACATGCTGCCGTACCAGCGCACCGTAGCGGCGGGTTGTTGTTGCCTTCGCACTACTGTGCGAAGGCTGCACCATCGCAGAGCAAACCTTTATTTTTGCCTCCGCTTCAAACAGGATCTGTGCTTTTGTTGCACTTGGGCAGGTGAATTCTGCTGCTTTGTTTGTGTGTACTTATGCTGTAATGTGGAGCATTGCAAGAGCCCTATCTTAAAACGATGTACTCCACCAAGTGATTCTGGGAACCCTAAAATTGCCTTATTGCTAAGTCATGCTCCGTAATTCTATACGCAGCGCTGTACTGTCGCTGCTGCGGTGGTGCAATCGGTAACAAACTTGGACTTGCGATCCAGAGGTTTGGTCTCCCAGTGGCAAGTTTGTTAAATCCTTGGCCCACCCCCTCACCTCCCCCTCTGCCTATATCCACCCAGCAGTATAAATGGGTTATGCCACAGTGAGTCGATATGCTGGAAAGATCACTTTGTCTGCGGTAAACTGATCAAGTCCATTGGTATCATCAGAAATGTGGGTGGTCTGGTTCATCAAGCTTGCTTTCTAACTCTATACTACGGCTTAAATTACCCATATCTCATCAACTTGCAATATTGTCTTGGCCCGTACATATGCTTCTTACCTATATGAATTACACATCTTCCAAAAGAAATGTGCAAACTGGCCACCTCCTCAAAGCACTTGGCTCCAACTGCCCCAATGTTTAAGAAACTAAATGTCATGTCCATCAAACAACATTAATATACTCCAAATATTCACCTTTATCTATGAATACACGTACTTCTGCGACATCTTACCGAAATCCTTCAAAGTATTCTTCCAGGTGAATTCACAAATCCATGCGTACAACACGAGCCACTCCGATAAGCTTCATTCTTCCCACTGCCGCACCACGCATAAGCAATTCTCTATCAGTTACGGAGGTTCCGTACTCTGGAATTCCTATCATCACATTGCCAAAATATCAACATCCCTCAATACATTTTGATTTAAAGTTTTCGTGACTGCAGGGATTCATATTCTTGGTTCTTTCGGTAAAGTCACATAGAAGGGAAACAATAAAATAATAAAAATATAAAACAATAAAATTCTCACGACGTTTTGTGTGTACTTATGCTGTAACCATTCACAGCCTCGTGAAGAAGTTTGGAAATGTAGGCAGGCTGCTAGTATGTCCGCAGTGGTAACGTGTTTTTATATCTCAGTTGTTGTGCGTTTGGAGATAATTTTTTTACCTAAAATAGCCATTGTAAGATAATTGAATCTGCATAATTATAGTTATAGGAGGCTACATCATTGTTCCGCAATGTTGCTGTAGGTAATTATTGCAACGTAAGTTATCTCGTGGTTAAATAACCTGTATTTAGCTTTATAATATTTTCTCACCATCAGGTGATGATTGCTTGTGTTGCAGTCGAAACGTCGTGAGAATTTTATTGTTTTATATTTTTTATTATTTTATTGTTTCCCTTCTACGTGACTTTACCGAAAGAACCAAGAATATGAATCCCTCAATAACTTCAAGCTTAGACTACGAGTCAGCCTGATGAGCCAAACTGCCGAGTAGTCTCCTCCATGTAGCCAAACTCTCACACACACACACATATGCACACATGTGCACACAAAAACACCACTGACTTTAACATGTTTAATTGTAATTAGTATGCTTTGCTTGATTGATTCATCAATCAATTTTGGAGATACGTTCTTTTTTTTGGTGTGGTTTTCAAAGAAGCCCTCTTGGATTTCCAATCTCACCTGCACACCTTTATTTACCTTTTTGTTTGCACTGTTTGTCCTTTGCGAATAAACAATACAAATACAATACAACGTGTGGATACTCCCCCATACCTTCCAAGATGTCTGGCCAGCCTGAAAGAGTAGGCCAAAAAAAACCTTCTGGAGCTGCCTCTAGTGTAGGCCCATGTGCCCAGGAGTGGCGTGAGGAATAACTTACAGGGCTACAACTTTGCCCTGTACCTATTGGATTCATCTCCCGTTCCGTCTCCATGGTGCAGAGGTGGCGTGCTCGAGCCGGAAGGGACTGTGGAGATCAAGTTCCGACGGAAGGACCTGGTAAAGGCGATGCGCCGAATCGACCTCGACTACATCAAGCTGGCCGAGCAGCTCGGTGAGCGAGCGGGAGCGGCCGCCGCTTGTGCCTGAGCAACCGTTCACGTGGCTCACCGCCCCCCACCCCTCCGCCCGTCCCCAGCCCCCCACTGGTCGTTGGGGTTTATTTTGGCCATACTTTGCGAAGCTGGTCTGTGAAGGAGGCATGCAACAGTGTATTTTGCGGCACTGCGTAGCCCCGTGGAACTATAACACCTGTTATGCATGGCGGTTACCCATCCAAGCACCAACCGAGCCTCAACCATGCTTATCTTCCAAGATCTGGCGAGAGCGGGCGCATTATATGGGTGGTGGTTCGTAGGCCCCAGTGCTTGTACCTGCACCATTGCGATCACGTGGAAAATGTTACACGAGTACAGGGTATCCTTAAGGGTGCCTTCCATCGTTAAATGCTAATAACGAGACGGTAGTTTGAGCTAGGTCTATAAAACTATAAACGCGCACGCGCTTGGTCGTGTGAGGATCTTTTCGTACTAGTCTCACCCCTCCCACGTGTCCACCCGTGCGTTGGTGATGCGCATCAGGTCGAGATTTGAGAGTCCCAAGTGTTCATCAGCATGTTGACCGTGTGTGCACCAGCGTGTTCAGCATGCTCACCAGCATGTGCCGTCGAAGATCACTCGAGATGCTTAAGTGCAAATAACCTAATTATGTACAGAGGGGAATATGTTGCCAGTATATCCACCATGCAGTTCAAATTGCTCTCTAATCATAAGAATAATTCTTTTATAATTAAATCGTAATTCTTTTTGATGAAAAATACCTTGGCGTACATTCTCTACAAAATGTAATCGTCCAGCAAAGCCTCATAGAGTCGGCAATGCACGCGCCAGCACTCCGCACTCGGAACTCCGCTCCTCTCCGGCTCTCCTCGATCCTTCGCGGTGGATGGTGGCGGCGTGCTCAGTGCACTCCATTGTGTACCCAGCAAACCTGAGTTTTGATCCCTGACCATGGCTAACATCTGAACCGGTCCGGGACTGCCCCTCTTCACCAACCCATGCTGACCAGCATGGTGAAGTATAATCAAACAACTCCCATCACCGACGCAGCATGGAGAGAGCTTTCGTGTAGGAGTGGATTGACAGGGGGCTAATTTTTTAAAAATATTTTTTTAACCTAAAATAGCCATTGTAAGATAGTTGAATCTGCATAATTATAGTTATAGGAGGCTACATCATTGTTCCGCAACGCTGCTGTAGGTAATTATTGCAACGTAAGTTATCTCGTGGTTAAATAACCTGTATTTAGCTTTATAATATTTTCTCACCATTCACAGCCTCGTGAAGAAGTTTGGAAATGTAGGCAGGCTGCCAGTATGTCCGCAGTGGTAATATGTTTTTTATATCTCAGTTGTTGTGCGTGTGCAGATAAAACAACGTTTGATTTCCATAAAGAGATCTCGGCCTGTTACCACAGCACACAAAGTGGCAGAATTGTTGTTTTGATTTAAAGCTTTTGTGACTGCAGGGATTCATATTCTTGGTTCTTTCGGTAAAGTCACGTGACTTTACCGAAAGAACCAAGAATATGAATTGTTGTTTTGTGTTTTCTGTTAAAGGAAATCCACCGAGGTAAAGCCATAGATTTTAAAATATTGATGCTTGGTTGTAAAAGTTAGATTTTTTATGGCGGCACGGCCATTACGAGGGTTTGTGCTGATCTTTAACTCTTCAAATGGCATCAGTACCCGCATATCTGCGGAAATGTTAGTTATGTTCAAGTTAACATTCTCCAATAGCTCTATTTGCCGGCATTTTTTTCGCCAGCGTCTGTCATTTCTTAAGTCCGAGGTGATATTTTCAAATGCAAAAATATATTTTAAACGCTTCTTCTTTATGCGTGTTAAGGCAATAACACCATAAACAATCTCCCACAAGTGTGATAGATTTTGTTTCATCCGCTTACGAGTTAAAGCTTCTGCGAGGCATGATATTTTTAAGGAAAATTATGCAGTTTTATTTTTTGTTCCTCTATTTCCTTCATAAATGGCATAATTGTGGCATATTGCACAATTACTTGAAACACCTAAATACTAACTGCAGCTATTACCGTTTTCCGGAAGAGCAATTTCACTCGCTGCCTGCCTATGGGTGGTCTGTCATGGCTAAAGTCCTCAGAAATAAATTGAAGAACAAAAAAAGAAAATGTTTTTAGGGCATCTTGAAGATGTAATTTTCTGCTATTTTGCAAGAGCAGCACCCAGCGCTGCTCCACATGAATAGTTTGAGATAATGTTGGTTATTTTAAAAGTGTCCTTGTTATTTATTTATTTACATTTTTCTTTCCCCTTTTTGAAAATTGTGCCCCTGTACAATTTCTTGCATTTCCCCCCCCCACATCCCCATCCTCTTAAAAAAAAATGCAGGCAGTTATTTCTGGGCATTTTCCCATTCGGCTGTTTTGTCATTGGCAATGTTTTTAAGAGGCAAACTTCATTCCAAAGGCACTAATGTAAAAGTCATCAAAAATGATATGCCAATTTTATCAGGAACTAATTAGAGGATGACAAATGGAATATGAGCAGAGAGAAAAAAAAAACACCCTTTCCTCTTCCCCTGATAACAGAAATAATAACAATGAATGCAATCGTATTTTTTTTAATGACTCTTATTACGGTGTTTGTGCATTTGAAAAAAAAAAAACCTCTCAAAAGAACATATTTTCCTTTATCCCCGTAAACCGACAAATAAAGCATTATAAGTCATGGTGTGCGTTTATAAAAGCACAGGCTGAACACAAAGGTGTCTCCAACCCTGTTATTTGCCAACTTGATGTCACTTTCTTTGTGCCAAGTTTACCTCATCGGGGTGCAAGCTGTCCCAAATTACTATGAAAGCATAAAGGGTCACGCGGTGGTTTCAATTGGAAATGCTGTGCCGGGTATTGTGCCTTAAAACGCATGTAATTTTTTTATTCGCAAGCATAGGCGGAATGAGAAATTTAAGTGAGTGGGGCTCGCGTCTGTATGGGTAGGAGGGTGCACGGCAGCTCTTATTAAAACAGCTCGGCAAAAGGCAAAGGCTGTGTAGTTATGTGCGCAGCCCGGTGCACTAAAGCCAAACGTTTGTACGGCTCGGTATTTTTTAATACAAAAATATCGTTATTGGCATACCAAATAGCGTTCTTTTTTTTATTATTGTTGTTGTTGCACGGTGTACCTGCGCTGTCTACAGACCTTTTTAGAATAAATATTTGCAATAAAATGCCAGTGCGACTTATGGGACTCTCTTCGCAGTGATGGAGAGAGACAAACTGAAATACCTCACTGCCCTCATCATTATTAATATATAATAATAACGATTTACAGTCCTCTGTCAGACCACTTCTGGATGATGGCCCTGCACACCCTGTGTCAGCCTTGATCATTGTTTTGACCGTACGGTGCCATGCTGGCCAGCGCGGGTGCTTGAAGGATCGGTTCAGATATCGCTCGCCAGTGACGTTAGCCATGGTCGGAAATAAAACACCAAGTTCACCGGATTTCTAGTTCAGCGCACTAAGCACTGCCGCCACCGCTGGCCCGCCCCCCCCCCCCCACTCCCGCTTCCATGGGTTGACGTAGCCTTGTTTATCAGTGTGAGGAAGAAGTCGGGCAGCAGACGTTTTGATCATCTGGAGTTACGAGACGAGGGATTTGGGGAGGGATTTGGGGAGGCCGCCTCGGTGGGAGGCCTCTGCTTGAGTAGAGTCGCGATGCGATGAAGACAACAATGGTGTGAGCTTCAGCAGCGTCTGCGACGAAGAAATGCCAGAGGTGGGGTAGGGGGGGGACGTTGGGCTGACATCGGTGCGAGACCCTTGAGGTTGGTGACCGAGCCTCTCGGTCTGTCTTTCTCCCGACAGCCACGCCCGAGCTGAGTGCTGAGAGCCGAAAGCTTCTGGTGATGAAACTGAAGGAGAGGGAGGAGTTCCTGCTGCCCATATACCACCAGGTGGCCGTGCGCTTTGCCGATCTGCACGACACGCCCGGGCGCATGCAGGAGAAGGGCGCCATCATGGTGAGTTTCCTTGCACAGTGACGCTAACCTCAGCAGGCCAGTCCAATGGCAATTTAAGCAAAAAGCATCGCCCTCTTGAACTTCAGATCGATGTTCCCCGTTGAGACAAACTGCGCGAGCTTTTGAAAAATACTGTACTGAAACAAGTCGATGTTTATTTTGTTGTGTGTGGGTTTTTTTTTTATTTTGCCACTTATTTTCCCAGGAAAAGCCTCGTGAGAGGAAACTAATGAACCCAGAGAAATCCACCACAGCTACAAGGGGGTTACGCTCAGCGTTCCGTGCGGCGAGATTACATCCATTGCTGTACTGCAGTTTCTTAAGCACCTCCCAGTTTTGGGTTCAAAACTAAAACGAGCAAAAAATCCTGCATGTTACTGTAGTAGTTTACGAGTTAACCTCATGGATTAGACAAATAGAGTGATAAGCATTACTTGAAGCTAGGTGAGAGCCCAGCGGTGTCTCACGCGACATCGCCTTGTCTGCTCATAAAAGTACATGGGTTTGGGCAGAACGCACCGTCGCTAGAATTGATCATTGCTGATGGGCGAGATCGGTGATGGAACGGCAACCACAGGGAGAGAACCCCTCTGAGAGGAGAACCCCACTGAGAGGACGACCGCTATGGCGATGGAGCGAGGAGATTGGCTCACGTGCTGGAGCGAGACGGATAACTCCATCCACGTGACCGTCCTGGACAAGTGGCAACTTTCTTGGGGAGGGAGGCCTCCCATCCCACGGCGGGATGGATCGTGGCCAGCGAAGACGAGCACAGCGAGACCACGGGGGGCTTGTGTTTTGTTGTTTTGACCCTTCGACCCCACCATGCGTGCGTCCACCAGGACATCATCGAGTGGCGCACTTCCCGCTCCTTCTTCTACTGGCGCCTACGGCGGCTGCTCCTGGAGGACGCTGGCAAGCGACGCGTCCTGGCGGCCAATCCGGCGCTCGGGCCGTCCGTGAGCCCCAGCGCGGGGAACTCGCCGGGCCCCGGGCACGTGCAGTCCATGCTGCGCCGCTGGTTCGTCGAGACCGAGGGCACGGTCAAGGTGAGAGGTCAGGCCGAGGCCCTCTGCAAAAGCTCACGTGCAGTTTGGAAAGGAGGGAGGAGGGAGGCTTCCTGGTGCGTTGCTCGCCTTCGCGCTCGTTTTGGTTTGCTATCGAGCTGGGGGACGGTGACGAATGTAATCTGGCCAAGCGGGCTTGAATAGTTTCGTGGTGACTGCAGTAAATCGCTTCGACAGTGTAATTGTGTTTATTTATAATGAATTGCAATTACAATATAATTTTTATCATCATTTCAGCTAACAATTGCCGCAGCAATTAACCCCAGGTCTGGTTTACAGCTTATAATGCGATTGACAGAAAATTATACATTAAATCACAAGCAGTTTAAAGCCAATATGAGCGGAAACTCCATTCTGTGTCTCCACTAATAAATAAAATATGGTTTAGTCCACCAGCCTTTTGATTTTCCAGATACATATCAAGTAGCATATATTTAAGCAAGCAAATTCTGGACCGCTGTTGACCTTGTAGGTCTTATCAACCTTCAGAGTCAGGCTTGTTAAATAAGAAAAAAACAATTATTTACGTGGAGACATCAAAGGGAGTGTTAATCGTATATCCTTTTATAACGATTCACTCTTCAACACACCGGTGGGATAAAGTATTGAATTATTTATCTTTCGTCAACATGACACATTTTTGACTGATTGGCCGTGTCCGGTGGTGGAGGGTTGCGACACATTTAGAAACAACGCGATCTAACCCAACAACCTTTACTATGAATCATATTGGTCGCGAAAGCCTACGTGTTAAACATATATCCTTTTACCCATGATTCTCCACGGCAAAGCGTGATGTGATTACGAGTGGCCATACAGGTTTCGTCTCTAGTGCCTCGCCATGGCCGGAACGGTGGCACGGCCTCTCGGTGACCATGCTCATCCTCTTGCCCTTTGTTGACCACCCCCCGCCCTCCCGGTGTAGGCCTACCTGTGGGACAACAACCAGGCAGTGGTGCAGTGGCTGGAGAAGCATCTCAAGCCGGAGGAGGGCGTCCGCTCGGTGATCGAGGAGAACATCAAGTACATCAAGCGCGACCACGTCATGCAGCAGATCAGGAAGTGAGACCCTGCGGAAGTGTTGTCTCGCGCGAGTTCGCAGCGTGGCCCTGCGTTGGCCTTCAGCCAATCGTCCACGGTCCGCCAGGGCTGCTGCCAAAGACTGCGTTTACTTAGCCAACCGTGCTAATCGTAGGTGCGGGAGAAGGACAACAAACTAAACATAAAAGCGTATTTAAAAGTGCATAGCTGCAGCGGTTTCCTAATATCGGAAGGAAGAGCGTTCCAAACGGCCGCAGAAGCGCATCTGAAAGCGCGCGGTGCGGTGACCGTCTTTGTTCGATGGTCAGCCAAAGGCCGCTGCAAGGAGATGAGCGGAGTTCACGTGATGGTTTATGCTCCTTGACGAGATAAGCAAGGCATTGTGGTGCATTTGTGGCAGGCACTTTCTGCGTAACGAGTTTGTGCCACCCTCCTCCTTCACTCGGTCGTGTCTGCAGTGTGTGGGGTAGCGCGGCAGTGGTTCGCGCACTGCGCTATGAACCCGCCCACCTTAAGTTCACATGCGGAGTGACATCTGCACCTTCGCCGTCCCGCACTGACCGTCGCAGTGAAGTATTGTCGAGGAACCCTCCTTGACGGACGCGGTGTGGGTAGGCCCTAATCGAGCTGTGGAGTAAAAACAAAAAGGTCCGTACATGTGTAGGTTGTACTGTTGAGGTGCGTATGGCACCCGCACAGCTGTCGTCTTTGTCGTTGTCGAGTCCGACGATTGGACTTTGTCAAATACTGTCAACTCTCGGTTATCTGGGGTCGTTTTCATTTTATTTGCTATTGTTTAGCCAAAAAAGACTCGCAGAGCCTCAAGACTCTTTTTCAGGAGGGCCCTGTAAAGGTTAATGGGAGCGGTGGGGGGGGGAGGGTGGTCGAGATGATACGAAATCACGGATAATGCAAAACATGACTGAAATGGCCTTTATAAACGTGCTTATTGTTCTCCAAAGTAGAATGGTGGTGATGATGTAGAGTGTGTCACCTCTGTGTATAGCTTCTTAAAGTAAACTGTTTACTGGGCATTCAGGTGGGCTCTGGGCCACTGACTATCGATGGGTGAGGAGCAGCTCATAATTAAATAGGCACATGCATAACAAGTATTAAGTTAATTTTATTTGTTACACTGATGATCCCGTTTAATCAGTTGTCTGGCTATTTGACGACAGAGATCCTTGGTGTGTGAGCACAGAAACAATAAAAAACAATAGCCAAAAACGTCAGTATTGCAGAGAACGCGTACAGGGTCCCTGAATATTGCACAACTTACAAACGAGGTATTTAATGGTCATAAAGGAAACACGCGTAACAAAAAACATGTTGCAAATATGTGCCAATGAGCACAGTTAATACGCAGCTTGGATAATTTGCCCACGGGAAATTGAGAGTTGACTGCAAAACCTGAGTCTGCTGAGATTGTGTAAAGATATTATATTTATCTTCTTTGGTTCTTTCGGTAAAGTCACGTAGAATGAAAATAAAATAATAAATTGATAAAATAAAATAACACAATAATATTCTCACGACGTTTCGGCCACAACACAAGCGGCCTTCATCAGGTGAAGGGGGCGAGACTGTCTGGTAGGACAGCGCTGGAGTGAAAGAGCCACGTTCAGATACAGCCTTTAAGCTGTGTGAGAGGAACAAAGCGCCTTGACAAAGGAATTAGCATATAATTTAGCATTGAAATGGCTGAATGATTAGCTTGATGATGATTAGCTTGTGACTAATCATTCAGCCATTTCAATGCTAAATTATATGCTAATTCCTTTGTCAAGGCGCTTTGTTCCTCTCACACAGCTTAAAGGCCGTATCTGAACGTGGCTCTTTCACTCCAGCGCTGTCCTACCAGACAGTCTCGCCCCCTTCACCTGATGAAGGCCGCTTGTGTTGTGGCCGAAACGTCGTGAGAATATTATTGTGTTATTTTATTTTATCAATTTATTATTTTATTATCATTCTACGTGACTTTACCGAAAGAACCAAAGAAGATGAATCATTGCAGTCACGAAAGCTTTAAATCGAAATATTATATTTATTTATTTTGCAAGTACGGTTGCATCCGTATGGATAATTGAGACCAGAACTCGGACAAAATTTCAGCCGGTAAGGCCCCATGGAGCTGAGCAGCTCTTGTTTACAAGGACGACCACAGGCCAAGAAGCTTGGCAGTGGCAGCAGTTACAGGACATTTCGGGGTGGAAATGTGTCAACTAACAAGGGCAAAAATCGCATGCCAGAACTCTGTGCAAAACAGGATAAACAAGAAGTGACATTTAAACGCGCGATAGTTACCGTTACCCTGCTCTGTAAAATTGCGTGTTTCGGGTTCATGTCCGCCTGCCCACCCTCCATCCGTCCTCTCCCCCCACCACAGCCTCGTGCAAGAGAACCCAGAGGTGGCCATGGACTGCATCGTGCACATGACGCAGCATATGACCCCGGCGCAGAGGGCGGAAGTGTCGCGGATTCTGGCGAGCGTCAATAGTGGCGCTCCACCTTGAGCCCATGAGAAAACGGCGAGCAGAAAGGGAAAGAGCGATGGAGAGAGAGAGAGAGAGAGCAGCACGTGCCTGAAGAGAGAGAGATCAGCGGTTGATGCACTCCGTTTCTACGGCTCGCCCATGCACGTGTATTTTGCGAGTTTGCCTGGCAATCTGTATAAAAGGGGCAGTCAGAGGTTTTTCACAGTGAGGTAACGTGATCCACAAAACAATTGCACTACAGTACTGTGATGTTCACTTGAAGTTGAACGGTGCAACTTTTCTGTGATAGTGTTGCGGGAAAAAAATATATTTTGTCCACGTCACTTTGTTTATAAAGGGATGAGGCAACGCCGGAGAAACCAAGTTGCGCGTGGCTTTGCAAGATGCAACTTTGTTCATGACCCCTTTGATATTTGTTGTTGTTGTTGTAGCACCCGTAATGGTGTGCTGTGATTGGCTGAATTTTGTCTCGTGATTTCGTCATAGAAAGGTAAACATTCCAACGTGGCAGATTTCTTTTTTTTGTATTAATTTCAACTTTGAGGTGTTTCAGAAAATTGTAATAATGTCTTTAAGATGGTAAATAATCGACTAATTTCCCTCATGTTCACCATGAAAAATGCCTCTTGCTTTGATTTGTAGGCTGCAGACCCACAGTTCCTTGCCTAGATCCCTTGTAAGGTGACTGGACTGGGGATCCAGGCAGCAGAGGAGGGCTGTGGGGTCAGGCCTCGGGCCTTTGAACCCTCTACTGTATTGATGATCAAAGAGATGGGTATTGATTGATTTTAATTCTTCAATATTTTTTCACGTCAGCTGCATAGCCATATCCACAATTTTTCAGTGTTCAGAATGGGTTATGTTGGAACGAGTGTAGAATGTTTTTTCAGGAAAAGTGCACCGTTTAGCTTCAGTTGTGAGCTTATTGTAAAACTATATCCAACTGCAAGTAATATCATGTGATTGATGCATTTATCAGAAACTTATATTTAAAATACTATAAAAACTGAGTACTTGTTTTCAAAACTGCTGATTGCCCCCTCGTATGTGTGCGTGTGTAACAATACCTTTGTACATTTCATCATGTGACCAGTCGCATACAGAAGTGAACCTCAGGGTAACTTGTAAAGATTGAACTTTTATAGCAGTACTGGTCTTCGTATTTCCATCCTGTGGTTCATGGATGAAGGGCCATGAGACGTTTTGGTGGTTATTGGAATTGAAAAATGTGAATCTGATGCGACGTGCATCCAGCAAGGAGTGACTGCAATACACGGTGCAGCCAAACGTAACGTGTTGGTCCTGAGCTCGGCCCTGGATGCAGCACGGTTGGCTATGTGCGGTGCAAACTAAGTTCAACATACATGTGCTGTCGCAGGGTCGGTTTAACCGGCAAACTGCGGACCAACCATCTCGTGTTGTCCTTTGAAATAAGACCAGGATGTCAACCTTGCAGTGTGATGCTTTTTTTTTTATTTAACGCGATCGCCTATTGATGTTAAAATTCGCCGTTGGGCATTGCCTCCTTGTTCAACTTGTTCACCTCCTGCAATGCTCTCTAAATCCTCCGCACGATGACCTTTGTGAGCCAGGCCTCGGCGGTTCAGGAGACACGAGGCGCTGTCGGAGAACCTGCAGCGGTTGGCATTCATGCCAGCTGAGGGCTTCGTATTGAGTGATGCTTTTTGCCGTGGGGACATGCTTCTCTTTTGAGATGCACAAACTGACTTGAGAGTTAACTAAGAATCCAAGCTGTAGCGATCACCGTTAGTGCCTGCCTTGTTTAGTTTCTCTCGCATCACTACATTGTCGATGTTATTTATTCCCCTTTGTGAACTCCAAGAGGGCCAGTTTGGCGCGTGTTCTGCGCGTGTGCGAAAGAGACTCGGGAGTGCCCTTTAGAGAGTATTTTTTTTAATTTCCATTCGTAACGAGTACAACTCTCGAACGTGTAGCAGCAGTGTACCTCTTCGCGTGATAAGGTGTGGGGCGGGGGAGGGGAATCTGTCGGTTTTGGAAACTTGAAATGAGAAAAACCAAATGACCGGAGAGTGTTTAAATGTTTGTGAATATATTTAAATGTGATACAATTGTATTTGCAATTGCCAGTTTTTAAGCCGTGGAACTTTAGCCCAAAGACACGTTTGGATGGTGCAGGACACTGAACTGGGTACCTCAATGACATGGATTTTATTCTAGTTTCTAGATTCTATGCCTGGTAAGGGGCCTCCCTTAGGTGCACTTGGTCTGAAATTACTTCAGCGCTGCTGGCTGAATATTAAAGACGGCTGGATTTGGGAGTGACCATCTGCGTACGTCTGGCCGAGACTGAAAGTGCACCCTTTGCAGTATTTTTGTTTCACTCGTGGCTTGTTAGATTGTTCAGTGTGTTTTTCTGTCTTGTTTTAAGTAAAAAAAAAATCCCGATGGTAGCGGAAAAACGTGGCTTCCTATAGGTGCAATATAATGTTGTCGTGTCTTATATTTTGCACGTCATCTCTCCCCCCCCCCCCACCCCTCCTAGAAAAAAAACCCGTTACGAAATTATGGTATCAGCAACTGCTCGAGTCCACGAAATAAAAAAAAAAGCCTATTGTTGTTGCGTTCTGTAAGAAGAGAGTGAGTGATGACTGATTGTGCGCTCCACTGAGACACCGCCAGGAAGCAGCAGTCCTGGCTTGCTACGGATGACGATCGTTGGCGTCTGCAGCGGCGTGACAAATTCATTCCTTTCTCTCTGCTACGTGTGCCCATGGAATCTGTTCACCCGGTCCCCCCACCACCACCACCACCACGACAACAAACAGTCAGGTCCAGGGTGTTGTGCCAAAAGACTTCGGATGGTGGAGGGGCAGGGCCGGGTTAAGGCACGGGGGGCTTTAGGGACTGCAGCCCAGGGGCCCTCCACCGGCTGGAGGGCCTCCAGAGATTAAGTGAAAAGTTATTTCAGTTGTGAATGCTGAATTTTATTTGTTGTTAGCCTTGTAAAAATACATTTTATTTTTTATTTAACTTTGTTTTCCTTTTGAAAATATCACTGGGGTCCTCACAGTACCTGGAGCCCAGGGGCCTACAAAATCTTAATCTGGCCCTGTGGAGGTTAATTTACGAATAATGTATAGTTTAAGATGGTGAATTTCACACTTGATGGTCGACTTCCTTACTGCCAGCGTTGGGAAGCGCATATATTATTCTGGGAGTAAAGAACGTTTTTTTTTCTTCACAAACCTTTCAACTAAAATCCGACAGTTCGCCAAACACCCACCCCGATCCAGATTTTAGACATCTTGGCAAGTTGTGCCGGCTTGTGCTACGTGCAATATTCAGTGTGACACTGCGGGATGGATAAGGCGGCGCGTGTGGGAATGTGGGGACAGGGTTGCGTTTCGGGCATAAGGGACTTGCGGATTCTTTCTCTGTGCCAAACACATTGCTACACTGATGCAAGCGAGACACTTTCTGACCCAATTACGAGCGTCGCTTCAGAAGCGCTCCTGCGTTAACGTGTTACGCAAACGGGATTTGTGTTCCCTTGACCTCCCCGTGACATGTAGGGTCCCGTGGGTCGTATAATCTGAGCGTTATTGCCTGGAATGCCATTATTTGTGTGGCTTCGGTGGGGAAAATCGCATTGCGGTGTGGTAGTACCCGTTCACAAAGTGCTCTGGGGAATGACGCTAAAGGTGTGCGGGCGGATTTTAGAGACGGTGGTGGTGAGGTGAGCACTCGGCATGGCCAGTGAGACGTTTGTACCATAACGATGAATTGTTGTTGACCGTGAGGGTGGAAGCCCATGCAGATTGTTGCATGTTTAAACAAGTGCTGTCGGCTAACGTACATCTGGAGGCCTAATCGACCGAGAGACGAACGTATATTGTCACGCAGAGATAGGTAACAGAAGCTGGTTAATGGTTATATTGTTTTTACTCGCATTAGCCCACTGCAGCACTCGGTGAGGCTGTTACGCGGCAATTTATATGCGCCACCCCGTGGCTGCGGTAAAATTGAGGACTAAATTCGGAGATAGTGTCGCGTCGGTGCCCAGGACGCGTGCAAGCGGTCTGAGAGAATTGTTTGGGAGGAAACTAAGATTTCGAAGCTTTCGTGACTGTAGGAATTATTCTACGTGACTTTTTACCGAAAGAACCAAAGAGTTGTTCGGGAGGCTTCACTTTTTTCGAGTGACGAGCTGCTACGGGCCACGTTTTTCCCCACAATGTGTACGCGCGCGAGCGAACTCAACGGCGTGACGCGATTTCTGAACTACAAATTGTAAGGGGCCGACCGGAGCCTATCATGTACAATAAATCATTGCATTACCACAACGACAACACGTAGAGTAATTTGAGTTCCTAAGCGATGATTTGTTGGGGTTTTTTTTGTTGTATGGATTTCCCAACCCGCATGTAAAAAAAACGACGAAAGCGAACTCGGGGCAACTCATTCTTGGTTCTTTCTAAGTGACTTTACCGAAAATAAGTAATGTTTAAAAAAAATGTACCGTACTCGTGATGAAAGAACTCCACGACTCCAGGAAGTGGCCCCGAAGCTTGCCACAACGTAAGGGGACCGTGGTCATTTACAGCCAATGTCAGTGGAGCGTGGACAATTAGATCCAAGCCGAAACATAACATGTAAAAAAGAATGTTTAAAAAATAGATAGTACTTTTTATTTTTTATGATAGGATATTGTATTGTCATCAGTATGACATAAGTATACCAAGTTTGCAGTCGATACCACATTGGGAAGTGGGTAAAAATTGAGCTGGAAGATTTGAGGACACAACAAAACAGACCGAGTGAGTTAATAAAAGCGTGTAAATAAAAAGAAACAAGAATATGAATTCCTGCAGTCGCGAAAGTTTTAGGTCAAAAATTTGGGTCAACTCGCAGGAGGCGCGTCGATCACGGGGCCAGGAACGTGGCGTCATGCCCTGTGGCACTTTAACACACTTCTTACAATCACTTAAAACAACACATACGTGGAGAGACCGCTATGTGAAGAAAACGTCTGCATACAATTACATCGGTTATCCGAGTTGAGGATTAATCGTGCTGGTGAGAAATTCAATTATTTTATGCACACACGCACGCTGGTGGCATTATCAGCTGCTCCTTAACTCGTCGAAAGATCGGCCGGTGCTCACGTGATCACAAGGATGTCATGAAATTATTACTTTCAGAAGCAATACAAACATGACGCAGTCTTCGTCTTCACCCCTGTTTTCTATGTCCAGTGAGGGAAAAAATATATTTGATCCCCTGCTGATTTTGTACGTTTGCCCACTGACAAAGAAATGATCAGTCTGTAATTTTAATGGTAGGTTTATTTGAACAGTGAGAGACAGAATAACAACAAAAAATCCAGAAAAACGCATGTCAAAAATGTTATAAATTGATTTGCATTTTAATGAGGGCAATAAGTATTTGATCCCCTCTCAATCAGAAAGATTTCTGACTCCCAGGTGTCTTTTATACAGGTAACGAGCTGAGATTAGGAGCACACTCTTAAAGGGAGTGCTCCTAATCTCAGCTTGTTACCTGTATAAAAGGCACCTGTCCACAGAAGCAATCAATCAAATTCCAAACTCTCCAACATGGCCAAGACCAAAGAGCTCTCCAAGGATGTCAGGGACAAGATTGTAGACCTACACAAGGCTGGAATGGGCTACAAGACCATTGCCAAGCAGCTTGGTGAGAAGGTGACCAAAATGGAGCTCTTTGGCATCAACTCAACTCGCCGTGTTTGGAGGAGGAGGAATGCTGCCTATGACCCCAAGAACACCATCCCCACCGTCAAACATGGAGTTGGAAACATGCTTTGGGGGTGTTTTTCTGCTAAGGGGAAAGGACAACTTCACCGCATCAAAGGGACGATGGACGGGGCCATGTACCGCCAAATCTTGGGTGAGAACCTCCTTCCCTCAGCCAGGGCATTGAAATGGGTCGTGGATGGTATTCCAGCATGACAATGACCTATAACACACGGCCAAGGCAACAAAGGAGTGGCTCAAGAAGAAGCACATTAAGGTCCTGGAGTGGCCTAGCCAGTCTCCAGACCTTAATCCCATAGAAAATATGTGGAGGGAGCTGAAGGTTCGAGTTGCCAAACGTCATCCTCGAAACCTTAATGACTTGGAGAAGATCTGCAAAGAGGAGTGGGACAAAATCCCTCCTGAGATGTGTACAAACCTGCTGGCCAACTACAAGAAACGTCTGACCTCTGCCAACAAGGGTTTTGCCACCAAGTACTAAGTCATGTTTTGCAGAGGGGTCAAATACTCATTTCCCTCATTAAAATGCCAATCAATTTATAACATTTTTTACATGCGTTTTTCTGGATGTTTTTGTTGTTATTCTGTCTCTCACTGTTCAAATAAACCTACCATTAAAATTATAGACTGATCATTTCTTTGTCAGTGGGCAAACGTACGAAATCAGCAAGGGATCAAATACTTTTTTCCCTCACTGTAAGTAACCCCCCCTCTCCCCCATTATTTTAGAGCCTAATTCACATGTGCTTTGCATTCACTGTTTTATTTCATTCGGGCCATCTGCCCCCCCCCCCCCCCCACCGATGCAGATACTCGAGAGTTGACCGTGGACGAGACTCGATTTGTCCATCGGTCTGTCGGTCGGTCGCTCAAGCCACTCGCTTAAAGATTTGTTGTCGCACAGAGTTTACGGCGAGCCAGCGATGATCGGAATGGCCCAAGGGTGGAGTTGTGGTGTCGCGAGGATGCGTGTGACCTTTGACCTAGGTCAGACAAAAATTCCGCGACTTCAAAGAATGTCTTTTTACCGTGATCGTCCCATCGAGTGCTGGCGACGCCTGGCGGGCAACGCGTGGCATTGCAAAACGGAAACGTTGCAACAAGGCGTGTAGATGGCTAACCTCTTCTCGAGGCTTCAGGATACCCGGTGCAATGCGGTTCTTATTCACGTTTGTAGTTGGGGTGGAAGGGGGGGGGGATCAACCCCGTCCATACGAACGGATTGTTAGCACTGCGTTTTGTGTGTTTAGTTTGTCGTCCTTCCCCGCCTCACCTCCGATTAGCACGGTTGGCTACGTACGGTGCGAAAGAAGTTCAACGTACATACCTACCGTATGTCTGAATAAGCCAATTCCGTGCTATTTAAAGTGAACCGCAGCAGTAACGTACACTGACATTTATTTTGTGACTGTGGTGCTTGTAAGGACGACCTATTGTGGTAAAATATGAACAATTACATTCAATATCTGTGTTATTTTCACCTGTTGGCAATGGGCACGTGTCACAATGGCATTTGCAGTGTGCTACGAACCCAGTGGGTTTTATTCCGAACCCACGGCTAACATCAGTGTCGAGTCATATTTTAACAAGTCCTATGCACTAAGGCCGAACGATTTGGGGAAAATATCTCATTGTGATTTTTCTGACATTGCGATTTGATTTAAGATTTTTTTTTAATCAAGCTTCAGTTCAATATTCACTGTGTAACAGATTTAAAACGTGTGATGGAGCATTACCACGTGATACCATTAAAATATGAACTGCTCTATATATTCTAATGCAAGGATGAGAACTTAAAAGATATGAATTGCTTCCAACATGTTTTTATTTAAACGTTT